TCTCTGAACAAGCTGTTTTCCAGATCTCCCAAACAATCGGAAAGGGGATTCATCAGAGAAAATGACTTTTCCCCAGTCCTCAGCAGTCCACTCCCTGTTCCTTTTGCAGAATATCAGTCTGTCCCTGATGTTTTTCCTGGAGAGGAGTGGCTTCCATGCTGCACTCCTTGAGACCAGGCCTTTCTCCAAGAGTCTCCGCCTCACAGTTTGTGCCGATGCACTCGCACCTGCCTGCTGCCATTCCTGAGCAAGCTCTGCACTGCTGGTCCGATCCCGCAGCTGAAACACTTAAGAGATGGTCCTGGAGCTTGCTGGTCTTTCTTGGGCGCCCTGGAGCATTTTTGGCAACAATGGAACCTCTCTCCTTGAAGTTCTTGATGATGCGATAGATTGTTGACTGAGGTGCAATCTTTCCAGCTGCGATTCTCTTTCCTGTTAGGCCATTTTTGTGCAGTGCAATGATGACTGCACGGGTTACTTTAGAGATAACAGCAGAGAAACAATGATGCCAAGCACCAGCCTCTTTTTAAAGTTTCCAGTGATGTCATTCTAACTTAATCATGACAGATTAATCTCCAGCCCTGTCATCAACACCCACACCTGTGTTAATGGAGCAATCACTGAAACGATGTAGGCTGGTCCTTTTAAGGCAGGGCTGCAATGACGTTGAAATGTGTTTTGGGGGATAAAGTTTCTTTTTTTAGGCAAATATTGACTTTGCAATTAATTGCTGTTACGCTAATCACTCCTTATAACATTCTGGAGTATATGCAAATTGCTGTTAAAAACTGAAGCAGTAGACTTTGTAAATATTAACATTTGAATCATTCTCAAAACTTTTGGCCATGACTGTAATCCAACATTCAGTGCTGGAAGACACTTTGTACTGTGAGTAGTGTCTCTTGGCTGGAAATTAACCCTAAGCAGTACATTAACATACAAAAGCTACCCTGCTCATTGCCAGCCTGTCTTTTTCAATCATGTAAGACATTTGTCATAATCTACTTTTCTATCATTACATTCTTTCGAGTTCAGAGAAGTTGTAACGATCCGCAGTATGTAAATAGCCGCTATTTAGGAGATAAAATAGGGAGTTTATCCAGTGTTTATATTTACAAACAGAACCACATAAAGTTAATTCTGCATCTTCGTCTCCTTTGTCTCTGATAAAGACAGTTAATAATCCCAGACCGGACTCTGGATCAATTCCTGTTTCTGCTCTAGCATTACTTCTCTCTGGCATTACTTCTCTTGCAAACTAGTGGCGCCACTTAAAAATGAAGGTCAGCACCCTCTAGTGGACAACAGCAACACTACAACACAGAAAGAATCCTTTGAAGTGGATGTTATCAAATAATCAGATAGGAAAGATTTTGATCGAATAAACCATTTAGTAACAGTTAATCGTAAGTCGATTTCTTTGTTTACACTTCTAAGGACGAATAAATTGCGCTATCCCCAAACAACGCCCTTCTAGGCCTTTCTGGTTTAAATAATGAGCCAACAGGAAAACAAACAAACAAAAAAAACAACTCTGGATTGTCTATCAGGCACGTGTTGCTTCCTCTACAGGGAGCAAAAGGCTGTGGAATCATTAAAGTTTAATATTTTTTGTTTTTATAAAGGGAAAGTATATAGATCTATGTTTTCCCCACCAAAACAGCGAGAGGAAAGGGTGATGTATCGTCTTGTCATATCAGACTTCCAAAGTCAGGAACACAAATGACCTAAACTAGAATATTTTAATGAGTCTAGTTAACATTTACGTGCATTTATAATACGTATAGCTGAAAACAAGTATAGCTCTTTAAGAAATAAAAAAAAAAAATAACTAGGCCCAAACACTTTAGAAAGGGGTGACATCAGACTAGGGTTGTCACGATACTAAACTTTTCGACTCGATACCAAGGAAAATATTTGATACTCGATACCATTTTCGATGCCACAAGGATAAAAACAAAGACTCCAAAATTCTACAGAAATATTTTCATTAATAAATAAAATACAATAAATAAATACAATAAACAATAAGAACAATATTTTGAGGTTGTATGCTGTGCACAATATTAAGCAAGCTTGATAAAAAACTTCTAAAATTAAAATTAAGTGTTCCTACTTGGCTTTGCTTTGCACACATAACAATGACGCTAGCCAAACCGGTTAAGAAATAAAAATTATTCTCAGCAGCTACACCTCTGAAACTGAAAAGTGCACAGAATTATTCAATCACACAGTGTTCTGAAAGTGCATTGTCCTCGATTCTGCACTTTAGATGAATGACTGCTTAGGTGCCACTGGTGGTGGCACTGTATCGATACTTTTTTGAGTATCGATACTTTTGACAATCCTACATCAGACAAACTTTGCCCTAAACACATGCAGCTGACTACATCTGGAAATGTTTTTTTTTTTTTTTTATAACTATTTACCTATAATTTCAAAATAAAAACACCATTTGGACAAACTGCACTACAGCTAATATATGTATCAGTGAAAGATCAAAATAAATCAAGATTCTTTCTACGAATCAGTTCAATTTCAGCATCAATAAAGCAGTAGCAGCCGTAATAATTTCTTCTTACTCCTACTACCTTTATGTCATCTGCAGGAAATTACATCTTTCCAGGTCAAACTGCAGCCACCATTGTAAACACGCATTGCATTTTTTCATAGATAAGGCATTTATTGTGAAGGTTTTGAGAGGTGCTTCTTTTAATAGAGGCATAAACCATCTGACTGTATGCAGATCCAAGAAAAAAGTCTTGGAGGAAAACACAAGTCACATAAAGCAGAGAATAATTGCATTAATAAGGTGTCTTCCAGCTACCTCAAGCATGGTCTACTTTGACAACTTTTCAACATTGTGTTTTATTTTATTAACGAGTCAACATGAGGTGTACATAATTCTCCCTCAAGTAAAAATCTTGTATTGCGCTAAGGCATGACACAATCCTAATCCCCAGGGCCCAATGCTGCGCAGCCTTTACAAGTTTCCCTCGTTCTGTAAAAACTTGATAAGCTGTTGAATCAGGTGTTTTGGCGCACGTACACAGTTGAAACAAGCAGGGCAGCCTGCCCTGAAGGCTACTAGCGGAGGACTATTAAACAATTTAAAAAGCGAGTATATGTAGATGTATTTTCTGAAATAACACACTGTTGATATCTTATAAATCCAAAGTTTCTGCAGTTTGTTTGTTGGATCTAAACATGACCATCTGCTGGCAGAAGTGTGTGCCAAGATTTTGACTAATTAGGGTTTTATGTCTAAAATTTTCCATTATACCTCTTGTGCAGTTTGTAATACTTTAAATGAGAAACAGAAGAATGCCACAGTGAGCAGGGTTAGAGCAGAATAGTACTGCTCATCAGCTTCTAGCCAGCTGGAAGGCCCCTCGACATAAAACATATCAGGTTACTTTAAGCATATTTTCATTCAACTAATGCAGGATTTTAGTTGATTTCATCCATATATTTAAAAAAAGACTTGATACGGAGCCAAATTATCAGTTAACTATTTTAACACAAGAAGGTCCTTTAAGGAAGTTAGGTAGGAGGTCACACCTCAAAACTTGATCCGTTCTGGCTGAAGGTTTTGACATTTTCAATTTAAGTTGGTATCAATTATTAACAACAACAAGGTGTAATAGACAGACTATCATTTTCTTTGTAGAAAAAACAAATACATTTTGGCTGTACCTACACCTTCATATTGTGATTCACTGATTAAACTATTGTCAATTTTGGACTGATTAATCAAAATTTTTCTGTGTGTTGATTTTTGTGTCTTTTTAACATAAATATTTACACATATGGAATTTATTTGTCTGGTTCGTTTTATCTGAAAGGTGCCTTTTTGCTTATTATTCACAAGGAAAATGGCAAACATTTATAACTGTAATAATCAATTTTGTACTGCACTTTACAGTGACATCTAGGTTAAAAAAAAAAACTTTTAATAAATTAATATTTCTACATAAACAAACTTTGGATGATAGAAAAAAAAAAATCCTTATTTTAAATTAACTGGCAAAAAGCATAACATATAGTTATTTTTTTGATATTAGGAATCAGTTTAAAATTAAAAAGTAAAACTATTTTATGTTTAAAAAAATGTTTGTAGGTTATATAAGTAGTTTGTCTTTGTTACCGCTGCTGTAAGTAGCTTATTCTTTAAGCACATGGTATGCTTTAGAGTCCATGTATCATTACATATGTCATAAAAAATCAGTCTGTTTAAGTCTGCCCTGTGAAATTTGTTATTTTGACATTTATAGGCATGTGAGCTTGTTTAGTTGTCAGTTTCCTCTCCCATTATCGAAGGGGAGTGCTTCTAACCACAAGAGGATCAAAGCATATGGTAATTGTACGTGTTCGTGGTTGATGTCATTCCCGTCATTACTGCCACCCTGCCACCGATGCAGACTCACATCTCACAATACTTTGTTTTCAACTGTGTCTACAGATTAAACCTTAGATATATGGACCTACCAGGGATCTATGAAGAATAATACTTGTATTTAAACCTGACTAAAACCAAGCAGGTATAGCAAAAGGGCGGAAGGGAGAAAGGAAAAATGAATAAATTAAAATAACGAAATACAGAACCATTAGCCACATCCACTAAGAGGAATGCTCTGAAAAAGCAGCAGGACCTCCCAATGAAATGGACACAGACCATCTGAATATCATAATGCAGTCTGAATTAAATGATGACCCACACGAGTATAATGTGTTTATAGGTTCCTGAAATCCGTAAACATGCAAACAGTGGCCTTAATATTAATTACAGTGGCATTTATTGTCTGAATATACTTACTCAAACTGCGCATTACCCACAGAACACATTAGAATTTATTGACGTTACACAACTCACCTAAAAGTCTTACTGAAGTGAAAAAAAAGGAAAGTTTCCTTTTCAAAGTTATTCAAAGTTAATTTTCATTAAATGTAATTATATTATCAGTTCCTGATTTGTGCATTTCCTTGTAAAACATGCCTACCTGGTGAAGACAGGCAGCTGGGACTGGATAACTTGAACCCTGACAATAACGAGGAGCAGGGTGCTGATGACGAGGACGATGAGCTTCAGAAGAGTTTGCAGGACAGCATAAGGGAAACCATCTTTACCCTGCAGGACTTGCCGCAAAGTATCCAGTAGTATGGGCAGTGTAAACTAGAAAGGAAAAATAACAGGACGAAGAGAGGTCAAGTTCATCTCCAAATTTAAAGAGGTTATTTTTTTCTCCTCTTTGTTACCCCTGTTTAGACATAACTGTGTGTAATTGTAGCAACCATAAAAAGTTAGCTTTCTTTTAAACACCCAGAGGCACCTCATTAACATCTTTAAAGCGGAAATTTTTTTCAATTACTTCAAAAAACACCAGCTGAGTTAAAAAGGAGGCACCAACAAAGAGCTGGAGCTAGGACAAGAGAGAGGAGCAGCAAATTCAAGCCATCTCTTCTATCAATCGTTATAAGCAATGTGAGATCTTAAAGGCACACTATGCAACATTTTTCAGTTAATTAATGTGTTCCATAACGTTATGGATGACTAAATGAGTCATTTCAGGTTGAACAAAGGTATTCTCGACCGCCCTGGTGGTCTGTGGGGGAAATACTGCACTTGCAACTGCAGGAGCACCGACCCGCACCCACAGGCTCAGAAGTCTCGTGAGAGTCAGTCTTGCTTTACGGCGAGAACTGCTACACTCACCAGATAAAAGCATTCTCGTTGCTAGCACAGTGGCAATCGTTGTGCAGTTATGCTACGCAAAATCGCGTCTAATGCTTCCTTTTTGCTGCTTGTACCAGTTAGTTCTGACGCGTGGCTGAAGCAGCTTTGCTGCTCTGTGTGTCTGAGGCGCATTGGGCGGAGCTTCACTATCCTTTCTCTGCCTTGCAGCTATATTTGCTGTGATCAGTGGGAATAAAGTTGTTTTAATATGTGTTAAGTGAGAAAATACACCTGAAAACGTAATCAGTGCAGTCAGTTCATTCAGATTATTATCCTGCCTTCAATATTTTTTCTGTCGGAGCCGCTCAGACCCCCACATACCAGCGGGGCGCCAACAGTATGGATCCCTTCATCAGCAGCGGTTCACCGCGGCAGCTGGTAGGTGTTTTTCATCTAAATAATCCAAACTGCATATTCTGCCGGCAGATTTCTGCATTTTAAGTTAATTTAGGCGTCAATAAACTGTTTAAGAGGAGTGATCATCAGCGCTGTGTCTCTCTCCATGCGTTAAACGCACCCGACGCGCTGCTTCAGCTGCTCAGACGTGCTGCGCCTGCTGCATAAAATGCACCGCGGGACGGGACCTTTTGCTGCGCCTTGACGTGCGTCAACCATTGACTTTGCATGTAAACTCGCTGCTTCTGTCGCGCCAGCTGCCCCCGGTGTGAACGCAGCATTAGTCATTCGCTGCTAAGCTCAAAACAACCGCGCCTGGCTTGACGGAGAAACCAGGAGAACAGCTGTGCATATTTACGACAGTGCACTTTTACTTTCGCCCTCTGGGGGGAGCCTCGCTGGTAAATCAACACCGGTTGCATAGTGTACCTTTAAAGAGGAAATTAAACGTCCAACCAAACTAACAAGACTGTGTCTTACTATTATCAATAGCTATATTAGAATTGTGAAAAATATAAAAGTAAAAGAAAAAACAAAGCGTTGTTTTATAATTATTTTGGTAAGGGCCATGCCATGTTGCAGTACCTCAATGGGTGATGTCATGATTTTTTCTTTTACCGGTACTTTATTTTCACAGAACCAGAACAGCTCTTTATAAAAGAAAATATAAAACCAGAAGTTTCATTTATGGAGCTCCAGTTGGCCTTTTTTAAAACCCAGATGATGCTTATGTGGCCTGATATAAAAATGGGTTCAATACCCCTGGCTTTGAGGGTCCTTCTATGGACCACCAGCCGCATGAGATCGAGAATTCACAGGAGAGTATGTACAGGAAATCGGCCCAGTGTAAACAAGCAAATAGTAAACGTTGCAGTAAAAAGCTGTAGTTGCTGCTTTAAAAAACTCAAAGGTGATATTAACTGATTTTTTTCTCTATTGCACATTTCCACACCTAGCTTTATTGCTATATATGCATAAAATAAGTGCTGTGTCTTTTTGGAGGAACCAATATGAGGAAAGAAGGCTTAAGAAAACTTACCCCCTGTGCAACAAAAACTTCATAGACGCAACAGACACCGACCACAGTAATTCCCTGCTCCTTACACAGAGTCGCTGAAGCCACCAGAACTACAGTCAGAGCAATTGGAGGCCAAACTGAAAAAAAACATAAATAAATACATTTATGGCAATGAGAGGACTTCACTGTGGCATTTGAGTTTTTTTTAGTTAAAATAAGCAAAGTTGTGAAATAGTTTTAACATTAACCCACATTATTTTATGTCTGTCAAATAGCAGCAAACTGCTCTAGATATATATTGTTAGTGTTCACATACAGGTCTTCATCATAAAAAAGACCCTGGTTGTTTAGCCTTTCATAACCAGAATTTGATTTTTATTTAATTTCATTATTATTTAGGCTTTATCTTTACAGTTTGTCTTGAAAAATCTGAAATATAAGTTTCAAAAGAGACCAGTTTGGATAAAACAAGAACAAAAAGGTTACAAATACAGCAACGATTACAAACAATTGAAACATTTTACTCAAATGAAATAAGCTGACAAAACATGATCTCAAAACAAGAGCAGGTTATGGGAAAATTTCTCTTTTTCTATGAAAATAAATTTCATTTGTCCCAGAGGAATCGGTGGGGATAGTTTCAGCTTCTTCCATAGAGTGTTCCAAGTTGACAGGGTAGTTTACCAAAGTACGTTTTTTTTCTAAGTTCTGAGCATATTAACCAAACACTGAATTATATTAAGCCCTTAAAGTGATGACTTTGGCAGAACTGTCTTAAGTGACGGTTGATGAATAAGTCAGGTGGTTACAACTAAAGGTCAGTTAGCTATAGATGAATATTTATGATCCTACAGATTTAAAATGATGACCAGTTGAGATGAGAATCTAAGCAGTGATGAAACAGGGAATCATACCCTGTGATAACCATAAAGCTCCAACCTATTTCTAAGGGATACATATAGTCAGTTGTCTTCATGGCAGCAACATTTATGAACATCAGTGAAATTTTCCCTGACACAATTATAAGAAACTAATAATGTCCAAAAATGGAACCCTGCAGTGTACCAGCGCTATCTGATAAAAAAAATGAACAGCTTTTAGATATGGCTGCAAAGAACATGAACAAAGATAGACAGGTTAATGTAAAAGACAGCACAGTAGATCATTTGTATCTAAGGCTTAACAGTCATTTAAAACCTTTAAAGTGGCCATATTGTGCTTTTTTCTTAAAGCAAACGACAAGATGATGGCTGCAAACAAATCTTCATAAATTTTTTCAATGGTTTTTTTATTGTTGTCGTCTCTCCTGTCTATTATGATGTGTGCTCCTGCCTTTCTTAGCCAGGTCATCCTTATGAAAGATGTCTTAATTCATTGTCTTCTAAATTGTTAAATAAAGGCTAGATAATAATGATAAAAAAAAAAAAACACCTTTGGATAGGATTGTCTATACTAGAGAAAGCAGTGTGGAAGAAACTGTTCTGTGACAGCTGGGTTATAGGAATGGTGCTCTTTAGTTGTGACCTGAATGAAACTATCTTTACAGTTTCATTTTTGGATGTGTGGGGTCGTCAAAGATGTTAGGGGACCTATTTTTGACTCTACATCAGTACACATCCAGGATGAATGGAAGGTACTGTAAGCCCTGGTGGTTCTTTCTGTAGACTTAATTGTTATTTTTTTCCTTTCCTGGTAAACAGATGAAACCAAAACCATGTGAAAATGTCCTTAAATACCATCGTGTGTGCCTCAACATTAAAAAACATCCTAGAGGAAACCCTGAAAGGATACACAATATTTATAAGTGTTAATAATTATAAAATGTTTGTTTTTAGTGTCTAAAGTCTCAGGCTTTCTTGAGCCACTTGTAAAATGAGGGTTTTCTGATTTTGTCTTCTTATGTTCAGGAAATTAGGTAGGTTGGTAAAAGGAATGAGATAAGGTAACCTGAGCAGACTGGTTTAGCATGCCTGGCCATGTCAGGCTGTACCTGTGGTAGAGCATCACACGGCTGAGTACATGCCAAATTATGCAGGTCTACCAGATTTAATACATCTTAGTGTGCAGGAAAAAAAACATCTTTGGCGACAGATGCAACTACCAGCTATGCTGCGTGGAACATGCCTGGAACACTTTCAGAAAGAGGCGTCCGAAATAGAGAATAGGCCACCTCAGCTAACTCCTGATGATGTGGAGTATATTGGCACCCAGTGGTGCCTATGTCCTCAACACAGTAGGCTATATCCATTCCCTACATGAATGATAGGCTAGCATCAGTAACTGAGTGGTCAGCACCGGGAATTGAGACTTTGTAGCTGTCAACGGAGAAAGAAAGTAGTTATCTGCCTTAGCTTTGGGAACACCGCAATCAGCACTAGATAGGCTGGCTATCAGCACTGGATTGTGTTATGCTGATGCCATTTTTGGCCCTGATACCCGAAACCTGGCTGTACAGTATCGGCAGGTACCATCTGCAGGGGTTGACGTTAAGGATTTTTACATTTCTTCAGAAACAATTTTTACTTGCCCAGTAGAATGTTTGATCCTTACATATTCATTTTTGTATATATATCAATGGAACATGTTTTTTTTTTTTTATGTTTTTTTGTAATTCAGTAAGTTTACAGGTTCCTGGTGTGTATAGGCATGCGTCAGATAATAAACTCAAGCCTACATTACCGTCTTAACATGCTTTGCAATCCTTCCTGCACATTCTTTTCAAACTAAACTTTTCTTTAAACTGTTGTGTGCTTGGAAAAATATAAATTGTAATTTTAAAAATCTAAAACTTTAAAAAACCAATTTAACATGTTTAGCTCTATAATATTTAAATGCAACACTCCAATGTCTAAGAGAAAAAAATTTAATGAATATTTTAATGTATGACCACTGTACAGAAGACTGCCATATGATAGAAATATTTACACTGTGCGCATACAATTATTACTATTATTTTCATAATTCCTGACTGATCATTTTTAATCTAGCGTGTATTATAGTATAGATTAAATTCATAATTCAGCTGCTGCTCTGCAGATTTCTCTCACCAAGAGCTGAATCACGCCATCTAGCGGAAAATCATGCGGCTTTTTCAAATCACGTGAGAATGTGTACAAAACAACAAAAATGACGCTGGTTACGCTTGTGGGTCGTTTTCAGCGAATGTCGGTGAGTTTAAAGTAATTTTGAGTGATAAATAATTTTTGTAGGTGATTTTAAAGTAATTTTGAGAGATAAATAATTTTCTTTTTGCAATCATTGCACTTGCTCGGTGGGCAAATGCAATGAAATTTGTACTCTCCTGACAATAAAAACGACTTGCCCCGGGCGATCGGGCAATGGTTAACATCGAGCCCTGATCTGTTTGAAATGGATGTGTGTGTGTATGAAGAACTGCATCATGGCTTTGTCATGTGCTGCCTACCTTTGTGAAGCAGGAAAAAAACTAATACAAAGCGAATCCAGTAGATCTTTTTATTGCCTACCTGGAATGGGTGACGATAGTTGAATAAACTTTTGGCTCTCAAAATGGTTATCGGTGCCCTATTTGTCAGTACTCACCAATACATATACCTGCATTATAGTGTAGTATTGAGGCCCTAACCAATACTGGTATAGGTATCGGTTCAACACTAGCAATGGATAGGCTTGCGATCAGCACTGGACAGGCTGCTGATCAGCCCTGGAAAGGCTGGAGTTGGCATTGGAAATACTCACTGTAATTTCTCAGCTGCAGCACTTTTAGTGTGGTCCAAATGAAAAAAAAAAAAAAGGACTGAAGCACGGCTGTACAGTGGAGCATTTTATTCGCAATTGCTCTTGATATAAGTCAGGCTTGATCAAAATAAGATAATTTAAAATAATAAGAATGAGAAGGAATTTCCAAAAACCAAAATCGTAAATTTGTATGGGAAAAATACTTAGGGAACCAGTTACGAGACGTCACTGTTTCCTTACAGATTTCCGGCAGCGACACCTAATGCAGCACAATGAAGTACCCACATTTACCTCCTAATTTGCACACAAACATTAGGGAAGCACTTTGAAAACATGAACCCTGTGCTGGACAGCCAACAGCTCACAGAGGCTGGTGAGCACAGTGTCGCCAACTCAGCGGCTTTCTTCTGACCAAGACCCAGAGTTTTTGCTAATAGGTGAGGATATAAATGTAGACCGCCTGGTAGATTAATAGGTGAGCCAAAAGGAGAAGATCTCTCTTCACCATACTGGACTAGAACTGTTTCAATCATTCAGATCCAACAGAGCGTTATCAATTTACCCACAATCATCTAGCGATAACAAATCATCTTTCCCAACCACAAAAACACAATCTTTTCAAGATGGTTAAACATAAATACTGCTCTCTGCGTCATCGTCCATCATGCTTGTTGTTTTTCTTGACGCTTCTTCATAGCAAGACCCAGTGTGAACCTAGCCTTAGTTTCCTCGGGGCAAGCTTAGCATCAGTGGTAGCGTTCCAAGAACAAACCACTTCTACCTAGTATTACCTGGGTAGGCATTGCCGCAGGGTCACATAACCAATACACCGAGGCCTTAGCGTCCAATGCAGCTGTCCCAGGTTCGTATCCTGACTCAAGGAAATTTGTTTCTTTTTTTATTCCTCTCTTTACACGCTATTTCCTCTCCGTCTGCTGTCAAATACAGAGCCTTAGTTTAAAAAAAAACTCTCCCAAACAAATAAAATCATTTTATTATCATTATTTACCCAATATGGTTTTAATGACTCTTAAGATTTTCAGAAAAACTATTTTCTTTCAAACAAGACTAAAGTAGAATGTTTTGAAAGATGTTATTCATGTCATATTTGGCCTAAAACTAACACCAATGATCAAAAACATTTAAGATGAAGAAATCTGTAAACGAATACGTTTTCCACAGCACTGTAGATCATTTTATCTGGGGAACTCTAGTATTTTATTTTCAATGTAAAATCCAACCATTATATTAAATAAATTACGTCCTCCTAGAACCTGAGAAATGTTTTGTTCTCAAATATGCATGTTCAGAGAAAAAATCCTTGTAAAACAGAAATATGAAAAGTTCTTTGTGGTACTTTGACTTACCAATGGAGCGGTCTGCACTGGTTGATTTGGTGTATGCCAGGAAAGCAGCCAACAGGAAAATTGAAGAAAGTAGCTCAGCTCTACCTACTACACCAGTGACCTAAATAGAACAGAAAAAAAAGGACATTAGTTTACTCCATTAAACAAGCATATGAGTTTAGAAATCACTTTTTTGTAGATGTAGAGGACAACCTGGAAGTTCTACATTTTAGTTTTAATCAAGAACGAAACCTATAAAAAGATTTTGCGCTTTTGCTCTGATGTTTCGCCTGGTGAGTAACAGCTTTTTGCACGGTCAGTAAAAGGCTCCACTCCATTGTGGAATCTGCTAGAAGTCGTTTTCACCTCAACATCTCCAAACTAGATTTAACAGAGCAAGTTGCGGTGCTTTATTTACTTTGGAAAGCTGTACAAAGCAATGGGATTTTGCTGGATTCAGCAGATCCTCCATAAATACTGTTAGATCAGGGAGTCCCAGGTGCTATGGTTAGATCACGACCGACCTCTGTGGAGCTTGAGGTAAGTTGAAATAATGCTCTGGAGCTCAGACAACAGCTGGAAATCAGAGCAAGAAAGCCGGCGAAGAGCGCACTAAAACTGGATTGTAACTTTCTCTGGAGCTAAGGAACCAAAGCTGGGGATAGGAGGAGGGCAGAGATAGATCAGAGAAGTCCATCAGGTAGAGAGTGCCAAAATAACAGATAAATGGAGGGTGACCAGAGCTAGAGTTTGCTGGAGTTATGGGAGGATGATAAATGACAAATGATTTATCCGTCCTTCTTGGGCTGAATTAAGCAGTTTTTTTTAAGCCACCAACAAACTCTCCCTCTTAGAAACATTCCCTACTTCCTCATTTTGCAGCATTATTTGCTTTATCTTCCATTTTTATTGAAAAAGGTTCGTCTCCTCTGAGCTGCTACATCTTAACTTAAAGCCACATCCAATCCCTGGCTAGTTTTCACAAATTGAAAATACACAAAAGCCCAGGTTCTTCAACTCCTACAAATTTCTCATGGTGGACTCTGCAGGTTCAGCAATGCTCTCGCTTCGCTGTATTCACCGAAAAATTGCCTTTTGCCAAGCTAGAATTGTTAGCTTTGCCTCTTGGTGCTCCTGAGCTGCCCTCTACATAGTGATAAAATGTAATCGATCAGGGCATAAAAAACGTATTCTATATGAACGAACTTTCAGGATACAGACACCGTGGACACATCGAATATGGTACGGCTGCAGTTTTTCCAGACGTTGGATCAAATTTCAAGAGCCAAACAAGAGAAATGAGGCGCTACACAGAAGTGTGTACAAGTGAATTTTACAATAAAATCAATCCACAAACATACACTTAGTTGAAAAATGAACTCAAAAAAGCAAAACAAACATTGAAACAGAGGGGCTGTTGGAGGATAGAAAAAAGATTATTTATACTCACAGGTAACAAGTTTAGCCCTAGATCTCCTAGAATGAACAGGAACCTAAATTCATTTTTTTTAAACTCGCCCGGCTGCGCTGAAAGCGGGTGGCCTTTTGTTGCCACAGTCACAGCATAGTTGATGTGAGGCCAGCATGAGATGCAGGGAAGCAATAAACAATAACATTTTGTGAATTTTTACTGGCTATACTTGGATTAATTCAAAAGCAGGATTTCTAGTTTCACTTTTATGCAGATGATTATCAAATCTTTGTGCGACTTAAGGGTAACACAAACACTGTTATTTTTTTTAAATCTTAAGGAAAAAATAAAAAAAACAGGTGATGATATTCGGCAGCACTTCAGCTGGTCTTTGTTTAGACCTGGGGCTTTCCGGTCAGTTTCTGAAACCGGGAGCCACAAATCTGGGTTTAAAAATGTACCATTGACTCATATTATACAATCAGAACAAGCATGTTGTCAAGTTAGGGTTCTTTAGGCTTGGTCACATTTTCCCAATTTGTTCCCCTTGCTGCCAATCTAGGTTAGGATACAATACCATGAACCAACGGTAGCTCAGTGGGACCCGGGCCATCTCTCTTGCCTTCATGGGTGTTTGTTGTTATTTGATCTTAAAACCAAAATCCATTTCCTCTTCCAAATACCATAGCATGCCTTTACCAAGTGCTTTTCTACATTTAAACCATTTTTGATCCCTGGTGCATGCTAAAACAGATGAGAACACAGAGTATTGAAAGATAACAAACATCCCAACGGCATAATACATACCTGAGCCTCGCTTCACTTTTATCTACAAGGTAACATGGCTCTAATCCTGATTCATAGGGGCTCCATGTCAAACTGGCAGACAAAACAATCATGGTTTCATGAGTCAAATACTTAGTCACATGAGTCAAATACTTAGTCACATCTATTAAGGCCAGTCAATGTGTACTTAGCCCAACTGTAAACTTTTCATTTAAGGTCTGTAGGCTTTCTTTGTAATGCGAGTTCTTACCGATTACTTGGTTGATATAAGTGTCTCCTAATTATTACAACTGCAAACCTTACTGGATCATAAGCTGATCCATATGAAAAGAAGATGTTTTTTTCCTTCTGTCTTTCAGGTTTTTGCTTTCCATTTTTAAAGAATTTAAGTTTATTTTAGCTGAGCAGCCGATACTTATCTGCACCTTGTATGTTTTAGGTGTCTTATTGCTGTACGTGAAGACAGTAAACTTAATCAGAGCTTAAGGTTCAGATTAAGTCATTCCCTGGAGTTCTGACACCCAAAGCAAATCAAACACATTACACAGTCTTCTGCTGCTTGCAGTAAACAAATTAACGCATGAGACTGGAGAAAAGCTTCAGCGCTGAGGAAAACATCATTCCTTGTTCAGTTGTCTTGGAAAACAGCTTTTTTCTCTGCTAAGTAAAAAAAAGTAACACTTTGTACGAGCCCTACTAGAAAAAGAACTTGAAACTGTTAACTCCAACAAAGAGGGAATCTGTGCAAAGAGCTGAAGATTTGGGTGATTGCAAGGAGGTTGTGTACTTTAAGACTTGAATCACAGAAATAAATTCAATGGAAATTCAATTTAACTCTACCTTTATGGAGTCAATTCACAACACATGTCATCTCAAGGCACTAAACAGCGACAATTAAATCTAACTGGTTAAACGTTTTATAAGAGGAACTGGCTGATTGCATCCAGTCATTGACTTTAGGTTGCATTCCTCCTGAGCATGAGGCGACAGTAGATATTCACATGTCTTGCTGAGAAATGCTTGGGGAAGCATGCAGAAAAGCAGGCAAGTTTAAAAGCTTCTAAGTTTTAATATGTTCTTCACTTTCTAAGAATTTAGATAAATACTGATATGCTGTCTATTATAAAATTAAGAAAATTAATGGATACTTTATTATTTTTCCACAATTCTCTTTTTCTATTGGTTTGTTATCTTTTAAGATAACCCTGTCCATTCTCTCCTGAGAAATAACATTCTTGCATAATTGTAAAGTTTTCATCTAAATCTGTCAGGAGAAATTAATAGAATTATGATTAATGGTTTTAAGCTTCTCCAATAGGCACATTTTAAGAGCTTGCTTATCAGCCCTAAATAAAGGTTAGGATAGCAAATCATAAATACATTCTGGTTTTCTATAAAGGTTAAGATAGCAAAACTTAATTAAATTCTGGTTTTCTTTGTGTTTTTAGCCCAATGTTTTGGAAAACAGCACAAGACCAAAGATGAGGGTTGAGCTAATAATGCAGATCAGCACCTCAGAACAACAGTATTAAAAACACAGGAGTGTTTCCATTACTTGGGTTCTGGTTGGTCTCATTTTCGTAAAAGGGTAAAAGTTGATCCGCAACAAGAAACCATTTACAGCTTGCAACGAAACAATATGAAACTGCTACCAAATTTGCTTTGGCACGATTGCAGAAGGCATAGACAAAGGGGACTGCATGAAAGTCTGTTGGCAGCAGATTAAAGAGTATATGTCATTAGATCAGGCATCATTTTCACTTTCTACTTATGTTAACCCCAAATGTAAACATCCACCCAATTTTGTATCTAAAACTGAAACGTCTTCCTGAAAAAAAAGTGAGATTGAATCAAAATAAAAAGTCAAATGAGAAGTATAGACACTGGAGCCCCATCCTCAACTATCTCAAAACTGTCCAGTGCGCCCTTAAATTTGGAGAATCTCAGCCATCGCCAACTTCTCAAGAAGTGACAACAAAGCTTGAGCTGAAGACATTTAGGGTCTGATCTGCGTTTGTACACACAGAGCAGATCCTCAAAGAGGTGCAAAGGGATTTGTGTTTGTAGGTCAGCAGACAGCACATACAAACTTCCTTGGTGTGTAGGGGTGAGGTGACCAGGTTCAAAGGATTCCCAAACAGTCAATCTGTCAGTCTGAACCTACCACTGGTCCTGCAGTCGCAGTAAGTCATAGCTGAATCAAAGGAAAGTCTCTGGGTCAGTCTAATAGTTTGCATATTAGGGCAATATTTGAACATTGCCCCCAATATGAAGAAAACAATGAAAGAAAAAGGAGTGGGTTTTATTAGCAAGGAGACAAGATAGAATATGTAGCATAGATTAAAACATAACCCCCCGGTACACCGCAAAGTGCGCAGACATCAAAACCAAGAAACTTGTAGCTGTAGAGTCAGAAAAATGTATCCCTACAAAAGACTTAAGGAGGGCTCAATACATCTTATCCTTACGAAAAAAAAGTGGCTTTTAATTTCTCTGTTGAACTGAAGTTGGTCAGTAATTTACAGAACAAAGTCTGGCTTCTGGTAAATCACCACAATGTACTGAGGAAGAGCTGATGGAAGAGCTGGTGACTTTGATTAGAGACATCTCTAAGGGCATTAGCAAGGGATGGAAAGATGCCTGTTCTCCAGTGTTTAGTCTTGTTTCTCTCCTATACATAGCTATTGGTCCAGATTTTACTGTGACCAACTGTATGTGCTCTTTTTCATCTTTTTTGAGATACAAACTGGCTCAGTGCGCATCTGCTTAAATGTTTCTCTCCTAGTCGGAGACAATTGTGGAGCTAGTTTACTGTTACCTTTTATAACATAGAAACCATTTATAGATCAGTGCTTATAGGTTTGCTTTGTGTGTGCTTCTTATCCTCTTGAAGCCCAAGTCAGCCTCGGCAGATGGCCGCTCACACTGAGCCTCGTTTTGTTGGAAGTTTTTTCATGTTAAAGGGAGTTTTCCTCTCCTGTGTTGCTATAAACATGCACAGAGTAAAGTACTGTTGTGAAGTCAATGACGCAATGCGAGCAAATATATGCTGTCTCTACATGCTCATCCAGGAGGAGTGAATCCTGTTGTCAATGACTGGATGTAATGAACTGCTTTTCCTTAGTTAGAAACTTTTTACAAATCTGACTAGGTGATCTGGTTGTATCGTCTCTGTGAAGTGCTTTGAGATGATGTTTTGAGAATTGGTACTGTATATACTGAATTGAACTGAATGAAAAACAGGCTGTGAGCAGAAATAACTTACAGCAAACATAGGAACTTCAGATAGAATCGCTTTATTCACTAATAGAAATTTCTACAGACGCTTTTGGCGTCATTAGATTTCACATAACTGAGCAGAAATAACCTACTTTCCTTCAACAGTTGAACATAAAGTGTGTCAAAATACTCTTTGAATTTAAACCCTTACTAAAACTCACAGATAAAAGTGAGGGGAAAAACTAAAAATCAGGACATAAAACGCTTTACTTTTGGTAACATTTTATCTACTACAGTAGAGGCTTGAATACACCGATCCTGTGAAAACAGGCCTGCTCAGATAGATCATCTCAGCAGACAAATTATCCCTTTAAAAAGAGCCTCTCTTACAGCGACGTCTGTCACTTTGTAAAGGATGACTGCCCTCATGTGGAAGAAACAACAATGTCTGCCCCATTTTATCAGAAACATACAAACCCTAAAACCTCTCATAAGGTCCCACACGAGGTTCCAGAAAGAGCTTTACAAATTAAGAGCCTATTGTTTGCAGTTTGTAGCCCTTAAGAACACACGCATGGGCATTATACAGGAGCTTCGGCTTCTAACTAAAAGGATTAACGTCAACACTCAAATTGAGCACATGCTCAGTTCACAGACTGACCTATTTGACAATTAGTAAAGGAAGAAATAAAAACCAGCAGTGTCCAACTTCTAGAAGCCTCTCAAATATCCAACCAGTTTATCAAAACTAATTCAAGTGAACAAAAGACAAGTTGAACACAGTTGGCTCAATTACACAGAATTACCCAGGCCCAATTTTCCTCTTTTGAGCATCTTCTAAGCTTTCCCCTCAAGACTTTAAGAGGTTGAGAAAAAAAACACAAAAAAACCCTACATTCAAAAATTCATCACCAGAAAACGTCTAGAAAGACATGAGGAACGGACAAGGCCTCTTTGTACAGGCTTATCATGAAGAGACCTTCAGTGCTTGGAACATTATAGCAAAACAAATGATCCGTTCAGAACCAGATTCCAGACGGAGATAACAGGCAGGGCATTCGTTGGACTCATTTGTGAGGAAAAATTGTTTCCATTCAAGATGTCAGGAGAGGATCTGCACAGATTAGAGCAAACCAGGAGGAAGCCTCGAGCAGCGGTGGTGAAATCGCTTGACAGCTGCGCTCCAGCCCGCCCGGCAGAAACACTTCTCTTTATTTGCCTGCTTTCCTCTCAGTTTACGCCGCTCGTTGCTGCAGCTGTGGCGATTGGAGCAAATCAGGATGTCCAGTTAGACATCTGTCCACCACTGCAGCGCTTTTAGTGTGCAACATGAGCTGAATGAAGTGGTGTTAATATGAAGAAGAAAAGGGAAGGGAAAATGCTTTGATCTACACCAGAGATCTACAGCTCCATCCCAGGGGGCCGGTGTCCCGCAGCTGTTTAATGCATCTATGTCTCAACACACCAATTATCAGCCCCTCAGCAGAGCTGGACTGTATGCAAGTGAGGCCATTCAACTACTTGCTTCCGGTGTGTAGGACAAGGGACACATTAACGGTACAGGACCCCGGGCCCTCAAGGATCTTGGAACAAGTCCACTGATGAAGCACGTAGGACAATCTTAGGGGATGATTCTATGGAAAGTCATGTAATTCATAAATAAATAAATACATAATTATAAATAAAATATCAATAAATATTACATAAAACAAATCAATGCCACCCAAATAGTAAACATATATTTTTAAAACTTACCCGCAGAGAATCATCCCACAGATGTTCAATGAATCAGGTCTGGGATTTGGATGGCCATTCCAGAACATTGTAATTGTTTCTCTGCATGAATGTCTGAGTAGATTTGGAGCGATGTTTTGGATTACTGTCTTCCTGAAATATCCATCCCCGGCGTGACTTCAACTTCCTAACTGATTCTTGAACATTATTCTCAACAATCTGCTGATATGGAGTGGATCCATACGACCCTCAACTCTAACAAGATTCCCAGCAGTTGCCAGCATTGGCAACGCAGCCCTAAAGCATGATGGAACCTCCACCAAATTTTACAGTGGGTAGCAAGTGCTTTTCTTGGAACGGTGTGTTTTTTTTTTGCCTCCATGAATAACGCCTTTTTTTATGAGCAAACAACTCGATCTTTGTTTCATCAGTCCACATGACCTTGTTCCAAAATGAAGCTGGCTTGTCAAAATGTACTTTTGCATACCTCAAGCTATTCTGTGTGTGGCGTGCTTGCAGAAAAGGCTTCTGTCGCAGCACTCTCCCATACAGCTTCTCCTGGTGCAAAGTGCACTGACTTGTTTAATGATGCACAGTGACACCATCTGCAGCAAGATGACCTTGCAGGTCTTTGGAGGTGGTCTTTGGGTTGTCCTTGACCATTCTCACCATTCTTCTTCTCAGCCTCTCTGATATTTTTCTTGGCCTGCCACTTCTGGGCTTAACAAGAACTGTCCCTGTGGTCTTCCATTTCCTTACTATGTTCCTTACAGTTTAAATCTCTGAGAAAACTTTTTGTATCCTTCCCCTGAAAGGCTATGTTAGACATCAGATCATTTGAGAATTGTTTTGAGGTGCCCATGATGAATCTTTAGAGGAGATTCAAACAGGAGAACAACTTGCAGCTGGCCACCTTAAATACATTTTCTCACAATTGGTTACACCTGGATATGAAGCTTAAATCTTAATGAACTTACCAAACCAATTTTATCTTTCAGTAAGTGAGTGAAAAGTAGTTAAGTATATTCAAATCAATAAAATGATTAGGGTACCCAACTTTTTACACCTGTCAAATTGTGTTTTAATGCATACTGCACATTTTCTGTTAGTCCAATAAACCTCATCAGTTATTAGATATATCAAACGGAAATAGCTGTTGCAAACACCCAAATATTTAGAAATAAAAATAATTAAGATTAATAGGGGCCCAAACGTTTTCATATGACTGTACATGCGTGGCTGAGATTAGTGCATTCAGCAGCTGTAACTTTAGATCACACAAATGACCATGCATTGCTGCTCCACCAAGGTGCCTTCAAGGACCACATGGGGGGCCCTCAGAGTCTTCTAAATAAAGAACAACCCACCAGTGGGCTAAGTTTGAAATTTTATTTTATTCTGTTGCTCTTCTTTTTAATCATTTATAGAGATTTCAAAATGACAATGTCTAAATAAACTTAGAAATTAACAGAAACAATAAAAATATGTTGATAATGAACAAAGTTTAGGCTAACGCTAAACCTTGCAGCTCATGGGTCAGTAATGGTCGCCCGTCCTACGTCTCGGTACCCTTGAAGTGGCCCTCAGCCTTAAAAAGGTTGGTGACCCCTGAGCTAGAGCAATGTCTAAATAATTGGTATCAGCCTTAAAAAAAAAAACTAATAGAAAGATACTTTTGAAGAGAATGTGTATCTTTAAGGTAAATCTACAACATGTATTTTCTGAGTTTTTAGAAGTAAACGCAAAACGAGACCTTGGTGTTCAAACATGAAAAGCCAGTACATGTAGATGTTGTGAAAAAAGGACACAGTCTGTCTCCTTTAATATCACACAGCACATACTGTACATTACAATAATAACTTCACAAAAAAACCCTGCAAACTTACCGCCTCACTGTGGACGGGGTGCACGGCAAAGAGCAGCGCCGCCAGCAGGCTGAAAGTCCTGTCCAGGAATAGTCGGCAAACCCGCAGGAAAAGGATGCAAACGACGGCGTGTAGAATGATATTCAGCAGATGATAGGAAGCTGCGCTGAGCTCACTGAAGAGGTAGTTCAGTCGGAAGGTGAGCACTGTTAGCGGTCTGTAAGACTTATGGCTCCGTTCCTGAAGAATGGGGGAGGTACATAATCAAGCGGTCAGATCACATTGTTACACTCATCAGATTAAGCTGCACCATCAACAGAAATTTTAACATTCAAGAATCAAACGATGCGGCTAAAGGATTTAAAGCAGTATAAGAGCAGGAGGGTTGTAACGGTTAATCACCTCAGCCATCGGCGTTCCCCAAAAGTCATTGAGGAACAGGTTGCCGAGAGGGGTCGAGGGCCGGAGGTCCTTGTTGTCGAGGATAGCGGAGACGTCGTCAAACACAAAGCCGCAGGACAGACTGTTCCAGTAGCAGCCCACCACCAGCCCGGTCAGAAGTAGAATCTCCTTCCACGACACGACAGCCATACCTGACCCCAACCGTCATGGATCACTGCAGAAGAAAATCAAACATTTAATTTATGATAAAAGGAAGTTTTCATTTAGAGCCGTATATTCCTAAAGATGTCTTGTCTGGCTTCTTTAGATTGAATATTGTGACGTTAAGTTTAGTGGACAGAGGGGTAAGGAGAGTAAACCAACCCATGGACCAACGGGACAGTCCACGGAAGTAGGGGAACAGCTCATTTCAAGAAAATACATTTCCCTCATCACATTCATTTTGATTTATTACTGAACATGTTTGTTTGAACCTGAATACCTCTGTCACATAAAGCACAACATAACTACAGATGGGCATTGAGAATTGATAGGAACTGGAATCGAAAAGAGGAATCCAGATGCCCAACCCCCAAAAATAACATTAATATGACACATTTTATGAGTTGAACTTTGTGACCTTATCCATCATTTTCAGTTGCAGGACACCTGCTGTAGTGGGTAAGCCCATAGTACACGATATCATCATGGTGTTAAAGATGCTTAAATAGATCCAACAGATGTTAATTTTTTTTTTTTTGCGTAGTCAATAGAACTACTCTTTAACTCTTCGAGTTATGTATAATAATTATACATAATACTTTTAATTAGGGCTGAAACAATCAGATTAATCATGATTAATCGACTATTGAAATAATAACAAACAGTATCAAATAGTAATCAATTAATCATTATTGATACCACACGTAGTGCATCTATTACCTGGAGTATACTGTAGAGGCTCTAAAACATGAGCGACCGACTTAGAGCAGTAATTATACCAAAATTGTAAAAACAAAACAAAACAAAACAAAAAACAATATGCAAACATTTTGCATTTAAGATAAAAAAAATATATTTTTCGTCCATCAATATGCTCTATCCAGAACTGCTGAAGAGAAAAAACTTTTATTTTCACCTGGTTTATATTCTTAAAAAAAATCTTTAAGGAACCTTTTTCTATCCAATTATTAGACTAAAACTAATCTTTCTTTATCCCTTGAGATTACTCCTTCAGGGAAATTCTGGTTCCAGTAGCTTATATAGAGTACAAAAAGTTAAAGCAAGTCACCATTAAAGATAAAAAAATATGACAGACTATATAAAAAGAGTGGATGAAGCATAAAAAAGAAAAAACTTGTAATGTCCTGGAATAAGTTTTTCTTGGATATAAGAAAAATCTGCAGAGAGCTAAGGGAAGACTACACAGTAATTGACTTTGGTTATTGCACTTGCACTGCAGAGACTTACTGACCATATAAACAAGTAAAAATTATACAGACTATACAGCAGCTGACTGACTTTACAGTGCAAATGCAATAACCTAAGTCAACTACTGTGTGCAAAAAAAAGCGCAAGTGCAAAAAGATAATCGACAGATTAATCGATTTGCAAAATAATCGTTAGTTGCAGCCCTACTTGTAATGTCGTAAACATTCTTTTGTTGTAAAAAATAAATTAAAAATCGAATTTTTCGGTTTTATGTTTTTCACCTGAACCTTTCAAACATGGGACATCAAAGAAGCTTTGACTTTCTATTGTGAAAACTCATCCGTTATCTGCTGTAACGGTAGAAATATATACATAAATAAAGTACATACATGAACACACACATATACACATATACTTTTCCAAAAGATAAAAAAATATACATATTTTTTTCTCTTATAAGCAAATGCAAATAGTTTATTAATCATTTAAATGTTCCCCTTAATACTATATTAATCACAATACCTCTTTGTTTTCTTTAAAACCAGAAGAGTTCTCTTCCTAATAAAATCCGTTTGATTTTACTTGGATAGGTTATTTTTATTTTCTACAAATTAAAGCAAGGGGCTGAACATCCACCCGGAAGAGTGATTCCTAATTCCCTCCTAGGAGTTGTAGTACAATACCTTACAGTACATTAACCATATAACCATTCCCATTTGCTCACACAGTGCAGTGAGGGGCTTATTTTAAAGTTGAAAATGAAAGTAGCCTCTAGATCATCAACATGTCGATCTGTTTCTCATTTGGGTTTAAATGCACACAGTAATCAAACCACACCTTTGCTGTCAAAACTCCAAACGAAAAGGGTGACACTTTAGGTCACCTGGTGAACAACAACAAACGCTTTTTTACTAAATGAATTAAACTATCTGGTTTCAAAAGACACAGCAGGACAAAGTGAGCGAGTATTAAGCGATTTTTATCAAGCCGCGATGTTTGCTAACGTCCCGTAGCGTTAGCAACTTTAGCAGGAAATGCTAACTAGGTTGCGACGAGTCTTAAAGAGGTTGAATACTGTGAGGGCTGAGTTCTGCCTTACCGAGGACACGTAAGAACAGAGAGGCGAGCTTCGGTTAAGTTTATGATAAAAACTCAAGACGGTGCAGGAGGCTTGGACTGACAGGGGGGTTTCATTTGTACCAGCTAGCTCAAACGCACCGCAGCTATCCCTTCCGGTGCGGAGGTGAGCGCGCGGGTTCAACAACATTAGCCAGGATAGGAATGGAAGAGCCCGCGGCTTGTTTGATCTTGTAGAAGCGCTCGCGCGACCTAAACCGATACAGCTTTGTTTTTCCACTTTACGCGGTTTTGTTCTTTTTCTCCCCCCCCCTACAGATTACTGTCCTTGTTTGTTTTTTATCTCCGCGTCACTGATGTTGTGAGAGCCGTAACCTAGCAGCAGCCAAAGCTTCACATCACGGACTCCTAAGGACAGTTTTTTTGTCGTCTCGGATTAATAGTCTGCTAAAATTTCCTCTTTAACCAAAGCCTTTATATCCAGCTAGTCATATTCCACTATACGGCTTAGAATTAACGTTTCGGAAGCGTAAATTTGTAATTGTTTTCGCCTCATAACTTTACTAGAAATAAAAATATGATATATAATTTAACCGAGCCCCTCTGGAAGCGCTGCACGCTTACAATTTAGATTTATTGGCTGTCTTTAAAACGTCCCCGTATCAAAATGCCGCCGTCCGCTCTCATATGGGAGAAAGTGTCTAAAATTGATCCGCAGACTCTTGACCAGTGTGAAAAAGACGAACTGGATGAAGTCTTCCGCGTTTTTGTTGCGGTAATTCTTTATTGTTTACATTTTACAGCATGTTCACAGACCTCTGCTCAGTGTCTTCTGCCTGATAGATTTATTTGTTTAATAGGCAGAGAAGAAGACCCACCAAATAGTGACTGAATGTAAAAAGAGTAGTGTTAAAATTGATCTTTATTGATCATTAAAGCTGAAGGCATTCTAATCCAATCTATAGGTCTATCTAGAGACAGGGGCGAAGCTAGATTGGGGGCCAGGGGTGGCCATGGCCACCCTTAGCCAATCATTGGCCACACCTGTGGCCACCCCTACCATTTATTTCCCTCTAATACAGAGGTAGCAGCAGTAATACTCTCAAGGGAAATTTTTAAAACATTAACATTTTTCATAAATTAATTACTTGACAACAAAAACAATGTGACTAATATTAAAGATGATAAGTACAGATTTCATGCTCTTTTCAGAACTAGATTCTGTGTTTCATGGGGCGAAGAGAAAACGATGTGTCTCTGAAAGTCATCCAGGAGTCTTGAGTGAAATCATAGATAAATAACTATTTTAATAAAAACTTAATAATCAATTTGTGTATATATTATTACTTGTAAATATCAATTTTATGCAGAATAATTGTTGATAAAAGTAGGTAAGTAATGACAAAGGAAGAGATGTCTGCCCCAGAACTCAAACCTGAAAGAATTTGACCCACTATACCTTTTATCCAGAAAGCACGGATGTTTTAATATATGTGTCTATTTGTTAGCAAAGGCTGTAGGAAAGTATAGTTTGTCTTTATTTCGAAAATATAGATCTGCTTGTTAATTTTCCTGTTGCAACAGTGTAGATTGACCCTGAGGTTCTGGTGCCTATCTACTTTCGGCTACCCCTCAGTGTACATTGGTTACTGCCTGGCCACCCTTATAGAACTTCTCTGGCTATGCCTCTGCTAGATAAATATTCCCTTAAACCATAAATATAATCGGGGTGGGGGGAATTTTGTTCCACTGTTCAAAGCACAAAGCATGTTTTGTAAATGGAAATAAAAAAAAAATGCAATACAGTAAAAATGTCAAAGAAATGTTTTAAGCAATGACAGACTGGCGACCTGTCCAGGGTGTACCCCACCATTCCCCTTAGCCTGCATGAGATAGGCACCAGCACCAAACGACCCTGATGGAATAACCGGTAGAAAATGGATGCTTTATTTTTCTGAGATTTGATGTAATTTTTTTTTTTTTTTTTTTTTACAAATTTTATATCTTCAATATTATCCAAGTTCCTTTTTTTTGCAGGGGAAGTTTTACAAATTGCACTATTTCAAAATTGCGTTTCAGAGATAATAGTCTCTTTACTCCAAGTCCATTACAACTGCTTGCTGTTGTTGAACATGTAACGTTGTTGCTAGAGTCCATTAGTTAGACTAGTAGAAATGCTTTCCAGTCTTCTTTAAATCTCTGTTTGCTGTTATGGTCACAAAGTCTGGCAAAGAGACACTGGAGTCTGAGATATGATTCTGCAGCCAAGTTTCAGTAAAACACAATATGCTGCATTGCTGATATTCCACTGGGTCCTTGTTGGGCTTGGAGGTCTTCTAAATTGTTTCCAAAAGATCTCACGTTGCCCTTAATGATTGCTGGAAGAGATGGCTTAAATGTCTTCTTTCTCACTTCTCCTTGCTCCTGCTCTGCATCCCTGGCATCTCCTTTTCAAATCAGCTAATAATTGCAGAAGTAGTCGAAGTTTTAGTTTTAGAGATGTTAATGAGCTGCTCACGGGTATAAAAAAACAACAACAATTTGCTATGATTTCTTTGATATCGAAAAAGTATCCAAAAATAAAAAATCAGTTAAAATCCTCCCAGGTACGCAGAATCTTTCAAAAAAAATCCTGGCTCCAGGTGGTAATCTGAATCATCATCAAATGTAATAAGTAGTTTCTAGTCACAATATGAAACTTCCCTGAAAATTCCAGCAAAATCCATCCATAACCTTTTTAGTTATTTTGAAAAAAAACCCCAAAAAGAACAGACGAAGTAACGGTGATTAAAAAGCAACCTCCTTGGCAGAAGTAATTATATAATTTGTAAAAGGAGATCTGAAAAACAAATTCAAAAATATTAAATATGTACAACAACCATTTAAAAATTTTCAGAAAAAATACTTTTGAAAAAAATGAAATCCAAAAAAAAGAAACATTTTTGAAAAAAAATAAAATTTGCAAAAATACTCAATACCTTTTACTGAAAACATAAATTCTTCTTGATAGTTTTTTTTTTTTGTTTTTTAAATAAAATGTAAGAAAAGTGCTTATTTGGATTTCCATTTAAAAAATGTGCTTTTTGCTTGTGAAAAAAATCCAAACAAAATTCCCTCCATAGGTATCGATTTCAATTTGAAGAATAGATTCAATTGCGATTTAGAAACAATTCTTTTTGATGCGACCCGAATCTCAAATTAATTTACTGGTATTCAAAAAAAAATTTTTAAACACTTATTAGAATTACATGAGCTTGTAGTTATGCCACATTCTTTTATTATATTAACATTTAACAGCAAACTAATAAAGTAGTTGTAGTTATTGGTCACTGTAAGAACAGTAGAAAATGCATTCATTTAAAAATTAATCTTTGTTTATATGAATTTGTCTAGGAATTAATATGTGAGCGAAATCACAATTAAAAAAATATTTATGTTTTATGATAAAGAGTTTCTCTGTACAATCTGAGCATGTTTGTGATTTTTATATAACTGTATTGTTATATAAATATATATGTTTCCAGTTTTGACTGCTTCATTATTAACATTTTCATCTAAAATCTATATTTCCCATGCAGACAAAGGAATGGGAGGTGAAGGATAAAGCTACAGAGAACATTACTCGAGTCCTCCGGCTGGGCCAGGCCTTGTTAAAGGTGTCAGGTTTTGTTATTTCTACATTCTGCTCTCTCCTGTGCACATCTGTTTTCTAACCTGCAGGCTTGATTTACAGTGCTTTGCCAAAGTGTTCAGCGTCCTTTAACTTTTCGACCTTTTGCCATATCTCAGGCTTCAAACATAAAGATATAACATTTTAGTGTTTTGTGAATAATCAACAAGATGGACACAATCATGAAGTGGAACAAAAAGTGTAGTTAATACTTTGTAGCTTTACCTTTTTTTTGCGATTACTTCTTGGAATATGTCTCGATCAGTTTTGCACATCGAGAAACTGAGATTTTTGCCCAATCTTCCATTTAAAACAGCTGGAGCTCAGTGGGGTTGGATGGAGAGTGTTTGTGAACAGCAGTTTTCAGTTCTTTACAGATTTTCGATTGGGTTCCGGTCTGGACTTTGACTAGGCCATTCTAACACCTGGATATGTTTATTTGTGAGCCATTGATTGTAGATTTAGCTTTGTGTTTTGGATCATCGTCTTGTTGGAAGATATATTTCTGTCCCAGTCTTTTGCAGATTTCCAAAAGTTTTCTTCCAGAATGCTCCTGTATTTGGGTCTATCCATCTTATCACTCTTAAACAACTCCCCTATCCCTGCTGAAGAAAAGCATGCCCAAGCATGATGCTGCCACCTCCATGTTTGACAGTGGGGATGGTGTGTTAAGGATGATGAGCTTTCTTTTACACCAAGCAAAACGTTTGACAATGTTGCAAAAAAGTATGATTTTGGTTTCATCTGCCCAGAGCACCGTCTTCCACATGTTTGCTCCCAGGTGGCTTGTAGCTAACCTTAATTAAGACTTTGTATTAATTAAATACAAAGTCCAATACAAAGTAATATTAATATCTTTAAAAAAGTCTTTATACCATAAATGTGTGCAGTATACGACCGATTGTTGTCCTATGGACAGAGTCTCCCAGCTCAGCCGCAGATCTCTGCAGGTCATCCAGAGTGATCAAGGACCTCTCAGCTGCATCTCTGATCAGTCCTCTGCTTGTTTGAGCTGAAAGTTTAGAGGGACGGCTGTCTTTGTAGATTCTCAGTGGTCTGATGCTCCTTCCATTTCAATATTATCACTTGCACAGTGCTCCATGGGATGTTTAGAGCGTGGGAAATCTTTTGTATCCAAATCCGGCTCCAAACTTCTCAAAAACAGTATCTCATACCTTTCTGGTGTGTTCCTTGTTCTTCATGATGGTCTCTGTTCTTTAAACCTACCTCTGAGACTCACAGAGCAGGTGCATTTATATGGATACTTGATTACACATGGGTGGATTCTATGTATCATCAGCAGTCATTTTGGTCAACATTGGATCGTTCAGAGATCCTCATTGAACTTCTGGAGAGAGTTTTGCACTGAAAGTAAAGGGGCCGATTCATTTTCCACACCCCAAAACAAAAAGAGCCATGATTGCATTCCACCTGTTGTTTTTCTCAAAAAAATACAATTTTATATCTTTATGTTAAAGTCACAAACGTGGCAAAAGGTAAAAAACTTCAGGGGGGCCAAGTACTTTCGCAAGAGACTGTATATCAAAAAGAAAGAACATTTCCTATAAAGTCTATAGCATTGCGAGGGATGGTTGTCAGGGACTACTTTGCTCATGGACGAGCTTATTTCTGTGTGTTGGTTTGAGCTCTCTGGTCTCTTCTCTTACTCCACCTTTAGATTAAAGAACGGGAAGTTAAAATTCACGAAAGCTTTATCGATGAAATTTGTTTACAACACGTCAAAACTGGTGAGTAGGAAGGCTCCAATGCATAGACGCATACTTTTCATAAAACACATCTGAAGATTTTTAAATCCAATTTTTTTTTTTCTCCAGAGAATGATCTTCGAGCAAAGGTGTCCAAGCTTGAACAAGAGAGCAAGGTAAGAATGGATTACTTATTTAATAAAATGACAGAGAAAGAAAAGTTTTTAAAAAATAATGTTGAAGTTTTAATTTTCTGTTCAGGGTGTAGGAGGAACACTTTCCTGCTGCATTTATTTTTTCCCGTGTGATAAAATATCCCCCCCCTTTCGCCTTATTGGTCACCTTTGCCAGCAATAACTTCAAGCGTTTGTTTTCTGTGTGACTTTATCAGCCCTCTGGAGTGCAGAGGAATTTTGGCGCTCTTTCTTTAAAGCATTTTTTTTTATTACATACTGTAAAATGAAATCCTAGAATTTGAAGACTTTATACACACTTCTTACTGTGTTAAGTCAGCAGGGTGTATGAGCGCCGTTAGTCTGTTATTAGTGGGTGGATATAAACACTTGTACAGAGCATGTACAGAGCCTTAGGAAGGTAAACATGCCTTTTTAACCTTACCTCATTTAGTCACAGTACAACCACAAAATTCATGGTTCAATTGTATTTAACCTGCATAGTTAGGATTATTATAAAAATAACCATGTATAAGAATCCTGCTAAATAAGAGATTCAGCTATGACATGTATATATATAGATATATATATAGATATATATCTATATATAGGTCTCAGTATGGAGTGAATTTATTTTTGCAAAGATCAAACCTATTTAGTAATTACAAATAAAAAAAAAGAAACACTTTTTGTTAATGGAAACATAAAAGCTATCAAGAAAGAAAACTGAAAATTGTCTTGATTAAAAAAAAAAAGGTTTAAGAGCTGCTTTGTTGTTTTCTCAGATGTAATATAATTTTTTTTTATTCTAAAAAAACCTAATATATTTATACTTTATGTTACGCCAGATTTACACTTTTTCGAAATTGGATCCTCTCAAAAAGGCTTTAAAATTTTACATTAAAAACCATTTTTTATATTTTGTTTAAGATTTAGTTTTGCAAACTTCATCCTTTTTTAATAAAGTTTTAAAAATAACAGAAGTTGCGTTCAAGTTGAGCTAGATTTGCGAGGTCTGATCGAGGTTGGTCTGTTCGCGGAGCCAGTTAGATCTCCATCTGACTAGCTCCTGTCTGCACCTGATGTCAGGAGCATCTGAGACTTCAATAGATCAGAACAGGATCAGCTGTCTCAGGCAGACGCTGCAGTTGATCAGTGGAGGACTCATCTCACAGAGCATGATGGGAAAAAGCCCTCTTATCACCAGTCAACAGACAGGTTATTGGAAGTTTTTCTCAACAGACAGGTGATTGTCAATAAAAACACCCCTGTATGCCCTCTCTATCCTTCCAATTTGAATTTATTTATTCAAAATATGCATCTATAAGAGGAGCAAATATGAGATTAGTGAAAACACATTTCCAGTGGTCTGGATGGATGTTTTTGATGGCTTTGTTTTGGTCACATCTATTGGAAGCGTTTGTATGGGGCTTAAGAGGAAGAGAACGAGATCTGTGAAACGCAATTTGAAAAGGATTCAAGTCATAAAATCAAATCTGAATAAAAAAAGAACTTTAAAATATAAAGTTTGTAAAAAAAAAAAAAAAAGAACATTTAAAAGTATTAAGTTTGAGACAATGAAATAACTCAATCTAGTGTGGACCAATATCAGCACTTAAAAGTGTTAATTAAGGACACATTCAGCTCCCTGGGAGCTGAATTAAATTCAAATTTTCTGTTTTTGATTCATGCTAATATTTAATCAGATGCATAGGTTACATTGTATACCTAAACCTGCAACATTGTTATCATATTGGGAAGGAAAAAGTTGTATCTGGACACCCCTAACTACAAACACACACAATACTTTCATATGTTTATTTCTAAAATCGAAATGTAATCTTTTTTTATTCATCATGAAAAAATTATTTTCTCTATTAATGGAAATGAGCTGAAATTTATGTTGTAATGTGAGGGGCAAAAAAAAAAAAAAACAGTTGAAGGGATCTAAATACTTACATTAGGCACAGGAGACCACCTTTGTTGTGCATCTAACTTGAGGACATGTTTTACCTCTCTTCAAGAGGGCCGAATCTTTCAGCCAATCACTGATTGTAACCTTGGCTGTGATGGGATTGGCTGTAGTGACCACTGCAGGAGAGCACCTAAGAAGATTACAGCTAATTCCATGCATGCTCTCAGCATTTACTTCTTATTTCAAACAGATTGAAACTGATGTATTGACATTTTTTGGCTTTAGAAAATGCAATCTTTCTGTTTATTTAAAAATGAAATTAATCCTTGTTTGACCACATAACAAAGCTCAGCTGCATTTTGGATCTGTAATCAGGCGAAGGTGACGAGAGACTGAGGTGGGGCCTGTTTGTTTAGTTTTTTCTTTTTTTCTCTGTCTCGTTTCCGATCCACAAGGCTCAGCAGCTCGGCACCGGGCCAGACAGCCGCTTTCTCAGGGATGAGATTCGGCAGCTCGAGGCTCAGCTGGAGCAACGGGAGAAGGAATTGACCCATTTAAAGAAAGACATGGGCAAGGAAAAGAAAACAAATGAAGAGGTATGAGTGTGCCTCCCCCAGTACCCGGTTAATCCTCCTGTGTGGTTTCCATACTGTGTTGTTGTTTGGTCCATTTAAACACCTGCTGTTAAAGGGGACTGTTTGGTTACTCTTGCAACACATCTCAGTCATTTATAGGTAACCACATACAAATTATATGTTTTGATTAAACTCTGAAATATACACATAAATCTTAGAATATCACTTTCTTTTACATTTCTTAATTAACTGAAACTGGGCTTGCAATATCCCATTTGTGGCAAAACATTTCTGTGCCTTTTTTATTCCTAGTTGATTGCACGGATGGAGGAGGCTGAGGGCGAGGTGAAAAAGTTGAAAAGAGAGGTGAGCAGTGGCTGCAAAGACATCAGAGACGTCCTTCCATTCCCTTCTCCTGTGTCCTCTCCTTTCCTTACCTCCCTTTGAAATTCTGCCTCATTTCATATGTTCTTTATTTGTTCTGTTCTTTTTTTTGCCTTGTTCTCCTCCGTTGGATAGTTGAAAAAATCTAAGAGGAAGGTAAGATAACGTAGGAAATGTAGTGAGGTCAGAATAGATTAGTTAAACTTAAGACTCATTAAACATCTGGGTCTGCCATTGCTGCTGAAACTGATCAAGGATACACAGAAAGAAAACAATGTCACTCAGACCTTTGTGGAATCAGTATGAAGTCTGCCAAAAGTGCACAAGAGTAATAAATACTCATACAGTATAAGCAGATTTATTTAAAACACACACACTTAAACTAGTCACACCTATTTTAAGTTTTATACATGCAAATTCAATGCAATGAGTCACTCTGCATCACTCTGTTAACACCAAACCAAAAATACAGCATATTTGCACCATATACATGCTCTGAACTTCCATATCAGTGTGTTTTTTGCACCATGTTCTTTCTCCCACACTGTTTACATTTGATCACTGCTGCACTTTATGGAATGGAAACGTCCATATGCTGTCTGAGAAGCTGTACCAAACAAAATTTTGTGTTGTATACACTGTTTATAAAAGGACATGAAAAGTTGTCTAAGTCTTTTGTTAATTTTGTCCTTTTGAGGAAGGAATCAAGCTGAGAAAGTAAATTGCCTTTGATTTGCTACTTTTCAGGAAATCCCACCTCTTAGCACAGCTGATAGCTGCTCTCTTAAAGAAGTGAATTCTGACTTCATATTAAAAACCATCGTTGTCATCATTTGAAAGATCAATTAAGCGAAGTCCTAATTAAAGATATAGTAGAGGATTTTCGTGAATTTTTGAAAAGACCTCCGCTTTAAAAAAAAAATGCACACGCACAACCCTGTACCCGCTCCTGAGACTGAACGCCTATTAACCGCTTGCGTAAGCATGCAGGAGCCCATTTCTCCTCATACACGCTCTGTTTACAAGATGCTTTTTGCACCACTCATTCATGCTTACTTTCCACTTTTTTGGATGATTCACCCGGAAAAAGAACATCCTCCATAATAACTTTAAGTAACTTGGTTTAACACAATCATGAATGCGTTCTGAAAGCAGTAGCAACATGCTCTAAAATGATTGGTTAAATTTGGAACTCAATTGAGCTAAGCTAACATTAGCATTACTGTTTAGGCCAGGCCTAACAAAACCTGCAGGAGATTGGCCCTTGAGGGCTGACTTTGGGCCAGACTTGTTTACACAGCAGAAAATGAGGTTTGGATGAACCGTTGATTATAGCTAAACACATATATTTTCATTTTAATCAGTTAAGCATTTTCTCTTAACGGTAGCGTCCTGCAACTTGGAGGAAAAAAATTACTCTCCCAAGAGGAGGGACTTTTCCTAAAAAGTAGGCAATCACGGGCTGTTTACTTTCTCTGGTTAGCTCCAGCCTCAATGTGACAAACGTTGACATGAGCCTCAAAAACAGATCCAAACATGAGTGAAAGATAATGCAGAAGCAAAAAAAGCAAGCAAGGAGAACAAAGGAGGAGCTCAGACCTGTGAGATATTATGGTCATCATGTTGTTGAATCTGCACATTCTGCATAATTATTTTAATAAAACCGCTTGAATGAGTATGCTAATGTATTTATTGATCCTGACTTCATATTAAAGCCTATGAGTCCACTATGATGTAACCCTTGCTTGATCCCAGTCTAACCGTGCAGAGGCCCGCCTGGTGCATTAGGGGACCTTGCATAAAGTATGGTGCTGCCAGACCTCTTCCACATTGAATGGAACTCTGCGTTTACATTTGTTAGATGCTTGCGGTTCTAAATACTATGGAATTAGAATAGGAGGAAAAGCATTTTAAGATATACATAGTAAAATCTTCCTTTTTAATAAGATTTTAATCTCATGAAGAATCACCCTGATGTCTTTTGAAAAGAAGTGTCCAGAAGGCTGTAAATGGCTGATAAGCAACACTTTGGCCCCCCTGCCTTAGAAAACATAGATCCTAGACATTTCCAAAAAAGCTGCCAGCATTTCCTACCTCACTATGTAGCATCACAGACTAAGGCTGATGATTTAAAAAGACGACAAATTGTTATCTTTCAGGCTCCGATTTAAAATCACAGTCCATCCTGATGTTGTTTCTACCCTTCCTGTGCCGCCCTAGAATGAGCAGCTCCAGCAGGATGTGGAGTTCTACCGGGGAGAGCTGGAACAGAAGGAGCCGCTCCCATCCAGAGACGAGAGTGCAGAGACTCAGAAGAAGCTGAGCTTGGCCAACCGCCAGCTTTACCAGTGTTTTGAAGACCTTCAGGTGTGTTGAAAAGCTTAGCTGCTAAATGAGATAAATGACCATACATGAAGACAAAAACATACAATTCTTTCTTCTGGCTGTCAGCTTTCATTGTGTGCAGCAAGCATTAAAGTTTCCTTCACTGATCTAATTTATTATATTGTTCTGCCCCTAACAGAGAGCGGAGGATGAAAACGCACACCTGAAGACACAGAACGAGCAGCTGCAGAAAAGCCTGGAGGAGTCTGTAAAGGAGATGGAGAAGATGACAGATGAGTACAACAAGATGAAGATCGTTGTGCAGCAGACTGACTCAATTATGGACCAACTCAGGAAAGAAAGAGATCACACAAAGCTTCAAGTAAAGCCCGCTCTCTTTCAAACGCTGTGCTAGTTATTTTTTTGGTTCTTTTTTTTTCACGTTCTGATCAACACCATGAATCAGTGGGTGGTTTCTAAAATATGTTTCCATGCTGAGATGAGTTATGGGGTATCATTCATCATTCCTTTGTGAGGTCATAGCAAAATTGTTGGAGTAATAATATCAAAGAAATGTCTTTTTGCACTGAAGTAAGGTTATATTTACTTTAATGGGCAGGTTAGAGAGCTGACAGACAAGATTCAAGGCATGACTGAAGAGAACGAGCCAATTATGGCAGCTGTCAACGCCAAAGTGGAGGAGTGGAAGGTGAGTGATGAATGTAGAAAATAATTAAAATGGCTTCACTTTTTCTTTTATCTACAGGGAGGTATTCCTTAAAGAAATAGATGCTACAGAGAACCTTCTATCGTTTTTTGACAAACATATTAGAAGCTTTTACCAATGCAGTCAGAGGTTTACATTCTCTCATTAGATGTAGGATTAGTTAGGGAATTTAAATGTTTTATTTGAACAAATTTCCACAAACATATAAACTAATGCTGTGCCCAATCGTCCTTCCTAACCCCTAAATCCCTCAATCACCGTATACATTATGCTATTGTACATAACTGTAAAAACCCTTTTTATAGTAATATCCACCTATATATTATATTCGGTACATATCCAGCTGTAAATTTAGTTCATAACACTACTTATCTATATATTATATTCATATGACAAATCTATTAGTAAAATTCTGTTTATAATGGTTTCATCTCTATATTTATTCAGTAGAAACCCATGTCCTGTATTTATGGAACCATTATTTATCCTGCACTTGCTGCTATGGAAGCTTGTACCTGTACCTGAGTAATGACAATAAAGGTAAATCTAATCTAATCTAATCTAATATAGCGGGGACTTTATACTGAACTTTATTGTGAACTCAGTTAACTGACCGTTCGGACAGATGTTCCCTACTTTTCGCATCCTGTTGGTCACATGACTCCGCCTCCCCGCACGGTGCTGGCCCCATTTTTGTTATTTGTGGCGACACTGGGCCGCTGTGACAACAAATCCCATAATGCTTTGCAAGGAGAACCCTCCAAGCAAAGCATTCCGGGATATATCTGCTCGTCTTATGAGAATGGATGATCACTACTTTTCAAGGTGCATTGTGGGAAATTTCGAGCCCACTACTTTTTCATCTACTAGATGCTCGGTTTAAAATGGCATAAACACTATATAGCGCGCGTATAGTGATTAGGGTGGATATTCGGACACAGCCTAAATGGTTTTGGAAAACTGGGTTCAGCAGATTTCATTTGGATTATCTCTAATGCACACCAATTCAGCTTATAACTAGAGACATAAATACATTCTGCTAAGCCAAAAACTATTTACACCACGGGCTTACTTAGAGTTTAATTATGTTCTTTGCACCAAGAAGTTTTTTTCTTAATCAACAACAAAAAGACATTTGGAATCAGTTTCTAGCTACTGTTAATGTCTTTTTTTTCTTTTTATCCACGATTATTTTTACAAAATTGTCAGTTGATGACAGAGATGCTGCTGGTTATGAAGTCAGTCTCGAGGGAAACATTGATTAACCTGAAGATGCTTTGCTAACTTTTCCAGCCGTAACTATGAAGACCACAATACTGTCTAAAGAGGCGGGCTTTCCTGAAAAGTAGCCAATGACAGGCAGTCATTTAATGCCAAGCGTATTTTAACCAGTAAGCATTCCCTGTCATTAACAACCTCACCTCTATATCAACCAGCAGAGGATTATCCCATGTTTGCTTCACTAGCCTTCATTCTTGCCTCTTTGTCTTGGATGGTTTTACAATTCTAGGGTGCATCTCAATCCGATCTCTGCTGTTATGTTTGGTGAAACCACATCTATCACAGGAAACCTGGATGTGTTACACCTCGTTCAGACGCATTTTAAGGTCATATAATGATGTTCCACCAGTTTTCTTTCCGATTCAATACTGAGTGACATTCCTGCATTTGAAATATTGCTTGAACAGCAATTTGGGTTGATGTTAAATACCAATGCAAACATTTCCTAAACTGTTGTTTTTAACCATCGATTATGATGTTATATGCAGTATAATTTAATGATACTTCACTTTAAATTATTAAATTTTTCCAAAAGATGGCTAATAAAAGGTTTATATATATTTCTTAATCAATCTGTTATGAAACACTTTATAACTCATATGTGTTTTTTATGCATTAGTTAAGGGAGATTGTGGCAAAACTGACCAGTTTCTAGCCAAAAACTGAGCTTTAGCTGTTCAGTTATATATTCTCTTTTTACACTGAAAAATACTCATAAATGAGAACCTTTTTCAGAGAATGATTAATTACATGTCTGGCTTTTGTCAGTTGTTTGTGTTTGTTGATAGTATGTGACTGTATTTGTTGATGGGCAGGAAGGATTTCCTGTAGTGGTCTGTCCTTCAGCTGTTCTGGAGAAGCCTCTGACTGAAGCGACTGTTATTGCGATGAGATTGAAGATGGTTTTTTCAAGTGGCTCATTTTTCAAGTGGCTCGTTTACTTGTTGAAATGAACTTAAAATAAAGACAATACGGACAGATGGAAAATAAATACATTTAATTGAATGAAAAAATCATCAGCATTTTGCTGCCCTTATTGTTTCAGGGTAACATTGTGTTATTTCAGTGTTTTCAAGAGCTAGAATGAGTGCAAAACATGTTTGGAGAAGACTGTTGTTGAAACCTACCTTTTTACTGTGTGTTTTGATTTTTAATATTTTGTTCTTACTTGAACAAACATTCACTTTGGTGACAAGATGTTTTCCTCACACAGAGGGTGCTCTCTAGGAAGGATGATGAAATGGCGGTGTACCAACAGATGATCCGTGAGCTGAGGGAAAAGCTGCGCTCAGCACAGCTGGACTTGGACAAAAGCAACATAATTGCTCTGCAGCAGGTCTGTCCTAAAATAGCAGAGGGGTGAAAACTCCTCGTGCGTTTTTTATGTCTCACATTTCAGTTTCTTCCCCTGTGGTGCCCTTAAAGTCTGGCATATTACAAGAATAGTGTAAGTTCCCTAACATGCAGCAATATTACAGCTACTTAAAAATATTAACCTCTTACACCCTAAGGGGATATAAATAAATTTCTGCCTGACAAAAACACACAAAAGTAAATAACTTATAGCCTCAAAGCTATTAGATTTAAGAAGAAACTTTTGGTACGTCTGTAAAGGTAAGATGTCATAGAATGGTTTTCTGGTGTCAGCACCATTGTAGCTTTGACCCTGCCTGAAATATTAGGGACAAAATACAAAATATTTTGCAATTTTTGAACCTCGCCAAAATTTTCTTTGAAATAAACATTGAAAAACACTACCAAAATATTATTTATAGCACAAAAAAGTAGTACAGACTTTCAAATGTAAATGTTGTGTAAAAATATACAAAATGTGGACTCAATCAGATGAATCATATTTATTTTAGAATGGTATTAGTGAGAAATTTCTTAGGCGGAGAGGCCATTTTGGCACATTTATCCATAAATGTCACCAAACTGTGCCAAATATGTTTTTTACATCAAAACTGGGGGTTTGGTAAAACTACAAGGTCATGTAGCAGCTGGACCCGCCGGTGGGTCCGTAGGGTTCAAGGGGTTAAACATGCAGAATTTTTTTTACATTTTACTTAAATATATCAAATATAGGATATTTTCTGTTTATTTGGTTTTGAAAACCAAATATGCTGCAAAAAGTTCTAAAGTAAAAGGATTTGTTTGAACTACCACAAGGTTTGCATCAAAGTGTTTGGTTTCAGAGGCCATAATAAGGAAAATACTTTATATGTGCATCTATGACTGTGAATGTTGCAGCTTTGATAAGCTACCTTTGATTTGAAGAAATATTCTTTTGCCTGGCCCAGCTGTTCCTAGTGGTCATCTGTGGTATTGCAAATGAAGGCGTTAACTTCTCTGCAGTTTGGATCCAGATGATGAGTTTTTTTGCTTTTTGTCTTTCATTGATTAATCTATTCTAATCCATGTTTCAACACTGAGGTCAGTGAAAGTACATCCAGTGGAGGAAATATATTATTTGAATCCAGAAAACAAAGGCATCAGAAAATAAAAAAGACTCTCAAAAGGTTGCATTTAAGCGGTTCTGAATGATTGCACCAAAGCAGCAATGAATTTGGTTTGATTTACTTTGCAGCTCTAGGAACTAGCACTAAGGTATTTCCTCCTCACAGCTTCTCAGGATAAACCGCCCTTCATAAATCCGACTATTCCTTTTAGTTTTACTGTAGTTTAATGGATCCATATTTTACATCGAGACAAGTCACAACCTTCAAAGACATTTTGTGTTGAAAAACAAAGTTTTGGAGGGGATGAAATGTGGAGTGTTTGTTATAGGTATTCAGGTGTTCAGTAATCATGTTAAATAAAAGAGCTCAGCTGTTTTATATATATATATATATATATATATATATATATATATATATATATATATATATATATGTGGGTATATAAAACAGCTGAGGTCTCTTATTTAACAGGTTTATTGCACAGGGTAATGACTACCAGTATATAAACCTCCAGAAACCCAGATGGTGACCCTTGATGCTAACCCTGCACTGCAAGCTGGATTGTTGTGAGATCTGAGTTTTCAGTCTCACAACAAATACATCTTGAAAGACTTCCGCCAATACATCCGTCTCCGAATAACCAGTGAGTCGGACCAATGTCGGACCAGCGCGTGTGACCAATGAACAATGATGTTTTTTGGTGCGGGACATGCAGGAATGGCTATAGTCAGAAGGGCCTTGCTGGGGCATTAAAACCATGGCTATGCTGGAGGACTTACCTGTCGATACCGCAATTGACTCTGTTTTAGCTAAAATAGCAACTCGTTTAAAAAGGAGCAAAGAGAAGCAACTTGTGGATGGGAAAGATGTCTCTGCTTTTATTCTGACAGGATTTGAAAAAGTCTGCTTAATCAGCTTTCTCCGCTAGTTGTGAAAATTCTCAAGATGCTGCAGACGAATCCTATTGTGATCATTGTGTCTCTGCTGGTGGCTCACATGGACTACCAAGTTGGCTGAAAGCATACTATGGAAGGCGGGTACTAGCTGGCACGTCACCCAATCAGCTCGACATTTAGTACAATAGTTCGAGTTGATTGGGTGACGTGTCAGCTAGTACCTGCCTTCCATATTATGCGTTCAGCCAACTTTGTGCATTTTCACCCATCCCAGATTGATAACGTAGAACTAAACTCAATTCTACACATATCAATCTGGCTAGTTCCAGTGACCAATTGCATGCACAGTGACAAAATCCCGGTCGCAGGATGTTGTTATGGTAAATATGTACAAAAAGCATATATTTGCTAACAAGATGGGCAAAAAAAAAAGCTTAAAATACCAAAATAACACTTGGCACACAAGCAGGAAGATGTAATTTGTCATAAAAACGTATGAAACCAAGGTGAATTACTGTCATGTGACAAAGTACCTTTTAAAACATGATTTGAGTTCCTTAACAAGGAGACGAGAGGTTTTTCCTTTTTTCTTTGCACATGCCATTCTCCATTTTCTGACTTTCTTCCTGTCTTGTCTGAACCATGACCTTTATTTTTTTACTTCTGATCCACCTGTCGTCCCGTCCTCCTCTATCTCTGCTCTGGCCCAGGTCATTTATGAGCTCTGTGGCGTAAGTTTCATCCTATGTTTCTTCTTCTTCTTCTTAGCCTCTGCTTGTTTCTTTTTTGAAGTTGCCCTTGAAACCATCCATATTGCAGCATTTTAGGACTGTTTAGTGCTGCATATCAAAATTTAACAGTAGTTTGAAATTATTTTGAATGTCCCTCAGGCTGTCCAAGAACGGGATAATCAGATCAAGATGCTGAGCAAGCAGGTGGAGCAGTACACAGGAGAGATGGAGAAACACGCCCAGCTCATTGAAGAGCTAAAGATGTCCACAGAAAAAGACAAAGGTGTGTTGGTTCGTGGCTTGACTGATCATGGTGTCAGTGCATTTTTCTAGTGGTAAGCTCAGTTATAGATAAGGAGAATTAGTGGAATTGTTTTTATCATTTTTGAGCTAAAGCTTTAAATATTGTTATATAAATTTACACAAACTTCATTAGAAACGAAGGGATAAACGGGATAAGTTACAGACCACTGGATTGGTTTGATGGTTCACTGCACTGGTTTACCCCTCACTGCTAACAAATTAGAATATAGATTGAAGGGAAAACTTGTAAAATATTTGCTGGCATATTAGCAAAGGTCACAGCTTCACAAAGTAAAGACATCATTTAAAATCTGATGTTTTTGTCATTTGGTGGGGAAAAAAAATCTGCTTTCATAAGTTGAATGTTCGTAAAATAAGGAAACAGCCTCTTATGAAAATGAAGCCTATGGTCCAGTCATAGGCGTAAATGTTATTTTAATTTTCTGACAACAGACCATAATAATTTATTGGAAATGTTCTTTTACTCTCCTGACTTGAGTATGAAACATACATCTTCAGTTATTTTGAAAAACAAAGCCTTTGTAAAGAGGCTTTAAAATGTTAAGTTTCCTATTGACTTAAAATTGTTTTTGTCAAGTACGAATACTTATCTTTTGTTATATGTTTTACTTATGGAGGTTACCATTTTTCCCCCGTTGCAATGCATGCTGAGTTGATGACGCGGTTAGGCCTCATCACACTGGAACCTGCTTTTTATTGGAAACCAAAGCATTTGGCTTCCTGAACTGGTTTCCAGTTGCTTTTATACATCTACATGGCTTAGACATTTCTTCATTTATTTTTTTAACATAGATACTGTTTTACCTGCAGAGCACTTTGGTCAACCTCAGTTGTTTTAAAATGTGGTCTAGAAATAAAGTTTGAGTTGAGTTGGCCGATAAAAATATTGGCTCAGTGCATCTTTGTTTTAATATTTTGGGTCAAGTTTGTTACATGTGGTATCTAATGCAAGCTCAGGTAAAAATGCAACAACCAATTAAAGTCTCTTAAACCAGTGTCCATCCCGATCGATGGACGCTGGTTGGTTCCAAAGAGACATTTGAATTGAAAAAGCTTCCTTGATGGGAAGCGAAATAACTTCAGACTTGAAAACCAAGTCCAGTTGATTGTTTTATTAACTCTTTTAGAATCCAACAAATAACACTTAATATCGGCCTAAAATATCAGCTGGACGACATTTTGACTCATCTCCACAAGAAATAATTGAATTTGTTTCACAATATAGGGCTGTAAAATTATTCTGCTGATCACTTAATTTGTAGATTATTTTTGATTGATGGATTAATAGTCCGTCACAAGAAGAGCTTTCATCCTAAAAACAAAATGTTTATGTATATATATATTTTTTCTTTTTTGGCATTATTGCTGCTTTGAGTGGGTTTCTCTTTCAGCTGATGACGTGTTAGGGTCTTTTTTCCAGTTAACGATTAAGAGATTAATTAATTGGTTGACCAATTTTTAGTCAATTAATCTGATTGATTGTTTCAGCCCAGTCGGGTTGTAGAAAGGAGCAATTCAAATAAATCAATAAAAGCCACAATTTTTCAAGCAGTGACAGTCATGATGATTTTGTGTACACCTGGAACATGAATTTAAAATTTGTCTTAGTTAAACTGGATGTTGTCCAGGGTGTTAGTATGGTCATTAAAGGTTGTCATTACTTTTCATCTTTATTACGCTAAGGTGTATCTTCAACATCACATCAGAGAAGGATAGAGGAGCTAAAGTCAAAACTGAAAGCTGCAGAGACCAGAGCAATGGAAGCAGAGAAAGCTCTCAGACAAGCTGAAACACACGCTGAGGAAAAAGACAGAGCATTCATTGAAGCTTCCAATCGCCTGAGCCAGTATGAGTCCGTAAGTGTACAAATACGCTCTTTCTCTCCTTTGTTTCAGGCTTTAGCTTCCGAGGCTTTCTCTTAAACCCAAATCAAATTAACTGGCTCTTAATTTCACAGAAACAGGGCTTGTGATTTTCTTTTTCATTGCTTTTAATAGGGATGTTAAAATGCCTTTGGACTGTAGTGTGATCAACATGCTTTTTGGGTTCACAAGCATAGTGTTTGTTGTACACCACAGCTAATTGCACCCTGAATTCCACAAAAAAAAAAAAGCATATGAGACGAAAAACAAAGAAATAAACGAAATTGAGACAAGCCGTGCTTTTTGAGGGATGAATAATCACAGACCTTTTTGTATGGCAGGGAACTTATGGCCTGGAAGCAGCCATTGCCGAGATCAAAGAGTGTAACAATCAAATTAGAGTGAGAGATCGTGAGGCAGAGGCCATGACCAAAGAGATCAACCAGCTCGAGCTGAGAATCAATGACCTCATGGACGAAAACGAGGATTTCCGGGAAAAACTGGGTCAGAGATTTTAAAAACACCACCGTCCTCATTCTGTTTAGACACACTGACTCATCTCAAATGTTAACGTGCGCTTATGGATTTTCCGGTCATGAGCAGGTCTGGGGCCGAAGCAGGAAGTGGATCTGACGGCGTTTAGGCGTGCCAGGGATCTCAGGCAACGGCAGTACAAAGCTGAAAACCAAGTTCTTACCAAGGAGGTAAAAATAAGATCAAAGGAGATCAGGCTGGTTTTAAAATGTTGTTAAGGTGACCTTATTTCAGCATGTCCGCTTGGTTTTGTTCCAGATTGAACGACTGGAAGAAGAGCGACTGGAGCTGAAGAAACAGATCAGGCGCATGGTGAAAGAAAGAGGTGAAAGGGCAAATTTAGATGGAACAGAGCATGTTAGCAGGTTCTAGAGTCCAGCTAGAGAATTTCCATTCCTCCGTCTATATGTCCATCCATTCATCCACCCACCCATCCATCCCTCCATCAATCCATCAACCCCTCCATCCATCCATTCCTCCATCCGTCTGTCCATCCACCAATCCATGTCTCTAGCCATCCCTCCATCCATCCATCCATCAGTCCATCCATCCATCCCTCCAACCATCCAGTATGGACGTTTGCAGCAATATGTTTTTGGTTAAACGTCAGAGTTTGTATTGAAATGAAGAGAATGTGATATGTAAAAGGACATCTAAAAAGAGACATTTAAAGCCGTTCTAAACAACTTTCACTGGTTTCCCCCCAGTGGACAAAAGCTGTATTGTTTTGCCTAAACAAAGGCAGCATCTGCCATGAGGACCAGGGCGTAGGGTGTTAAAATCCTGGTCGCTTGCAGTTGGTTTGAACAACATTTCTGTTTCCAGTGGCTGTGTGAGAAATGATTAGTGAAGTAATGAATGGTGAAATAATGTCATATGACGATGTTGAAAATAAGAAATGTTTATACCCCCCCACTTCTTCCGATTCGTCAGCAACTGATGTGCTGACGAGATTAGAGCCTATGTAGTGTTTGATAATTTAACAGTAAACACACGTATAGATCCCAGCAGGAAGGTGGTTCAGTTCAGTTCAGTTTATTTATATAGCGCCAAATTCACAACACATGTCATCTCAAGGCACTTTACAGTTCAACCAGATCATACAGTCAAATTGATACAAAGTTTTCTATCTAAGGAAAACCAGTTGATTGCATTGACTCATTGACTCAAATACAATCCCCCACACTAAGCATGCTTGTAGCGACAGTGGAGAGGAAAAACTCCCTTTTAACAGGAAGAAAGGTGGTGAATATATTCCTGCTCAATATGCAGGAATATAGTCTCTCACGAGAATTTAGTCACATGAACTTCATTCTTTGTAACGAATGGGGAAAACGGGGCTTCTTTACTTATGTCGTAAAGCAGTCTGCACATTCGTAGTTGTTTAGTGTCGTAGAGTTAATGCCACCCTCCTGAAATTTGCTTTGTGCTGGTGAAAGCAATACAGACCCCCTCAGGCCACGACAAAGGCGTCATTCGACTAATTGTAAGTAAATGTATAATAACGAAAGTTATAAAGTTATTACATTTTAAAATATATCAAATCTTTAAGAATAACTGAAGAAAACAAAAGAAATTATATTTGAAAAAAATGTCTGAGAAAACAGCAGTTACTCACAAAACATTTTTCATCAAGAAACCTGGCTTACAGAAAACTGCATTTCTTGAAAAATGGGGGAAAAAAATTATGGAGTAGTTTTCTCAATTTGTGCTGGGCTATAAAACTAGCCCGTGATTTATGGGACACTTCAGACACCACATGTTGTTCTGATGATCAGCTGTTTCTGCAGGACTTCCACAGTCAAGTGTGCAGCTTGAGGAAGATGTCTTCTCTGGAAGAGAAGAGCAGGCGCTTCATAAACCACGAAGCATCATTACCGATGACAAGATTAGGCAAAAGGTAAACACCTGAGCCACAAATTAAATTTTGTAATTTTTTTTTTTGCATGGAAAAAAATGCCCATGGGTAGAAACAGAAATGATCCAATCTGATCTACTTTCACAATCTGCCTAAGTATCTTTTCAGTTTATTTGTATTCTTGTGTTAATCAGTGATTATAAAGCAACAGCTTGTGTAGGAGCTGAGGTGATGAACATGTCATTGGCACGATCATCAACTGAGATCTAACTCCTTTGAACCTAGAGATGCTGTTTAGATGATAGAAGGCTGACTTTGTTACTGTATTTACCAGCCTTTGAAGGTTTAGTACTGAGTCCATCACTACACTCTGATTTAGAGCCTGATTGGTGGTTTCTAGCTCTATAACCTGAAGCTCTGTAATATTTGAACTCCCCTTCTTTGGTCCATAAATTATAACTTAAGTTTTGTTTTGATTCCGCTGAAGAAAAATTTGGCACATCCCTGAGTTCTTCTCTTTTTCCCTGCATTTACCTAGTGCATGGATGGTTCATTGGCACCTGCATATTTTTGTGACTTATGTTGTTGTTTATTGTTGGGAATAATTGATATTTAGTTTACTAAAAGAGAAACATCAGATTCCCACCTTGTTGAGATCACAGGTCTTTTTAACTGCAGCAAGAGGTTCAACACATAGACCACCTCCCGAGATGGAGACCAGGTTGAACTACCTACAAAATAATGTATCCCATATAATCACCCTCTGCTCCCCCTCAAGAGTCCTGGCCATATTTTTAAAGCTCTGAACGCATTGAGCACGATATTGCTTCCAATCCGAAAGAAAATTGTGTCGTGAGAGATTATTGTGCTTTGAGGATGCCTTGTCTTCTCTTTTATCTAACATCCTAACTTTAAATATCAATGTCCTTAGTGAATCAGCATATAGGGGATTCCTGGTCTTGGAATGATTACAAAAAATAGAAGATCTTAAACATTTTCAAACATTTATTAAAATCTGAATTAGGGAAAGAATGTAGATATTGTGTAGGAGTGGCCCTAAGATGGACCCTTTGGGGACACCACATGCAGTTTTACGGGACTCAGTAGGTAAAGATCCCTACTGTTCTTCATGTAGAATTTTAACCAGCCCAGTGCTGTACCAGAAAGACTGACCCAGTTTTCCAGACCCTCTAATAATATGGAGAGAGCAACAATGTAGAATGCTGCTCTATAGGGCTGGTTATACTCCAACAGCAGTGTGTCGCAGTGAGCTTGCTGCAGATATTTTGGATTTATGCCCAATATAACACGAGGGACAATCACGAACTAGCTCTGGGTGTAGATACGGCCGAGGCGATGAGGAAGTGGGGGAAAGTTTGTGTGACAAAAGAAGGACATGAGGGTGAAAAAGAGCGGGGGATCCAGGTGGAAAAAGGGTCGCAGCGTTCTCGCGCACCTCGCTCTTCTAGCGGGTAGTTGTTTTCCACAATGGCGTCATATAAAGAAAACAAGCCGGTAAGGTACCAAACAGGAAATACGTATAGTGTAGAGCGGATGTAGAATTGACAAATCAGAAGCTTCCTGTCTGCGGTCACCTACAATTTTGGAGAGGAGCAGCAGAGTGTCTGCCTGAGGCGCAGAGGCACATTAAAAAAATCAATCTTATGTAGTTATGCAACAGCAGCATGTCCAAGTTTCTCTTTCTCAACAGTGGTTTGGTAAATGCTGTGTGAGGGTCTGTTTGTGTTTGAGTCTTTATCTTAGGTATGATTGTTTATTCCTCTTTTATCTTTATCTTTGTTACAGGGGCCCACGCTTTTCTTAGAAGTTATCAGTTCTTATAAAGTGAATACTGGGGCCAGAGCATAGACATATTCAAGAGCTATGAAGGAGAACAGACTTGGATGCCTGGAGACCCTGAAGGTTTTGGAAGATGATGTGAGATTAGATGCATGTTCAATCTTAAGAACATATTTGTCAGTAAGGGAAGAAGAACAACAAAACTCCAAAGACCTCTTCTTCTCACCTGTAAAACATGCTGCTGTTCAAGATGATGTGGATGAAACCTGAAAAAGTTCAATGCTTAGGCTTATTAAGGATTTATTCAAAAGATCTCCATGTATAGATAAGGTTTAATTGTATGGAAAATGTCATGAATATGTAATGTTTTTTTTCCTTAATTCAATGTATTTGATTGTGATTATTTGTTTTAGCTTCCTTAACACAAGAACTTTGATTTGCAGAATGAATACCTAGAAAAAGAACTGAGCAGCAAGAAGAGAGAGCTGGAGCTTCACAAGACCGAGTTTCAAGCTCAATGTAGGTTTGAGATGCTCTCAGTGCTTTGAACTGAATTCTCTCAGAGTGTTTTTTTGTTGTTGTTGTTTTTACAATATTTATGGGATATTTGGTTTAATTGGAAACTTTTATTCACTAGTTAAAAAGTAATTAACTTCTTGCTCTGTGTTGATCTACAGTGGAAGACCTTTCAAAAGCAAAGAGGGATTTAGAGGTCATGCTCAAAGATGTTCTTCAAGCTATGAGGGTTAATCAAGAGGCTGGAGCAAATGCTGTCGCTATCAGCAGTCTGAAGAACCTGCCTAGTGTGAGTATGTCCAGCACATAAGAAGGGCTAAAAACTATCTTTTAAAACCATGATATAAAGATAGTGGGTCTTGAAAGAGAGTTCACATTCCTTCAACAGTTTGTATTTGGCCCATGCAGCAAAGTGCTGTGAAGACCTACTGTAATACCAATGTTTATTATTTTCTCTGAAAAATGTCATGTAAATCATTTTATTGTCCCACAGTAGGTAAATTATTTCTCTGCATTTTGACCCATCCCTTTGGGGAGCAGTGGGCTGCCATTGGGCAGAAACCCAAAGTGGAGGCTGTGGGGATCAAACTTGGTACTTGCAACCTTCTCAGAGCACAACCGCTCTGCTCTAACCCACTAGGCCAACACTTCCCACAAGTGAAGAATTTTCGCATTTTAAGGGTCTCACAAAAGTTGCATAAAAAATGGCTCTACAGCGCCTCCTTGACATTTTTAAAATGCCCTCCCCTAGGGCTGGGTAAAAAAAAAATCGATTTAATCGATTTTGAATCGATTCCTATACATTTTTGCAAAATCGATGTCTAGGGAATGAGATTGATTAGTTTGATAGTGACGCGTGTGACGTTGACATTCAAGTATGCAGGAAAGATGCACTCAAGATTACTTGAAGACAGACAGCTACACCTATAGCCAATAGGTTGAATGAGGACATTTACAAATGGGGGCTGACCAGCAAACACCCTGTAGTTGTAACAGACAACGCTGCACATATGGTTTGTGCAGTGGAGATAATGCAGCTCATGAATGTCTGCTGTGTCCCCGCTGTCATGTCTGCTCGCTCGAGTGAGGCTTCACTTTTTCATTTTTCACAAACAAGTTTGCACTTTTGAGACAGTTTTGTTCACATTTCAAGTTTAAGCGGTCTGATTTACAAGTTTGCACTTTGTATTTAATATGACAGGAAAAATTTTAATACATGAGTGTTTTATTTAAACACAGTTGAACCACTTTCATTATTGTAAAAACAGATCTAATCGAAAATAATCGATTTAGAACTCTATGAATCAAAATCGAATCGATTCAGGACTTCGGCTAAAATACCCAGCCCTACCGTCCCCATTGCATTTATTTTATCATATAGAAATTCTATTTGGTAGATTTGTAGGGCTTCCCTTGACCCACATTAAAATCATTTAACGACATACTTTTTAACAAATGGGAAGCCCGGGACCGGCCATTTTTGCCCAAATGTAGTAACTCCTGACGTCTTCCAGCAGTGACGTCACGGTGCAGTAAGCCTAGGGCCATTCTCCCCACTTTACAAGCAAAATCAGTGTTAACTACTAGACACACCTGCAATCAACAACAATTATTTAAGATTTTGAGAAGACTTCCCCATTGAAATTAACAAGAGCTATAGTTAAACTGACAATGCCCACACGCATGGCATTTTGATGTTGTAATACATCGGGTTAAAGTGAAAAAAAAACAGTAGTGGCAGTAGTGTTCTTTGACAAACATGGATATATCCGGTACAGCACAGTCAAATGAAATTACTCTTAATTAAAAACACTTATCATTTATTGAACATTATGTAATAATTTCATATTTAAAGTATTTTCAGAAGTTTGAATTCTGAATATGACTGTACTTTTCCTTTAATACATGGTGTAAGTAAAGGGGATTCTGTTTTCACATGGGGTTCAGTTGATTTAGATTAGTCTGATGTTATCATTCCTTAGATGTTTTAAAAGCATTTGAAACTTAAAAAAAGGGGAAAGACATACCGGTAGGTAGAATGTATAACAGGAACACATTTTTTTTTCCGGCCAGCATACTTCAGAAGGGAATTTAACCGTAAATACAAATAAAGCCCAACTCTGAACATATTAAAATATTTCATAAGACAGCCTGGTCGCTGCCTCTTTGTTGGTTCTGTTACTTGGTAACATTTAACGCAGCAGATGACGACTGTAATGTGGAAGTATTACAAGTATTAGATGGAGGCCACATTGACTGCAGATGTTAGTAATCTGTCACAGAAAACAAAATATGTCCTTACTTTAAAGTTCAAAGCTTGACATTACTTCTTCTAGATATAAATATATGATGATGATGGAGGAATTATTCTGAGGAATATTTAACCTTTAAAAAGGATAAGAATTACTTTTGGCTGTTTATTTCTTCATTTTTTTAGTGTGAAATGATTCATCTCACACAGCTGCAAAGGACAAATTAATGAGGGCTTTGGATTTATTTTGTATTTTCTCGAATCCAACAGTGCCAGAATTTTAAATCCATATGCTCACCTTGTGTTTTGATATGTGTTGTTAATGGTTTTAAAACATATTTTAAACTAGAGAGAGCCAAAGCCTGTCAGTTTCTTGGAGCCAGACATTTGCCTTTGCCAGGATTAATTTGTTTGCCACCAAAGTTGTTGCAGAGAAAGGGTTGGAAATCTGGCTCATGACAGAGAGCCGGCTGTTTGGGCTCAACCCACCAAAGGAGCTGCTTTCACTCCCAGCTGACTCTTAAATGAGTTTACCTCACATATTATTGTAAAATTATTCATAGAATTAACTCAAAATAAAAATGTTTTTTTTTTTTTTATTACTTGTCATATAAATATGTGTTTATTTATTCTCTAGGTTTTGAGCCTTCATTAATATAGGCTTGAATAACTCATATTTTTCTTTTCATGCAGATGGGTGGGTGGTTTTTTGAGCCAGCTTGATAACAGCTCATTGCTCACAGAGATACAGAACACTTGCTTATTACCAGGGGTGAAAGGGATTTTAAGTCCTTTACTGAGACTATTTATAAAAAAATAAAATTATTGCCCCATTATTGTTTTCTTAAATCCTGCATATGTTTTAAATGATTACGTTTTTATTATATACTGTACACTAATAAGCGGATTAAAAAAGCATTTATTATTCTAGGAACAAATAAATTATCATTCAAATATCTTCATTGGAAAGATCCCCAGCAAATGTGAAGTCTTGTATATCGGTGTTATTTCATTTCAAAATTGGACTCCGAATGATAGAAAATTGTCACCAGGAAATGGTGAAAACCTGAAATACCTACAGTGGACAATTAGTTCAAAATTGTACAGGAGATTTATATTTTTCTTTATGTTCTCATTTACAGGTCAAAAGGAAACCTTTTTCAAGATCTAAAAAAAATTATGTTAAATCAGTACTTTCTGCCACACTATCCCTTTGACATACCTTGTATTCCGTTACTGTTTTTGGACAAATGTAAAGTTCTTTCTGTGTTGTTTTCGCAAAGAAAGAAGAATATAGACCTTCCCCTCACCAATCACCTGTTACATCTGTTTATTTTTATTCTAAAAGGCAAAACAGTAATGTGGTGGTCAACTGAACTTGGATGATCTTGTAAACCTTGCTTTTCTAACAAAATTTAAAAAAGCCTTTATTGGCATTATGGAAATGAAATTACCAGGGGTTGTTATTTCTATAGCTAACACTAGGCTGATGCAACAACACCTAAAGAGCTGCAGACTGGCTGTTATTTTAACTCTTGATTACCAGAACCTAAACTTTTGGTTATAAGAATTTCACCGATGATGACATCCACTTACATCTGTTAAGCACCTCATGGGTTGATGTAACAAATTACACAGATATACTCCAACATTGCGTTATAATGCCATAACTTGACTGTATAGAACTTTTATTTTAAAAACAAGTAAACTGTAAAGATATAAAAAAAAAAAATTGAGAAAACATTTTGAAATTACAAGGTAAAATTTACATCCTAATCAGATGGATAAAATTAGAGGAACTAGGAGAGAGAGCTATTATATAATGCTTTATAATTAACTGTCTACTATAGATATCATTTAGGGTTTATTTTGGTAGAAATTAATGAAAGTTTTGCATCAGTTCTGGGGAGCTGGAAGAAATAAAACCCTGAAAGCATTTTTTACACTTGGCAGATGTTTTCCAACCAAATGAAGGCTGTGAGCACAGAGCCAGCCGAACGCACAGATGTTGTTTAGAGAGCAATGAGCCGCAGAGCTAGCAGATTCAGAGCTAAGTGCTTAAAAAGACAGATACCTGCCCGCATAGCTGTGTGACATTTAAATGCTGCAAACTAGTATAATCAAACTGCTTTGATTGGTGGCACAAAACCGAAAGTATGTATGAAAGTTGTATGGATTCTAAATCATTTACTGGTACTCAGTACAGGTTTCCTTATGTGTTTTTTTGTCGCTCACGAGAAACAATTGAGCTGTTGGTTTTGTTTGTTCATCTTTCGTCGCAGGGTTTAGATGTGGGCAGCCTTGGTGGGCTGCCTGATGCTGACCTCAAGTCCCAGATCCATCAACTGGTGGGGCGGAACGAAGAGCTGAGGCAGGAGCTAAAATCCTCTCGCGAAGAAGCGAGCAGCAGCTTCACTCAGCTTGTTAGAGCAAAGGAAAAGGTATGACAAAATTGAATGATACCGGAGCTCACAAAAGTGTTTTCCCCATTTTTATAACCAAGAAAGCAAAGCATGAGATGAGTGTTCAAACTGGTCTCATATTTGAGAATATAGTTTAAAAAATTATAGAAATAGAAGAAAGGTCTCATTCAAACTTTCTGGAATAATTAATTTCAGTTTATATCTATTGCACCAGATTACGGCACCTATCATCCCAAGGTACTTTAGAGACAATTCAGTCATAGAGATAGATTGGTGAAAGGTTTTCTATCCAGAAAGAACCAGCTTATTGCATCGAGCTATTTTGCAGAATCTATTCCTCCTGGATTAGCATGTAGTGACGTTTGGTGTCATTGGGCTGCAGGAACTCCTCAATAAATACTGAAACAAGCAGTTTTATTTAGAACACACGTGTGCAAACTACTCTTGACAGGCATTTTGAATGTTTTATGCATGCAGATGTTATACCATGAGGCCCCCAATATATCACTACCATGACTCCATGCTCCTCTGCTCTCTTGCTTTTTATGCTCCTCTATATTCTCCCGTTTCTGTGCGCTGAAGTCAACTTTTGTGACTTTCAAAATAAAAGTTGATGCCTAGTTGAGAGTTTGACTGCTAAGATTTGTTTGTCACCTTCACCTCTCAGATAAGTCAGCTCCAAAATGAGCTGGAGCTGCTCAGGACGTCAGACGGTGGTGGAGTCCTCCCTCGACCTCTGACCCTCCCTGAGGGCCTGGGGCCCAGCAGCGCAGAGGTCATTAGCTCCTTGAATGAGTATGCTATTCGACTGCTTCAGGTCAGACTTGCTTTCTACTTAAGGTTAAAATTTAACTGGTTTTAAATGAACTTAGAGCACAATTTTAAGAATCCTGCAACATATCTCTGCTCTTGTTAGGAGCTGAAAAACAGGGAGGAAAAAAGCAAGAAACTTGCAGAAACTCTGAAAGAATACAAAGAGAAGTTTGCCGTCATAAGCCATCAACAGGGACTCCTCTATAAGGAATATATAAGGTGGGTTAGCTAAAACGAGATTCAGAATCCAAACCATTTTAGTGAAATGGTAAAAAATGTCATTCTTTTTTGTTTTTTAGTGAGAAGGCAGAGTGGCAGAAAGAGAAACAGACATTCACAGACATGAAGAATAAGCTGGAGGAGCAAAAGCAAGTGGATGATGTGAAAATTCAACAGTTTAACGTGAGTCAGACAAATAAAAATTTAATTTTTCAAAAGATGCAGTATTGATCAATGAGCTTATTTAAATTTTTTGGGAATAAAGTCATTTACATATGTAAGAAATACTCATACTACCAGTTTAATCTAAACACATGCACCAAAACTTCTCTCCATGTGCATTAAAAAAAAAATGTATTAATGCAGATTTAATACCAGTGTATTTTATCCTTTAGGATCTGTTAGAAACACTTCACAAAGATCCAGAAGAAATCAAGAGACAGCTGAGCGAGGCGTCCCGTAAGCTGACTGTCCTGAAAGTTAATGAGAAGAAACTGACCCGGCGATACTCTACTCTGTTGGAGCAGGAACAGCTGCTTTGCAAGGAGAACAGCAAGATGAGGGATGAGAGTGGCCAGATGCAGGCCGCTGTCATCCAAAGGATGGGTTATCTGCAGAGATACAAGGTAGCCCTATTATTATTTTTCTTTTTTTCAGGTTTGCATGTTTCTTTTTTTTATTTATATATTTGATTTTATTTGGTAAGCAACAGTGAACAAAAACATGTTGGGTTGTATTTTTGAACTCCCTGCTGCATGCTCCTGCCCCCTTCTGAATGTCGCTGTCACTGTTCTAATGAAAACAACTGTTGATACTATCAGCCCTTACAAATGAGATTGGAGAAAAAAACAAACTAGCAACAAAACCCGAGCATGTTTCAAGCTTTTTTTTTTTCTCCTGCTTAGTCCTTGTCAGGGTCGCGGTGGGGCCGGTGCCTATCTCCGGCAGTCAACGGGTGAGAGGCGGGGTACACCCTGGACAGGTCGTCATTCTGTTGCAGGGCAACACAGACACACAAATACACACAATCATGCACACTCACACCTAAGAAAGACATTTAGCCTAACAGTCATGTTTTTGGACTGTGGGAGGAAGCCGGACTGCCCAAAGAGAACAAACGCATGCACAGGGAGAACATGCAAACTTCATGCCGAAAGAACCTAGAACCTTCTTTCTGCAAGGCAACAGCGCTACCCACTGCCCCACCCTACAGCCCTCTCAATTATGCCTTTATGTATGCGTCATCTCAGTCTTAGACTAACCAGATTTCAAATGAGACCTAGTTTCTGAGCTGAAAAATGTCATAACTATGCTTTCCATAGGGCAGTGCCCAGTTGTTTTGTCTTTTCACCAACAGACCAATTTCTCTGTGAGCAACTACATTGCAAAGCTCACAATGTGAATGAAACGAACACTTGGTGAAAAATTGTATCCTATCTAATCATTTACTATTTCAGCACAGAAAGTAACAGTCAACAGTTTGACTTAATGATGTAATTTCCTTAAAACATGTCAAAATGAGGCTCAGTATTGTGTGTGGCCTCCACATGCCTCCTAGGCATGCTACTTATGAGGTGGCAGATGCTCTCCTGATGGTTCTTGTCGCAGACCTGATCTAAAGCATCCACCCACTGCTTGACAGTCTGTGTTTGTGGACGGATCAAGACATGATGTCCCACATGTTCTCGGTCACATTCAGGTCTTGGGAACACAGGGCCCCTCCATAGCTTTAATGCCTTCGCCTTGCAGGAACTACTGACACACTCCAGCAACATGAGGTCTGGCATTGTCCACCATTAGGAGAAAACCAGGGCCAACCACACCAGCATGTGGTCTCATAAGGGTTCTGAGGATCTAATCTCGGTACCTGATGGCAGACATGCTACCTCTGGTGAACACATGGAGGTCTGTGTGGCCCTCCAAATACATGCCATCCACACCATTACTGATCCACTGCCAAACGGGTCATGCTGAAGGATGTTGTAGGCATCAGATCGCTCCACTGTGTCTCCAGACTCTGTCACACCTGTCACATGTTCTCAGTGTGAACCTGCTTTCATCTGTGAAGAGTAGGGCTGGGTGTTTTCGTCAAAGTCCTGAATCGATTCGATTTTGATTTATACAGTTCTAAACGATTAATTTCGATCCGTTTTTACAATAATGAAAGTGGCTCAAATGTGTTTGAAAATACTGATGTATTTTATTTTTTCCTGTCATATTAAATACAAAGTCCAAACTTGTAAATCGGACAGTTTAAACTTGAGATGTGAACAAAACTGTCTCAAAAGTGCAAACTTGTTTGTGAAAAGTGAAAAACTGAAGCCTCACTCGAGCAAGCAGACGTGACACAGCGGGGACACAGCAGACATGCATGACCTGCATTATCTCCACTGCATAAACCATTATTGCAGCGTTGTCTTTAACTACTACAGGGTGTTTGCTGGTCAGCCTCCATTTGTTAATGTCTTCAATCAACCTATTGGCTATATTTGCAGCTGTCTGGCTTGAAGTATTTTAAGCGATCTTTCCTGCTCATTTGAATGTGAACATCATGCGTGTCACTATAAAACGAATCGATCTCATTCCCTAAACATCGATTTTGCAAAAATGTAAAGGAATCAATTCAAAATTGATTAAATATATTTTTTTACCCAGTGCTAGTGAAGAGCACAGGGCAAGTGGCAAATTTGCCAATCCTGGTGTTCTCCTGTAAAGGACAAGCATCCGGCATGGTGCTGGGCTGTGAGCACAACCCCATCTTTAGATCTCAAGCCCTAATACAATCCTAATGGAGTCAGTTTCTAACAGTTTGTAGAGACAAATGCACATTTGTGGCCTGCCAGAGCTCATTTTGCAGGCCTCTGGCAGGGCTCCTCCTGTTTCTCTTTGCACAAAGGCGGAGGTAGCAGTTCTACAGCTGGTTTGTTGCTCTACAGTCTCCTCCACGTCTGCTGGTGTACTGACCTGTCTCCTGGTAGCTCTTCCAGCCTCTGGACACTACGCTGACAGATACAGCAAACCTTCTGGCCACAACCGGCATTGATGTGCCATCCTACAGGAGTTGCACTGCCTGAGCCACTTGTGTGATGTAGAGTCCGACTCAAGCTACCACAAATGTCGAAGCACCACCAACTTTCAAAAGTAACAAAAAAGATCAGCCAGAAAGCATAGACACTAAGAAGTGGTCTCGGGTCCCCACCTGCAAATACTCCTTTACTCAGTGTGTCTTCTTTATTGCCAATAATTCCCACCTGTTTTCTATTCCATTTGCACAACAGCATGTGACATTGATTGTGAAATCAAGTGGACAGTTTGATTTCATGGAACTTTGATTTAATCAAAGTTGTATTCTGTTGCTGACATGTTCCCTTTTTATTTTTTTAGCAGTATATATTTTTCGATATATACTGCTATATATATAATTTTAAAGTAAATAAGTTGTCATCTAACTGAGGGTCTACTAGATTGAACAGTTGATAATGTCTTCTCACAGCCCCATCTTGTTTTAATCGGTTTCATAAAACTAAAGTATCAAGCACGTAAATCTGTGTACGATGTCATCGCTTAAACGAAAACTATTCCTTTCGGCAGCTTTTATTGGTCAAACGATGCTGTTTAGAACATTTTGAGGCTCACATAAAAAAAAAACAGAGTGTTATTCTCTTATTGCAGTCAGCCTTTTCTGTTTCTTCCGCACCATCATGAAAGAAACCATCTGTGCCAAAGTTTTTACTCTTCATCTTATCAAGACCAGTGTTTTTCTGTTTTAGTTTGCAGGAAGGATTTGCGTGCATCATCCTCCCTGAAAACACCATAAATCTAACTTTTAATCCAACAGAGAAGACATGTTTTCCTCGAAGTCAGAATTTGAAGTTACTTTGGCTCCTTTTTATTCAATACTCCTCTGCGATATGTGCAATATGTTTCTCTGATTCATCTTGATAGCCAGTATTTTGATGAATTTTCACCAGCCCTCTTGAGGTAACCTTTGTTTTGTCATCTTCCCAGCACTCTGTTTTAGTCATTCTCAACCATCAGACTCCCCCGATGAGGCACTGATGGCTCCGGTCAAATAGGAGATGCTAGACTGCTCTTCTGAGAGAAATCTGTCAGATCTTTGCTCGCAGGATTTTAGTGATGTTCCTTATAGTTGGTTTTGTGTGCTAATGGGGGATAAAGTGTGGTGTATTTTAGAAATATTGCTATTCACTTTACTGGTTTATTTATAACTTAGTATTTTATTTAGGTTGTTTAGTTATTCTTCTCTCAATTACCAACCCAAAATCCACAAGGACAGTTCCAGATGGAAAAAAAGACAGCATCTATATGGATCCTCATGAGTTTAGTTTTTTTTGTTTTGTTTTTTTTTTCTCTTTTATATCCCCGCCCCTTTATTTCTTCAACAGAACAATTATCAAATGTCCTGTTGAAGAAACAACAACATAAAATTTCAGTATAGTAGTTTAAATCCTGCAATCTATATCCTCTATCACTTTAATCATTAATATTGTTGTAAAACAATATTGTTTCCAATTGTGTCATTGTAACACGGTATATTTATCAACAATTACTTATGTAAATATAAATTTTTGCATATTTATTCCAGATCAGCCTAGGATAGATTAACTTCTCAGCAATTGAAAAGGAAATTCATGTCAGTGTCAGGACAATTTATTTTTTATAGAATTTATTTTGCTCTACAAACATATAGATTTATTTTCCCTTGAAAAATTCAAGCTAAACCATAAAGAATTAAGATTAAGATATTAAACTTTAGCATTAAGTAATTGTTCAGTTGCTTGCTTATTTAAAGAAATGACCAATTATTGTAAAACAAACAAAATCAGTTAATTTGTTCGAATGTTTTGATAACACAGACTAGGACCACGGTTTGTTGCTACTTTTTCAAGGACAGCCTGATTTTTATTAAATTCTCAATATTTCTCTCAATCAAGGGCAGTAAAATGACTATTTAAAGAGAAAAAAAATACAAATAATTTCAGATTTTTCCAATTTTATAACTCAATAAATACTTCAAAATTACATAGGAAAACAGTTTCAACTGAACAATGTCAGCTTTAAACTGTAATAATTTATTTAGCTTTTTTGATTTTTTTAATTCAGGTCCAGCCGTTTTTATCTGGTATGTTATTCCCTGATTAGGGTTGTCAAAAGTATCGATATTCAAAAAAGTATTGATACTGAAACGTTGTATCCGGATACAATACTCTTTTTCAAAGGTATCGATACAGTGCTACCACCAGTGGCAACTAAGCAGTCATTCGTCTAAAGTGCAGAATAGATGACAATGCACTTTCTGAATAATTCTACGCACTTTTCAGTTTCAGACTTTTTTCTCTAACAGGTGCAGCTGCTGAGAATTATTTTTGTTTCTTAACCAGTTTGGCTAGCAACATTGTTATGTCTGCAAAGCATACCCAAGGAAGGAACACTTACTTTTAATTTATCAAGCTTGCTTAATATTGTGCACAGCATCCAACCTTTATTGTATTTTATTTATTAATGAAAATATTTCTGTACAATTTTGGAGTCTGTTTTTATCCTTGTGGTATCGAAAATGGTATCGAGTATCGAATATTTTCCTTAGTATCAGTATCGAGTTGAAAAGTTTAGTATCGTGACAACCCTATCCCTGATGCAGTTCCTGTCCGCTTTACACGCCTCAGTGCTGCACTGAAATAAAAAAAAAAGGTTGTTTTTAACAAAAAGCCAATCATGCTGCAATAAAGCCAAATCTAACTTTAAATCAAACGTGTTGCATTTGTTCACAAAGGGAAGAAAAAGTCAAAATACATTTTTTTTTTCATGTATCCCAGTTCAAAGGAAAGCTTTTACTCCTAACAGTCAGTGTTTTCAGAAATTTGTCCACTTGACATCTACGTGTACAAGAAATCCTTTTGGGTTTAATTTCAGTTCCTACGTACTTGGTGGGGAGGGTGGATTTGTTGTCCTCTTCTTTTCTGAAACAAGCAGCTACCCTCTAAATGTGCCAGCATTGATACTGCTAGTGGAATATCCTAACTATTTGAACTTCCATTTATTAATAAACACAACAAAATTTAAGTGATTAATTATTCACATCAATATACTAACACAGAAGATTACAAAATACAGAATTCACACTGTTTGTAAAACTAGTTTTTATGTTTTATGATGGAGAAGAACAGTCATCTTGGTATCTTCTAAATAGAGATAAATAATAATAGTTAAACTTTATTGATCTCGCATTAGAGAAATTTACCTCATGCATTTAACCCATCCCCTTGAGGAGCATGGGCTGCCATCGTGGGGGCACACAGGGAGCTCTTTGCTAGGAGAGCCAGTCGGTTGGAGTGGGGTTCGAACTCTATTCGAACTCTGTTCGAGCTCTATGACCACTAGGCCGTCACTCCACAAATAATATTAATTTTCCATTTTAACAGAAACAGGCCAGAGAAAATCCTGGTTTAGCTTTCAGTTAAAAGACAATGAGTCTTTGAAAATGGATAAATATCATCAATATCTACAATAAATTGTTTTCATTGTTATATAATGTTCTGGTCATTACCATTCCATTAATTGGAGTTGCAGACACACTCAGATGATCAACAAATTTGGGAATTACAGAAAAAAAATCTCTGGTAAAATTCTTCTTACTGCCACGTAGTCTTTTTAATATCGCCCTCTTGTTTTTTTATTTAAAGGAAATGGCGGCCTATAAGATAGGTGCCCTCCAAAAGGCCTTGGATGACAGCGTGCCAGCATCAGAACTGGAGAGGGCCAATAAGCAATACACAGAGCTGACAGTCAAATACAGAGACGTGCTCCAGAAGGACAGCCTCCTGATACAGAGAGCCACCAACATGGAGCATTTAGAGGTAATAAGACACATTACAAACTCCATTATTTACTCTTTAAACAAAAGTGACCATTTCAATAAATGCATGACTGTGTTGAAGTTGTGGTTCGTCCCAGTCTTCAGCTATTGGAGTCACTAAATGCTTCTTCTATCCGTTCCTGTTTAAAGTTCATGTAAGACTGTTGTTACCTGTTTCAATAATATCACTTGATCATTTTTTTTGTGTGTGTAACACTGCAAAATAAGTAATAAAAGTGTGTTTGATTCCTTCTAATATTGTTTTGGGTCAACAAGGATTTCAGGCAACTACTTAAAGCTGCAATGTTGGTATAGTATCAGACATGAAAAAGCTGGACACCCCTTTATACAACACTTGGTTCGTATCGATACATAACTCACCTATGTAAACTTAGAGCGTCATATTTTTTGTTGTCTGATCTAGGATTTAACCTAGAGGAGTGATTGGGGCCTTTTTGCACATGTAACTCCATAACTTCTAAGTCTGCTGAAAACATAAAGGGTGGCTGTTACGGTAAATGTTTACGATGCAATGTTGCCAGCAGCCTTCGGTGGGGTAAAATCCCCCCTGGTGGCTAAAAGCTATGCTTTGTTGCTTAAAGTCAACAGCTAAACTTTGTAACTTTGGATGTTCCAATAGGGTTTAGATCTGAACACAGGAGCTGGAATGGATAAAGCAGACTTTAAGTTTCTTTAATGGCTAAACCCCATCAAGAATTCTTGGATTCAGCGTAAACCATGGTCATTGTGAACCAACCAGGTATCAATTCTGCCAAGAGGAACTTTGAGACCTAGAGTGATGCTAGAAGCTCGCTAATGTTAATAAATACCTTGAGGTCGAGTTTGAAGCTCGCTCTGTGGCAGATAACTATTGGGAGAAAATTGTGGAATTTGAAACCAATTTAAACTTGCACAAGCTTTTCACATACCATTTCGTGTTTTCACATACCATTTTTTCCTGACTATTGAACAAACCTCATTATAATTCGCACCCGTAAAGTTTTTTGTTTTTTTTAAACTGGAATTATATATATATATATATAGGTATGAAGAGCTGGACAGCACCAGGCCCTGACATGATCCACACCTACTGGCTGAAAAAACTAACCGCACTTCATGCACGCCTTGCAGCACAAATGAACCAACTGCTGATGGATGGGACCCACCCAGAATGGTTAACCCAAGGACGGACAATCCTGATCATGAAGGATCCGCAGAAGGGAACAACCCCATCCAACTACCGGCCAATAACTTGCCTATGTACAACATGGAAGCTCCTGTCAGGCATCATAGCGGCTAAGATGAGTAGGCACATGGCTCAATACATGCACCCTTCCCAGAAGGGAATAGGCAGCAACACCAGAGGAGCCAAACACCAGCTACTAGTGGATAGAGCAGTCACCCGAGACTGTAAGACCAGGCAGACAAATCTGTGCACTGCCTGGATTGACTATAAGAAAGCCTATGACTCAATGCCACATACATGGATACTGGAATGCCTGGAAATGTACAAGATCAACAGGACTCTAATAGCCTTCATCAAGAACTCAATGAAGCTGTGGAAAACAAGTCTGGAAGCCAATGCAAAGCCAATAGCACAAGTCACCATCAAGTGCGGCATATACCAGGGTGATGCACTATCCCTGCTGCTGTTCTGCATAGGCCTGAACCCCCTCAGCCAGATCATCACAAAGACTGGCTACGGATACCAATTCCGAAGCGGAACAATCATCAGTCACCTCCTCTACATGGATGATATCAAGCTGTATGCCAGGAGTGAGCGAGACATCGACTCACTGATCCACACTACCAGGATCTACAGCAACGACATTGGGATGTCATTCGGACTGGACAAGTGCGGTCTCATGGTCTCAAAGAGAGGGAAGATGATCAGAACCGAGGGGGTTGAACTACCAGAAGGCCACATAACAGATGTTCAGGACAGCTACAAATACCTTGGGGTGCCACAGGCTAACGGAAACCACGAGGAGATGGCAAGAAAGACTGCCACAGCTAAATACCTACAAAGAGTAAGGCAGGTCCTGAAAAGTGAGTGTCAAGACCACTGTCCAGGATGAAACAACTAAGATCCAGGAGTACATGAGAAAGATGGCCCCCAAAGACAAATGGCTCGGTGAGTACCTCAGGCAGGAGAAAACCGAAAGTGAGGACAAGAAAGAGGAAGGAGAACCATCATGGAGGGACAAGCTGCTGCACGGCGTGTACCACAGACAAATAGAAGAAGTGGCTGATATCAAAAAATCCTACCAGTGGCTGGAAAAGGCTGGACTGAAGGACAGCACAGAGGCACTAATCATGGCAGCACAAGAACAGGCACTCAGTACAAGATCAATAGAGTCCAGGGTCTACCACACCAGGCAGGACCCCCGATGCAGACTGTGCAAAGATGCCTCTGAAACAATACAGCACATAACAGCAGGGTGTAAAAGGCAGGCAGGACGTGCATACATGGAACGCCACAACCAGGTAGCTGTCATAGTGTACAGGAACATCTGCCATGAGTATGGGCTGGAAGTTCCAAGGTCAATATGGAAGACACCTCCTAAGGTAGTTGAGAATGACCGAGCTAAGATCCTATGGGACTTCAAGATCCAGACTGACAAACAGGTGATGGCTAACTAACCAGACATCGTGTTGATCGACAAACAGCAGAAGAAGGCAGTAGTGATAGATGTGGCAATCCCAAGCGACAGCAACATCAAGAAGAAAGAACACGAGAAGCTTGAGAAATACCAAGGACTGAAGGAGGAGCTAGAAAAGATGTGGAAAGTGAGAGCAGCAGTGGTGCCAGTAGTAATTGGAGCACTGGGGGCTGTGACCCCCAAACTGGGAGAGTGGCTACAGCAGATTCCAGGTAAAACATCAGAGGTCTCTATCCAGAAGAGCGCAGTCCTAGGAACAGCTAAGATACTGCGCAGAACCCTCAAACTCCCAGGCCTCTGGTAGAGGACCCGGGCTTGAGGATGACACATACCACCCCACGAGGGGTGAGAAAACAGTTTTTTATATATATATATATATATATATATATATATAAAGCCGCACCGGGCTGTAAGCCAATATCTACTGAACTGTCCCACACCAAACCTTTGGGGGAGCTCTACATATCAGTCATAGAGTAGGGATGAAGAAGAATGCTAGCTTCCATTAACTTGTTGGCTCGCTGCAATGTTTGTGAATTCAAAACATTTGTTCTCCATCATGCCTGCTGTTAGCTTGTGCTAAATGAAAATTAGCCCTTTCTTCTCTGATTTCCAACTTTGACCTCTGCCCCCTAGTGGTTAGGAAAATTCCAAACAAAAGTCGCACCTTTGTGTAAGGTGTATGCTTCAAAAAGTGTGGGACAAAAGAAGCGGCTTATTGTGTGGAAAATCTGGTAGAGTGAATTTTGTTCCATTATGTTTCTGGCAAGGGACACACTTTTTAAACAGGAATTTGAATAAGAAAAAAAAAAAATGGGTGAGAGCAGTGGCGGCTGGTGAAAAATATTTTTGGTGGGGCTGATATAGCCTAGTGTATGTCTCCAACTAATCCGGAATAAGAATTCAAATAAACAATTGGACAATACATACAATTTAACAGTAATGATTTAATTTACTATATAATAACAGTAACAGTGATGATTTGGGTCACTGTGACGGGGTTCTTTGGCCTCCAAGAATCCAGGCTCAGTCGGGTTACCGGTGTTGGTGATTTATTGTGCTCAAAAACTCAAAACAGGGTGCAAAAGAAACTAAACATGTACAAGATACTCTGGGCCTCAGCCTCCCTCCAGTTACCAGCAATGTAACAAAGAAACAGAAAACAAAAATTGCCGCTTTTCTTCCCACAGCCCTCATTAAATAGTTTAAGCCCCTACCCTCAGGCTCTCTCAGACAATTGATGTACAAAAACAAATAATTTTTACAACTTAATTCTTTTACACAGATTCATTGACTTATTCAATTACACCAAACTGGGTTTGAACCCGCCAGACTGAAGATGACAAGTCCCCGTAGCATAAACACGTACACACCCACACCCCCCACACACCCACACACACACACACACGGCTAACCCCACTGAAATATTAAGTGTGCACCCTCAATACGCCAGCAGGTAACCAGGAACAGCTTGTGTGTTTTAAGTTCATGGAGCTACTGGGCTCAGCGCCAGCGGATTGGTCCTCACAAGCACAGTATAACAGGAATGTGTGTGTGGCGCGCAAATTTAGAGAGGTTATTTTAAGCGACGAGGTGGATTCGTCACAGTCACAATAACCATGACATGAAATGTTCATATCCTACAACAGGGATGTTCTTCTGGCAAACGGGTAGATAAATAAGGATCTCACCGAATTTGGTGGAAGCTGCATCTCGTTCGTTACATTCGCCATCTTCCCTCTAATTGTCTGCACCTGCGCTTGGGTTCAGAAGCCTGTAAAAGCGCAGTATTTTCAGCGCCCCAAGACCATAAAGTTCCGAGACGCTGATTGGCCATTAAATTCACCTAGCAATAGTACATGATTGACAGATTCTCTGCAAATGTGGGTCAGTCTGATCAGCGCCCCAAGACAGAGACGGTAGGAGTCTGTCTGTGGAAATCCACAAATGAATGACAGTAGATAGGGAAATGTAGTTTATATAATTTGTTTTGCTTATAGGTACACAGTCTAGAGAGTAAAACTGACATTTATGAGTTAATTTCTAAAAATATATTTTACGTTTCTCTCTTCTTATCAGGGAGGGCGGTGCCCCAGCGCCCCCTATGGGCCGGCCGCCACTGGGTGAGAGGCAGGAAACACCCTGGACAGGTTGCCAGTCTGTCGTAGGCCATTTATAAAACCAAATCTGAAAAAATAAATTTGAAAAATAAAATACATATAACATCTATAAAACATAAATTATGATGTACAATATGAAAAATAAATTAAACTTTAAGAAAAAAGAAAAGAAGGTTACTCTAAAAACCTTTTACCTAAAATATATTTAAAAGTTTTTATTTCTGGATTGTTTTTTTCTTTTAAATTTTCATTTACACAACACGTTCTTAGCTTTCAACAATTAGGAAACAAAACTTGCTTTATACGGTCAGAGCAAAAACTTGTATTTGTTTTCCAGTCCTATTTAACCATTTTATCCACAATCATGCTATGCTGCAACCGATGCTGTCCAGATCAATATTAGATTAGATTAAACTTTATTGTCATTGCACAGGTACGGGTACAAGGCAACGAAATGTAGTTTAGGTCTAACCAGAAGTGTAATAGCAGCAAGTGCAGGATAAATAATGGTTAAAATAAATACAGGACATGGGTTTCTATTGAATGAGTATAGAGATGAATACCATTATAAACAGAGTCTTACTAATAGATTAATATAGTATATAGATAACTTACCAGGAAGTATTCAAAAGGGTGTCAATTAATGGTGAAATTCTTAAATATCTTTAAAACTGATTAAAAAACCTCTAAGTGGCCGCTGCTGGGTCACTGTCTTTTGCACAGTTGCCTGCTCAACTTTCTTTGTGTTTATTCATCATTTTGTTTTAAATTTTAGAGCGAAAATGAGTCTCTTCGAGAGCAAATCTCTGCCATTAACAAAGAACTGGAGATCACAAAGGAAAAACTCAATACCATGGAACAAGCATGGGATAACGTAGGTTCAGTCGGTAAGTAAAATAAACCAAAAAAAATGCATATTGTATGTTTTGTTTGATTAGAATCTGACTATTACTTGACCTATAAACCAGTTTAGACATTCAGTCCAGAACAAACAAGAGATATTAACAAAGAAAGCATTGTAAGGATTGCATTTGAGGATGTCGCTGTCATAAACCAAACTGATGCAGGGTTTAAGTGATGCCACTCAGTGTGGCCACTGCTTAGGTTTCCCACACAGAAAGGTTGCAGTGTTTGCATCAGTTCCATTACAGCCTCTCTGATGTCCTCTGTTGCCCTGTATGCAACCTCTATTATAATAATGTCAGCGCTTGGGTTGTTAAGACATTTTTGTCAAACCAATGCAGTTATAAAGAGATTCTTTATGGAAATATGAGAGTAGTGAGCAACATTAGAATCGGCCCTCTTTTCTAACATGGACTCATTCAGTTCATAACATTCTTGACTGCAATAAAATGTGTAAAGCCATTAATTCTGGTAGACATTTAAGTTTATCTTTACAACCAGAATTTAAAGTAGTTAACAGAAACAAAGCAGACATTTGTAAAATTGAGGTTTCGTAATATCCAATATTCTTGCAAGCTAAGAACAGGTTTTGTAAAAATGTGCTACAAAAAGTTAAACTTTGAAAACCTTATCCACAAAATACCATATTTTGACACTAAATTTACTCTTTTCTCAACATTTCTTTTTTTTTCAAATTCCCATTATTTTAGATTGAGCTTTATGGAGACGCATTTCTATTGTTCTGCATGATTGTAGCAACATCATTGTTTATTGGTCATTGTCAAGAGGGAGTGTTTGTATTGGGCATGAAGTGAGGAGGATGTGATCTGTGAAATGCAATTTGACAATTTAATTAATAAAACTTAATCAGAAAAAGATAAGTGAAAAAAAGAAAATATTAAGACTATAAAGAAAAATGGAAAAAATATATTTGGAAAAAATGAGATTTGAAAACATGAAGTCTGTAAACAGATAAGATCTACGTTCACCGATGGTCAGGAGATCTGAGTAGAGTTGTTGCTCCGTAACATCGAAAGGAGCCAGCTGAGGTGACCCAGAGTTTGAACAGACAACCCTTCGGTTGTTTGGCAAACTCCTATATCCGACGCCACTGTCACCCCAAAATGTGTCCTTTGCTTTTAACAATATTGGGGGAAAAATGAACCCCAAGTAATCTGGTTCTAAATTCCCAGAACACTGCAGATTTTTGTCTCTAGGAACATTTTTGAATCACTTATTGTAGTCCCACATTTTTGCTATCACATTCCTCTCGGTGACTGTGACCAGATGTGAAAAAACTCACTGAGTAAAGTTAAGGTAATGTCCATTAAAAGTGTTTGGGGTAATTTTTGGTCATGTTTGAAACTATAGAGCTTATGCAATCCATCTATTGAAGGTTCCGACTCCCCAAAATCTGTTTTGTTTATTCAGGCACTGAAACTGGCATGGCCAAGGCAGACAAGGCATCAATCAACAATGAGGTGATATCGTCTGCAAGACGAATCACGGCTTTGGAGATGAAGGAGCTGAACGAGAGGCAGAGGGCCGAGCATGCACACAAAATGTATGAACACATGAGGAACTCCCTCAGACAAGTGGAGGAGCGTAACTCAGAGCTGGAGTCCAAGTTTGCTGAGGTGAGCGACCAAGGAAAACATCACAGATTAGCTTTCTGTCTGGCAGCTCTTCAACATGATCAAATCCAAATAGTTTGGGACACGAACCTATTATCTAATAAGCACATGTTGTTTGATGATTTGCAGAGTCTGTGTGGAAAGATGTTCACTTTACCATGTCACCTCTTTTGCTTCTTTCCTGCTGAACTCAGACCTTTCACTGTTTCATCACATCATGTTTTATGTCTCCTTTGTGTTCATTTTCTCTGTTTATTAAATCTCACTTTTATCAAACCTTTAGTTGACCAAGATGAATGCGGAGGCCCAGCGGATTGAGCGGGAGCTAAGAGACGAGCTGGCGGGAAGCACCAGCAGAGCCATTAGTGATGCTGACAGAGCCAGGATTGCAGAGCTGGAGAAGGCAGAGGCCGAGCTTTGCATGGAGGTCTCCAAGTGTGTTGGGTGGTGTCCCATAATTTCCATTTGATTGCTGCTATCATGAAATATAGGTGTTGTTGGAGACTGCCTTTAGAATCATGCCATATTGAAGGAAATGAATTGCTGCAAGAGAGGGTGTTTTATGCTATCCTTGCGCAGATAAGATCCTGACTGAATCTGGATGCCTGGGTAGGAAATCAACATTAATAGATTCACTGATATCATGACTGTACCAGTCACTCATAAGATTACTGTTAAAACTGTAAATTATTGAGATTGGTGCAGCCGTGCCTGTTGGAGACAGATTGCAAACGTCAGGTTTAGGGCTCACCTTTGCACTAATGATCATCATGGTAGTAAATTAATTTCAAAGTTATGTGTTAGGACTGAATATAGAGACCTTATACCAAGTAATGTATGTGTCCTCTTCTCCATAGGCTACAGGAGGTCTCTGATGTGGCCTTGTCTCAGGTGTCTAGTCTCCAGACCAAACAGAGATCCAAAGATAAAGAAGTGGAAGCTTTAAGGAGACAAATAATGGACTACCAGGTAACTATGAGCGGGTTTTTGTATTATTAAACATTAATATATTTAAAAGAATTGGTTAATAAAGGAAAAACAAAAGTGTCCTAACTGCTTTTATGTTGCCATAATACATTATTTGTGGGACACTGGCTCAAAATCCCCATATATGACACAGGCCTAAGTTTAAAAACACCTACAGAAATATAAGGTTATACATTTAGACTTTAAAATATAATTAAACTTCTTTTGCTATAATTACTTTATTAATTAATTAATATTATAAATGTATTATTCATTAATGATTTTGATAATCATTCATGAGTTTAAGTGACATATACATGTAATAAAAAATTGTGTGTTGGATCTTAAGCATTTAAATATTTGGAATGATTTTCAATAACTTCCAACCTTGATAATTTAGCTGCTTTTTCAGATGCCTTTTCTAGAAAGAATTATGTAAACAGCTTTTTTCCTTGGTAAAATAGATTGCAACATGAAGTATTTGTCTTACATGTAGTAACCGGCTAAGGAAGAAAAGGTAGCCTCATTTTTTAATTGCTCTAAATGTTTCCTTTTAAATACTAAACAATAAACTTTAATAGGCACTGAACAGTCATAGTTCTATTAGTATTAGAGATGGAACTTTAACTTAGGGGAACAACAAAAGAAACATTTTTACACTATGTGTAATGTTTGTGCGAACATAATGGAGCCTTTTGTACATCTTTGAACTCAACAGAGTGGTTGTGCTGTAGGTGGTTAAGGCTGGATGTGTTACATTGGGTAATCCCGACAGTTTTCAGACAAACTTTGCATTTTGTGTTCTTTCTCAAAACTGGTCTGCCGTGTGCTCAACTCTGACTACACGGTCTCGACTTCTTCTCTGCGCACTCAGTGAAGTGAATAAAGAGAAACTAATTCATACATATTTGAGTCAATGTTTTGCAGGAAGGGGTCTCCTTAACCTTTCCATAAAGCTAAAAATAAAAAGATAGAAAGAAAGAAAAATTGTTATATAATGGAACTTTTCCATCAAACTGTCAGCTTGGCAAAATTAGTTAAACAAAACACAAATGGCTCGGTGAGGTAATTGTTGCAATGGAAATTTTTAGTAAAGATGTTCACCCTCTTGCATTGTCCATACAAAGCTTCAGTAACAGATTACTATTGATAAAATATAAAAAGAAATCATGTACGATTTTAACCAAAAGGGTGCCAATACTTTAGCAGGGCTTTTTATTTTCTGAATGGACGCAGCAGTTGGCTGTTATTGATCTACTTTTTAATAGCATTACACTCATAGAAATCATAGAGAAGGCCTGTTGGTTGGACATTTCTTGAGAGAAAACCCCTCCAAACCTTTTTTTTTCTCAGTCACAGTCAGATGAGAAAGCGCTGATAGCGAAGCTTCACCAGCACATCGTGGCCCTGCAGCTCAGTGAGGCTGCTGCTCTTGGAAAACTGGAGGCCGCCACCTCTCGCATTCAGCAGCTAGAGGCCTACAAGCTCCGCGCTGAGCAGCGGTTGGATGCCAGCGAGCGAGCGCTGTTCCTCGCCCGCCAGGAGGGCCGTAATCGGGCCACACACCTTCGCCGCACCATCCAGTCCCTACGCAGGCAGTTTGCCGGGGCGCTGCCCCTCCAGCAGCAGGAGAAGTTCTCTTTGACGATGCTGAAACTCCAGGAGGACAGAGCTGAAGCGCAGAAGGCGAGAAGAGGAGCAGAGGAGGAGAGGCGGAGAGCTGAAGGAAGAGCTCAGGAGCTGGAAGTGAGGCTGCGATGTCTGGAGGAGCTTATCTCAACCCTGAAGGATGTGAAGGGTGCCCAGAAGGTAAGTAATGGGGGGTTGACGGAGCAGTTATTGGATTGCATTAGCACAACTTAAATCTACATCACATGAAACAGGTAACTGAGTGGCATAAGAAGATGGAGGAGGCCCGTCTCCAGGAGCTGAGGAAGAGTAGGGAGCTGGTGGTCCAGAAGGAGGAAATCGCCTTCCTCAAGAAACTCGTGGAGGAGCAGGACCGTGCTATTTGCTCGCTGGAGGAGGACATTGTTCAGCTGAACTCGGTAAAAGCAAACCCTCTATAGGTCTCCAAGCACAAACTCTCTAAACCTGCCAACTTTCTCAGAACTGTGAAAAAAAAATGTTTTATTGATATTTCACCTGAAAATTACAAAGCAAATTGAATTTGAGGTAGAGAAAGATAGCACACATTTATGAGCCTTAATAGTGAGCATGGTTGTTCAAAGTGTCTGAACGAAAGCTCTTTACTCTAATTAGCTTCAAGAAGAACGCCAACTCGCATGGGACCAGCGGGAGGTGGAGCTGGAGCGCCAGCTGGACCACTATGAGAAGCAGCAGAAAGAGATTCTCAACAGCGCTGAAAAGGTAAATCAGTACTAATGGGTTTTAATGATTTTTATTTTATTTTTATCCAAGGTTTTTATGATTGTGTTTTTTGTTTTTTTTAGTTCAATGAAGGTGCAGAATCGCTCCCAGACCCAACGCTGCCTCTTGCTCATCAGTTGGAGATCGCCCTGGGTAAAAACAGAGAGCATGTACGCACGATATTGGACCTTCAGGGAACATGCAAAAGTTTCGAAAAGGTAAAGAGTATATATACAGCTGACACAGTCAGCAATTGTTTAAAATCTCTATTTATTTTTTCCTAACAAGAAAGAATGCCATGTTTCATAAATATGTCACTGTTAAGACCCTGTTATTTACTATAGGTTTCCTCCCAGTAGTCTCTTTCTGCACGGTTGTTTGTCCTATCCTTGAAGGTTAACTTGAGATGGGGGAAGGAAGGAGTAATATGCAGTGGTCTGAAGTAAAATTTCATTAGAGGAAAGCAAAAATGGTATTCAGTGGTACATATTTGGTCTTTAAAAACAATTATGTTAGATATTTGTGTATTTCATCTACAGTCATGAAAAAGTTTAGGCACCCTTATTAATCTTAATTATTTTTATTTCTAAATATTTGGGTGTTTGCAACAGCTATTTCAGTTTGATATATCTAATAACTGATGGACACAGTAATGTTTCAGTATTTAATTGAGGTTTATTGGACTAACAGAAAATGTGCATTATGCATTAAAACAAAATTTGACAGGTGTAAAAATATGAGCACCTCAGCAAAAAAGAGACATCAATATATCGTAGATCCTCCATTTGCAAAAACCGCAGCCTCTAGCCGTTACCTGTAGCTTTTAATGAGTTCCTGGATCCTGGATGAAGGTGCCCATATTTTTGAACCTGTCAAATTGTATTTTAATGCAAATGTTCTGTTAGTCCAATAAACCTCAATTCAATACTGGAATATTACTGTGTCCATCAGTTATTAGATATATCAAACGGAAATAGCTGTTGCAAAAACCCAAATATTTAGAAATAAAAATAGTTAAGGTTAATAGGGGTGCTCAAACCTTTTCATATGATCGTATGCAAGGCTAGCGTAAACAATTGAGGTGGTAATTATTTTAAGTAAATATCTAAATAGGATCTACATTCATATGTTGTGATCATCTTTACTATTAGTATTTATTTAGTATTCAAAGTATTGCATGTCCAGTTTTGTTTCCTTTTGAATTTTTATTCTGAATTTCTTTTCAACAGAAGCTAAAAGAGAATGAGGGATCTTTATTAAAAGCTGAGCAGAACATCATGTCAAGAGACAGAGTGATCAATGAGCTGCGTCTTCGGCTTCCAGCGGCCGCCGACAGAGAGCGTCTGCTCGCCGACCTTAAAAAGAACGAAGAGGAGCAGCCGGGCAGTCAGCCTGCCCTCAAGCTGGCTCACCAGACTATTAAAGATCTCCAAAGTCGACTTGACAAGAAGGAAGATATGCTGAAGAAATACCAGAACCAACTGACTCAGGCCAGACAGGTAAAACTGCCAAACGTTCTAGTCGTGGTAAATAGTGTTACAAACAGTTTTATTTAAAACACAAAAACTATCCACACAGGTTTTGAATTTTTTATCCTTACAGGTTCATTACCATAAGGGCCCCCAGTATATCACCACCATGACTGTGTCCGAACATTCGCCCTAACCCCTAATTCTCTCAATCACTTTATAGAGCGTGGACTATATATCTGACTTTATAGTGATCTCAGTTAACTGACCGTTCGGACAGATGATCACTACTTTTCGCTCCCCAATGGTCACGTAACTCCACCTCCCTGCACGGGGCCTGCACCATCTTTGTTATTTGTCGCTGCTATTGGGTAGCGACAGTGGGTCGCTGTGACAACAAATCCCATGATGCTTTGCGAGGAGAGCGAGGGGGATATTCGGATGCAGCCCATGATTTCACCTCCTCTGCTCTCTTGTTTTTAATGCTCCTGTAGATTCTCTCCTACTCCTCTGTGGACCTGTTTAGTGCGCTCATGTCAACTGTTGCCACTTTGAGGGAGGAACTGACCTGGGAAAGTAAACTGCCAGTTATTGGCTACTTTTAGGAAATCCCACCTCTCAAGACAGTACTGTTGGTCCGGACAACGATAATAACATAATGCAGCGTCCTTGTGTTTGGAACACCTGTAGTGTTAGTATGTCTAATGATTGAGGAAGTTTTACCGATGTGTTTTTTTGGTGAACTAACTGGAAGATCATGGTATCGAGGGCATCAGTTAATCAGTTAGCTACTTGCTTTGCTCAGTAGCTAACTGATTAGCCTCATTTAGTTCGGTCAGATGTCCAAGTCAAGCTACATGACTTTTCATTCAAACATTTTCTACAAGTTAACTGCTGTTTTTTGTCTAAAATCCTCATGAAAGTAATTTTTTGGAATATGTTTCAATTGTACCAGGGCCGACTGGTATCTGTTGTCACTACCCGATCCGTCCCAGAAGCACAATCCCTACCAACAGCTGATATACATTCAGTTCGCCCTCCATTTTATTTTGTAAGAAAGACCTAAACAACATTTTTCCCTCCTCAAAAATAGTAAACGTACTAAACTATTATGTGTTAAAGTTTAATAATGTTATTCCAGAGAAAATATATCCCTTAAAATCCTTTCTGTATTATCACTCTTCTGTACTCCATTTCCACCGGAAATGATATCCTGTGCTACTTCTGGGAGCTAACTTTTTCAGCTTTGGATTGAAACATAAATTTAGTCTTTTTGAGTTTCATGTTTTCCTTTCGTGTTAACATTATGGTATATAGTGCGTAATCTAAAGAAAGGAACAACTAAAATGCAGATAAACATGGTTTAATCATGTTTTGCCACAATGCTCTGAGCATTTCCGGTAATGACGTCAGAAAAGCAGTTTTAACGGAGAAAATGTAAAAAGCATCGAAATTGTCTCAGAAAAAGTCATTAAATATTTTTTAAAGATATGTATTTCATTACTTAGTTAGTTAAGGATATAAATTAGTAATTTTAGTACCATAATTACATTATTTATGGACACCCGGATGTATAACTGGTTAGGCTTGTGCAAATGGGGTCATGAAGAATTGGATTTGGATTATTAACACAACATAAGCTTCCCACGCTTCTGCAAATTGATGGACAAGTTAATAATGTGAGGAGAAAAAAAAGGGAATAGTTTGACCTCTTCCTTCAGGTCAAATAAAAGATTTAGTTGTAAGAGGTTAAAGAAAATCAGATTACAGAGGGTTGGTTCTCAGGCATGTAAGGCATGTCTAAAGCATGTGTGTGAGAGAGAAATTATTTAATAGATTGTAGTCCTGACAAAGGCTGCCCGTATTGTTTTAATAACCGATTCATCCATTGATTTCTTTTTTTTATTTTATTGATTAAGCTTAATTTTTTTTGGTGTGTTGTTTTTTTTTTTTTTTTTTTTTTTTTTTTTTGCAATTTTCAACTATTTTAAGAAAACAGCTATTAGCCTAAAGATGATTTGCTAATGTTACTTGCTGTAGGTGGAAAGAAACCTACTGTTTTTTATAGACAGTATTTCAGGAAAGAAAGTGGCGATCACAGGCAGTTTTCTTAACCAGGTTGTTCCTCCCTCAAAGTAGGAGAGAATTTACAGGAGTAGAAAAAGCTAGAGAGCAGAGAAGGAGCGTGAGCTGATGGTTGTGATATATTGGAGGCCCCATGGTATTTAATCCACACACATAAAACGGTCAAAATGTGTGTGGAAAGTAGTTTAAATGCGTGCATTTCAAATACAACTGCTTATTATTTATTACATGTGTACACTTTTTTGTTTGTTGAACCATGTTCTAATTCTATGCCCTTCTCTGTTTAATTATTTATCGACTTGCATGCTAGGATCAAGAGGAGATGATAAAAAGACATCAGGAGCAGTTGAGAATATTACACCGGAAGCTGGATCTGAACATAGACACTTCTCTGGATCAGTTCAAACAGACGGCCATGGTGCGTTCCATCTTTGTGTAGAAGCACCTTAGCCAAAAATACTTAATAAAAAAAAGATATTCAACCATTCTCTAAGGCAATTAGGAACAGTTGAACATCTTAGGCAGCTGTTGGGTTTAAAACTGAACTCTTTATCTCCAGGAATTAATGAAGAAGCCCACAATCAGAGTCCCAACATCTAAACACCTGGAGCAGCTTGCTGAGTTAGAACAGACTGTGGCGGAGCAGGATGCATCGCTCAGCTCTGTCACTGAGAAGTTAAGGCTGACCAAAGAGGAGCTGGAGCAGCAAAGGATCACCATGGAAACACAGGCTAAGAAACATACTCAGGATATAGCAAGGTAATCACTCATTAAAAGCCTCTAAGGTGGAGTATCACATGCAGGTGGCAGTAATGGAAAGGATATAGCTTTACCTGGTTGAGCAAACGAAGAGTTTTTACGTACCATATTTTCACGACCATAAGGCGCACCGTTCTAAAAGGCGCAGTCTCAGTTATGTGTGCTATTACTGTATTTAACACACACAGTACATACCGGTACATATCCTCTACTACGTTTAAATACCTCTACTGCGTATTTAAAAATAGAGCGGAATCAAAACTGAGTATGCTTTATTCATGTATTTATTACAAAGTATTAATCAAACCCATCGAAGTCATCATCCTCTGTTTCTGAATTAAACAGCTGCGCAAAATCAGACATGCCAATTTCCCCTTCTGCGCTGTCAGAGTCACTTTCCGTGCAGCGCGGCTCCTCAGAAATAATGCCGGCTTTGCGAAAGCTCGAACAACAGAGCCAGCAGACACGTTAGCCCAAGCATCTACAATCCATCCGCAAACTGTGGCGTAACTTGCCCAGCGCTGCCTTCCTCTTTTCATGAAACTGTGGTCTCCGTCGTTCATCTACTGCTCCCACGCCGCTCACAGCCTTACTTTGAACGGCCGGTTCACACCGATATCGAGCGGTTGAAGTTCCTTTGTCAGATCTCCCAGAATAACAGCGAGCACAGCGTTCATTTGTTTCACCATGTTTTTCACATCGGCTGTGAGATGGGCACGCACGGAGTCACAGATTAACAGCGATGGTGATGCGTGGAAAAAAGCACCTGGTCTCCTAACATACACCTCCCTCAGCCACTCTTTCATCATCTCCTCATCCATCCAGCCCTTTTCATTTGCCTTAATAACGACTCCAGCTGGAGAAGTCTCTTTAGGCAAAGTCTTTCTCTTAAAAATCACCATAGGCAGCAGTTTCTGTCCTTTTGCGTGGCAGCCAAGCACAACAGTATACGACGCCTTTTCATAGCCCGTTGTGTGTATCGCTACCGTGCACGCCCACACTTCCCCCTTTAACGTTCTCATGGTGGTCTCAACAACGTCCGCAGTAACAACACGCATAGGGCGCACCGCACTATAGGGTGTGCCGCAAATTTTGATGGAAAAAAAAGACGTTTATATGCGCCTTATGGTCGTGAAAATACGGTAAGTCAAAAATCTGGTTAGCAAGAACAATTAAAGGTCAGACATTAGAATAAATTAGTTGGTATGATGCTACAGTAGGTCTCGAGCCAGTAAATTGTCCGTTCATTTTTACCCGGTAAACATTTCTGGCTTTATTTACACATAGCACTGACCCAGTAAATTACCCGTTAGCTATTGGGTAAGGTTGTAAGTTTGAAAGCTGATTTTCAGCGACTGCTTGTGGGTTTATACTTTAGATAAACAAACTGGGGTAAAGGCTTCAGTTTGGTTGGTTACCATGTTGCTGTTGCATGTTTATAAACTTTTCTAACATTTAGACTAATTCATCTTCAGTGTCTGGGATGGGATACACTGAGTGATTTTTGTTCTTTCTGAGTCCGTTTTCCAGTCATGTGACAAGTTTGGGGATCGGGCCAAATCGTATCATGAGAGGCGATTGACACCTCACCACAAGTCCCTGATCAGAAATCTAGGCCACAAGAAAAACAACCGTATTTGATATTTTGGTTGTGGCTTGCAAGTGATTTGCAAGTTGAAGTGTTGACACGACCACAATGAGCTCTTTCAGCTTAGATTTTCAGATTACACTTGTGCGAGCATATTCTTCTTCTATTACTAGCTAAACTCAATTAGTTGTGTTGCATGCCTGGATTGTTCAAGATCCCAACAAGTCTTTGAGGACACGCAATATGAGTTGCCAGTTCGTACACGGTGAGGACATGCATCGCTGATTGACTCGCAGAGTTGGAGTTAGGGCTGTGAGCAACCATTGAATTGATCGCACAGTTTATCCCTGGCTTTAAAAAAAATTGTTATAGTTACTAATTACTTCTTCAAAAAAGCAACTCAATGAGTAACTTAGTAACTACACAATCAAAGTAACTAGTTACTTGTCAAAGTGACTATGCAGTTAGTATTTACGTTGGATGCAACCAGAGATTTAATTATGAAATATAAGAAGTTTTATAATAATTATGCTATCACTTAATAAAAAGGACTAAATATCTGAAAACATTGAGTAGTGATCATTTTGGTGTCTGTGGTTGAAGAAGAGAGCTGCGATATTATCTAGATATGATTGTATTTTTTTTTATAATAAAAGAGCAATGAAGCATATTGGATGTTTTAGAACTTAATATTTTTGCTTCCACTGGTTATGAAAGTGGTGTAAAGCTAAAAATAACAAATTTTGAGCAATTTAACAAAAGTAAAATAGTTCTAATAGCACATGAAATAAAGAGCAACATATGGAGAGCAGATGTCAATCAGTGCTGAATTGATTAGATCAGAGCTGCTTCTAACCAACAAATGTAACGATTTTTTTCTTGCACATAATGAGCAAACTAGAGGGAAAATTCTGACAGACTTCAGCCAGCGCTTTACTTTAGTAAGGCTGTCATTGCATCAGGTCGTCTCTCCTCTCAGTCTGTGTTCAGGGCATGCTGAAGACCCGCCCACATTACAGCTCTTAAGCCAATCAATGTTTACAGATGGTTCCTGCAGGTTCCAGCATTTGCTTTAGCTACTTTTAGTATATTTTACTTTCCTGTGTTCTGTGTGTTTTATGTGTTAGCAAAATGTATGTGTATTGAGCAGGTTTTGTGATTGCAGCTTTTGTCCTTTTTTGGATTTTTTTCTTTGCATTTGTTTTTGTTTGTCTTCTGTGTTTCCTTTTCAATTAACTGTGAAATCATGTATTCATGCGTCATTTTCATCCCTCGGCCACCCATTTTCCTGCCCAAAAATGCACAACCATTTGCTCTCCGAATAGAAAGCAGCTCTGGGAAATGTTTCCTACCATAATACTGACATTTGTTGCAGGCTGGAGGAAAAATATGTTGCTCAGCTGAAGACTCTGACCAGTGAGACAGAGGATAAGAGCAGTCAGCTGGCCCAGATGGAGAAGGAGATGAATTACCTTCGTACAGAGCTGGAGGCTCAGAAGGAGGCCAACATCCGTTCCCCGACCAACACTATGAAAAACCTGGTGGAGCGACTCAAAGCACAACTTACTCAGAAGGAGAAACAGCTCAAGGTCTTCAGGGTTTTGTTTTTTGTTTTTTGCTATGCGGCATTTTCTTTGTACACCACTGATTCATTACTCAGTTGAAATGTGAAATGAGGTCTAACCCCATAATTGTATAAGTAAGGACTGTGGGCTGTTTGTTCAATGTTTTCTCAGGGTCTCAGTAAAGCTCTACTGGAGCTGCGGGCGGAGATGACGTCTGCCGCAGAGCAGCAAGTCATTGCCAGTGCTGCACAGAGAGAGGAGAGCCTTAATGTACAGATGCTGGTTGACAAACACACCAAAGATCTGAAGGTGGGATCAAAGTGTCCTTTCCTACTCACCTGTCATGGTTTCATCCCTGTCAATATAATCAGCTCAAATGAAGCTTTGTTGAGCATAAATGATGCTCTGCCTGATGTTTTATGTTTTCCAGTTTGGCATAATGGTTAGAACCCAGGACTTCTACAAAGCAGTAGTAATTTAATTTTACTTGCTGACAGGCTGCATTAGAAGGTTCTGGTTTACCATGTTTCTGTGTTTAAACGACCATCTGCATCAATCTTAGCGAGCAGGAAGGTGACCTCTGCAGATACGTGTCAGATACAGATACAAGCAGCTGCTTATCTGCTTATCTGGAGATGGTGGTTCTTTTTTCTTCTCTCACTGGCTTTGGAGTTATGATCAGAAGTTTGCAGACATTCATCATGGATTTTTATTGTCTACAGATCCCTACATGCTCAGATATGTTCTTACATACTCAGTTTCATTCCTACAACTCAGTAAATACTACATTAACCCATCAACTGTCAAGTCCTCGGGGCGCATGTGGGGCTTCCAAACTGGCAGCCTCATTCTATCACCGTCTGTCATTACAGTGGTTTCATAAGGCAGGATAGACCCTCGTTAAATTTAATGTATGCTTTTCAAGATTTTTTTTTTTTTTTTGGTAATTAAGATTTTGCCAGTTAACAGGTTAAATGTCTGACCCAGTGTTTGGGAATGCATCCGAGGTTTAAACATTTGCCTCAGACTGAAGCTTATGTTAAAGGACACTGAATACAGTTTGTTAGGAACAAAGTGGTAACCAGCAAAGCTGATGGCTGGGAACTGCTGGATCCCTGGATAAGCAAGGAAGTCAGTTCTATACGGCCATGAACTGGAAAGAGGCCTGACTCCAAAATTAACAGAGACCTAATTATAAGACAAAGAGGCCTTTACGATAAGACGGAGTATATATTAAGCTTTCAATGTCTAGAATATCTCTACCAGCATTAAAGGTATAGTATAGAGATGTATAGGTATAGATTTTCATGATTTTTTTTTAAAAGACCCACCCTCTCCACTTTAAAAAGAAAAAAGCACATGCACAACCCTTCACCCACTACCGAGAGAGAATGCCTATTAAACACATGCAAGAGTGTGCATAAGCCCATTTCTCCTCTTGCATGCTCTGTTTACAAGTTAATGTTTGCATCACTCATACAAGCTTACTTTCTATAAGAAGATTTGCAATTTTTCCACCATGTCAGACTCACCACCAGTAAGAAAAAATGGAGATGAGCACATATGACAGCCTTTTGTAAACATATCATCAGAATAACTGACAATTAGGAGGACCACTTATTTTTGATGATCCACCTGGGGAAAAAAAAACATTCTTCACTATAACTTTAAGTTTAGTGTTGGAGGCACCATGATGTGGGCTGCTTTGTTCTCATTTGCCAGGTTCATTTAACAGAATAACAAGCTTTTGAAATAGCCCAAAAGTTACAAGCTTGACCGTATGCTTAAATGCTTAAAGGTACATCATGTTATTGGACTTTTTTTTTTTTTATACACCAGTGTCTTACTGCAGTTGTATACAAAGGTTTTCTAAAAGATTATCACATCCTGCTGATGTATTAGTATTTTTTATTGTTCTACCCTTTGTGTTTGCTTATTGTGTTAGTAAATAAGGTCCTTTGTGTATATTCAAAATAACAACGGAGGTACGATACTGCGCATGTGCAGAAACTAAATAAAGAAGCAACCAACTGCTACCCAGTCAGCATCTCCCAGATGAGTGTGGGAACAATAAAGAAAAGTCTTAACATCCAGTGTTAAAAAAAATGCAAATAAACAAGTGAGTTCAAGGAAGAAAAGACTGAAACAGCTCTGGGATCGAGGGAATTTTGCTCCAGTATTGTTACAAGCTCAGAAAACATTTTGTAAATCGAAAATAAAAAAAAGCAATCCAAGAATTGAACATTGAAACATCTGAAAAACATTTTAAATTAAAAAAGGATGTTTTAGAGCAACTTTGCTGTTTTTTTAGATTTATTTTTTTTATTTTTTACATTTTTCATGTTTGATATTTATTTATTTATTTATTTATTTATTTATTTATTTATTTATTTATTTATTTTCAGTTTTCTTAGATTGAATTTTTATGGTTTGCATTCTTCTCAAATACCATTTTCCAGATCACATTCTCTTCACTTCTGGTTCGGCCTTTTCTCTCTACTATCCTCTTAGGCTTGTGAAGAAAATATGATATGTGAAGTGCAATTTGAAAAGAATGCACTTTGTAAAAATGTAAAGAAATACAAAATTTGAAAACAGAAATATAAAAATAAAACTCAAAAATACACTTTGAAATAAAATCTGAAAAAACAGCAAAGTCCCTTAAAACCTTTTTTTTATGATTACTTTTTAATTTAAAGATCCATTTGCAAAACATGTTATTTGCTTGCAATAAGAATGGAACAAAAATCACTCTATAATTATGTAATCAAGTTGATATGATTTCGTATCATGATTTATTTATTTTTTTTAAAGTATGTTTCAAAGGTCCTGCCGAAGAGTGCAGATCTCATGAACCTCTTTCTTTCCAGGCACGGCTACAGGAAGTGTCTGAAGAACTTCAAGCTGCAAAGGAGTCAGCCAGAGCAGCCAGGAGCAGAGAGAATACTCTGAAAGAGGAGGTTGAAGTCCTGAACCAAGATTTCCAAAAGTATCAAAGAACTCTGAAACGTCTCCAGGCTGAAAAGGAGGAACGAGAGCAAGAAGTTGAAGAGCTCAAGCAGCAAGTGAAGAGGCTCACAAGCACCATGCAGGTTTGTGACTAAGCATAAAATCATTTGCTTGAACTTTTCTCTGTTGCCTCCTTAAGAGCAGAATATATGTAAATATCCTTTTAAATTATAATTAAACCATTTAGTTGTGTGCTACTAAGACTGAACCTGATCATCTGGTGTCCTGATTAGCTGATTATTTATTCTGCTAGAGGTTATTCCTTTAAGGCTTTGAATACAGTGATATGCAGTCTACCTTAAAACCCAATGCGAGAAAGAATTTAACTATTTCTTTTTAAGCCTTTTATCGTCACTTTGATGATGAAAAACGGTCACTGTCACCCATTGTTAGATGGAGCACTGTGTGGTCTCTGCTTAACTCACAAGGTGCCCAGTCCTACCTGCAGGGAAACACCTGGTTCAGTGGTTTAGCTCAGTTTAGCTGAATGTTTCCAGGCACCAATCCAGTATCTGTCATTTTAACAATGGGTGGATGAGAAAATAATCCTCCTAATTCTTGTTTTTTTTGTTTTTTTTTTACCCAGTTAAACTTGTTGGTCATAGAACAGGAAGTCAATTTGAACTGTGTCTAAAAATTTTATAAATGTCTAAATGGCATGTACTTATATAGCGCCTTTTTTTTCAAGTCAGGTAACTTGACCAAAGCGCTTTACACTACATCCATTCACCCATTCACACACACACTCACACACTGATGGTGGCAAGTTACAGTACATTGTAGCCACAGCTGCCCTGGGGCTCACTGACAGAAGCGGGGCTGCCGTACACTGGCGCCACCGGGCCCTCTGACCACCATCAGTAGACAATGCAGGTGAAGTGTCTTGCCCAAGGACACAAAGACAATGAAAGTCAGAGCAAACTCCTACATCCAACGCCACTGTCGCCACTGTCTAAAGGTGATGCTTCATTCTCCTCTTTACTTCATAGAATCAATCTGAAGCTGGTAAAGGACCCATGATAGAGAATCTGCAGAAGAAGATCAAAAGGCTGGAGTCTGACCTGGAGAAAAGAAACCAAGTGCCAACCAACAAAGATGATCAGGGGAAGGTGTGTGTACCACTTTAGATAGGACAAAAATCTCTGACAAGCTTTTTTTTTTTGCTGAGATCCATTGAATTAACATTTTATCTGTTGAGTAACATTTGATTCTGTCTTGAATTGCATTTATAAATTGACAGTTAAACATTATATCACTTTTAAATAAACAGTAAGAATTACCATATAGAAGAAAGTGGTTCTTGTTTTTGTTATTTCCTCAATGTTTTTCTACAAACATCAGCATTATCCTCCATTTAATTCTTTAACGAGCAACATTTTTCTGCTATTGTTTGCCTATTTTTTCATTTCAGCCCCACCCTTTGAATTCAGACTGTTGATGAAGAAGCAAACATACCTATTAATTCTTGGACATCCAAATAATTAGCATCGTTTTCTGCCTCAGCCAACAGTTCTTGCAGGGATTTAAGCAGAAATTACACTTGTTACTCGTAGCTAGCTCCAAGTCCTCACCTGAAAAAAAAAAGTCCTTCAAACTTTTAAGGGAATCATCTGCATAGCCACTAAAGGTCGGGTTATGCTTTTCTGCCCATTTACACTCTGTGCAGCTTCTCCCCCTATTCTGGCTAGCTCCAGAGGGGTGTGTCCAGCAAAAACGGCAAGCTGACAACACCACACTACATGTGGAAGTAGGGAAAAAATGCGGTTACAAACGTTTCCAAGCCTTGTCATGCCCTCCAATAGAGACAGTTATTTTTGCAGTAGTTTTTCCACAATTTTTTCATAGTGGTGTATTTGCTTAATCAAAGGATGTCTCTAGATGTTAACAATCACCAGCTGCTGCTCAAATGCCATGTTCTTCCGCATAGTTACTGTCCTGGTAATTACAAATGTTCCTAAGTGAACGCTGCAGTATTTCAGTCCTCACAGAAGCCCAAAATGATGGAATTTGGCCGTTCATGACCTCTTTAGTCAGAGGCCTCCTTAGAGCCACTGTAATACAGACCACTGCTGGAGATCCTTCCTGCCCGAAGCTATCACAATCTACAACTTTTTTATAGATTGAATCTTGTTCCATTAGTTTTTTTTAAACTGCAATAAAAAATGCAGTACAAAAATTAATTTTTTTTAATTAGATTAATTTTTTTTTATTAAAAAAAAATAGTTTTGGAGAGTAACTTTGCCATTTTTGGAATTTTTTTTCTTCTAACTGCTGTATTTCAGATTAAATTTTCGGAATTGCATTCTTTTCAAACTGCACTTTCCAAATCACATTCTCATTAATTCTGGGGGCGGTCTTTCCTCTGGAGTGAGGAACAAAGACGCATTTTTATTGGTCCGCATGAATGTTACCAGCAGCATACTATTGATCCAGAGTGAGTGTTTGTATTTGGTTTGAAGTGAGGAAAATGTGTTCCGTAAAAACCCAAAATGAAAAGATTGTATTTCATAAAAATCAATCTGAAAAACAGAAATAAAAAAAAGACATTTAAAAAAAAAAACAAATGCGAAAAACAGCAAAGTTACTCTCATAACCCTTTTAATTAAAATGTTTTTTCAAAGTTTCAGTTCCAGTCGCTTTTTTCAAAAAGTTTCATTTGCAAAATGTGTTCGTTTGCCTTCGTTTACAGCAAAAATGAACCAATTTTACTTCATACTCATTAAGTAAACTTATACATTTTTATTTCCCTTTTGAATAAAAAAAGTATTTAAAAAAGGCAGAATTGCCCCAATATTTGCTCTTCTATTGTAGCCTCTTTTATCTAATTCATCTACTTTACCCACAGCTTTCATCAGACGGTATGTGTCACAACCATCCCAGGTCTTGGAGCATCTGACAGTTTGCTCTGGTTTTTATTTGTATATATGTACATAAACAGGAGCAGATTTACCTCTAATTGGATCCTTAATGCTTTATTTAAATGTGTACAAACAGCCTCTAGTTAAGGATTTAATTTTCTTAGCATTTAGCTTGACCGTTAGACTTGCAAACTTTGATTCGCACACATTTAACCTGCTGGAATAGCTGCACCTGTTTGCTCAAGAGTTTTTCAGATGGGTTAGGCAATATGAGCGTGTTTGATAAACTTATATTGAGTCATATTTCTAGAGTGGAAAATAGAAATAATGAAATTCACTGCTTACAGAGACTTTAATAGCTACTATATTTACTGTTTTATTAATTAGTTAATTTTCTTTACCAACTCAAGGCAAAGAGAGGTAATCTTACAATCTGAATAAGGTTTTAAAATTTTAAAAATGTGTTTAAAATGTTTAATACTGTCTTCCCTTATCAGACTAAAGAGGAAATTGTGAGGTGGGAGGAGAGCAAAAAATGGCAGGCTAAGATGGAAAAGGTGAAGATTTCCTTGAAAGAGAAGGAACGAGATAATGAATCCTTGTCGAAGCAGCTCAGCACTCTTAAAGATCTTTATGCCAGGTCAGTTCCTACATCATACACATGGTATGCACAGCTTTTAGATCTTCTACAGGCATGTTGATGATTGATTAATGGCTCCTTATGTTCCTGTTTAGGAGCAAAGTTTGCTCAATCAAAGCTGGACAGCGCACATACAATTCCTCTATCAGTTACACAAGCTTGTTTTTGTTGGATTGCAGACTTGACCAGGAGAAGGCTGCTTTGCAGAAAAAACTGAAAGCTCGAGGTGTGACTGCTGACCTGGTGGTGGGGGTGCGAGCCAATGAGATGGAGAGAGAGATAGAGGAGTTAAAGAAGAAGAATGCAGAGCTGGAGACGCAAATTGTTACCATAAAGTATGTATCAGCCTGCAATGCACTTCTTTTCTTGACCCCCTTGATTTCATTCTTCAACTGTGTCACCTCTAGTGTTAACTTAATCTTACAATCTTAATTTTAAAAACACATAAAAATTTGTATTAAAATAACATCTTAAAGGGCCCATGTCCTTCCTAAATAATTTCAGCTGTCATTGCGCTATTCATTCATCACATTGACAATGAGTGCGTTCAATTTTAAAGGCTCCATCCTCCAAGGACCCGTTCTATCTGGACTGGATCCTTCGAGGTTTGTGAAAAAAAGGAGGCCGAAAGAGTTTTGGCTGTGAATTCAAACGGATTTAGCCTTCTGCGGCTTTTATAGCCTTACGCTCTCTGGCCTAGCAGCCAAAAGAGTTGACACACGAAGCAGATAAAGAATGAATACCAAACTTCTCACTGCTGTTCTAGATGTTAATAACATTTTCGAGGAGCTTAAACAGCAGCATCGTATCAGATGTATAGTCCCCAACACTGCAGATATATTAGAATCTGTCCTTAAATATCAGCCAAACCCATTTGCACATTTCAATCAACCAAACATTATCCGCCACACATCTGACTCAACAACCATTTAAAATAACTATTTTCATTAATTTGAGATAGAACTATTCATTTACTTGTATTATTTCAAACTGAACTTTCAATATTCACTGTGACAACAAGTGCCTTTTTCATCTGAGCACGGAGAGGCCGGCTTGCTTGGACTCGCAATGAATAACGGGATATCCAAGGCTACGTAGGATACATCGGCCCCGTCCTTCAAAACGGGTAAAAAGAAGGATGCATTTGTCGGCCGCATAACGAAGAGTCTTGGAATCTGAACAGACCTCGGCGCTGTGCTATGATTTAATTGATCTAAGAATCTGGCCTTGAGAAGACGCGGCCCCTGAATTCAAACTCAACCAATATCTACATTAGAATTCCCTATCCAGGAAGCAGCTACCTTAACCAGGCTGTGCCTGCACTGACAACAAATACCAGTTTTCTCTCGTAAGTAGAAATAATTCCTGCTTAAAGTTAAAGCAGCACTAAGTAATTTTTGAGTCTTAAGGCTGATTTATACTTTGAAACTAGGTTGTCTGCGTAGGTGTCACAGTGAACAAAAAGACATCCCCGCCCCCTCCGCAGACACTCTGCTGCACCTCTCCCAAATTGTAGGTGACCGCAGACAGGAGGCCGGCTTGTTTTGTTTGTATGACCGCCATTGTGGCAAACGACTTGTGAAGTTTGACCAGCTAGAAGAGCGAGGTGCACGAGAATGCTGGGACCCTTCACCTGGATCCCCGCTCTTTTTCGCCCTCATGTTCCTCCATTGTCAGATAAACTCACCCCTATTTCTTCACCGCCTCGGCCCTATTTAGACCCACAGATTGTCCCTCTTGCGTTGTGGAGTTGAATATAACGTAGCGCAGACCACGCTTCAATATTGGGCATAAATCAAAAATGTCTGCATCAAGCTCACTGAGACACACTGGGTTCACCAGTTTCAGGGTTAACCAGTTGGAAAATGCAGACCGCGACAAAATTTCTGAAAAGGTGGGCGGTATTGTACACAATCTAATTAAATTTGTGTGTAGCAACAGTGTAGTAACTGTAAAAGATACAGAGAACAGAGCTACCAGACTGCTACCGGGTTAGCATAAACACTTAGGCTATGTTCACATTGTAGGTCTTAATGCTCAATTCAGTTTTTATCTTTTTCTTTTTTGTGCTGCTATTCATATTACAGTCTAATTGTGTCCCCGGAGTGACCCGCATGCACAGAAAAAATTAACAGGACGTGTCAGAAGTCAGTGTCTATGGATGGATTTAAAGGAGCAGGTCTTGCATGTCAATGACTGGATGTAATCAACTGGTTTTCCAAACCAGTCTGACAGTATTGTCTCTGTGAAGTGCCCTTGAGATGACGTGTTATGAACTGCCACTATATTAATAAACTGAATTGCACTGAAATCATTAAGCAGTGGAAGTAGCCAGATGATACAGCACACAATACAAAAGGAGACAGAGAGCTGAACTATTAATTATGACTTTTGGATGAGGACCTGTGGTAGCTACACCCCCGAGGATAAATTTGTGGGTGAAGCGTTGTAGTCGACCAACCTGTTAAGGTATGACCCCCTCTAGTCTCTTTTAGGTCATCATATCCACCCAAAGAGTTATTCATTCCAAAATATTGCTGTCCTTCTGTACACCTCCGTCTACGCTTTCTTGTAATTGTTTTTTTCCCCTGCTGTTGGTACAGAGTGACATAATTGTCATACTAATTTCCATATGGGCCAGTTGGCTTTTCAGACCACAGTCACATTCCAAAAGATCAGATCTCTATCAGATTTAAAACCAAATGCAAATTAGACCCAGATCAGGTTTGAAAAAATAGTCAGATTCCATGTTTGCATTTGTTTCATTGCACTGCTGCAAAAGGTTCAGTCTAATGTCAACTGACCCAGCAGTCGGACGGTCACAGAACAATTAACTTCAGCATAGGGAGGTCAAATGTTTGACAGCACCATGTGACCTGGAACCAGCAAGCATGCCGCATTCAAAAAGAAATCTATCTCACTACCTTCCCATTCTAATGATTACTTTGAACTTCAGCAAGTTGTTTAAACCATTCACGTGTAAGGAACGGACACCTCATGACTAGTATTCTGCTCCAGTCCGGTCTTGAGTCAAATTTTTCCTGGTCTTTATTCTGGTCTTGATATGGAAAATTGTACCTCAATCTTGGCCCTTTGCCTCTGACTGGCGTTGTTGGGTCTGGGAAAACGGGCTTGATTTGGGTTTAGAGACTCCATTTTTTTAAACTGAACTCCCTTTAATCTTCCCCACAGATGCTAATCTCTTCCCCCAAAAAATGTAATATGAATTAAAAGCAGTAGTAGTGATGAGAGCACAGCTGCATGCTTTCATGTCAAAAAAACAAACATATTTTTGCTTATAACAGCAAATTCTTTTCACACTTAAATGTTTCCAGCACCACAATGGATTATAGAAGAGGTTCCTTTAATGTTATGAGATTGTTTGTGAGTCTAGTTGCAGTCTAGCATTTGCTAAACAAAACCCAGCATTATGACAGCATGGAAATGTTCCCAGATTCAAGACTTGATCAAATTACTTTTTACAAACATGAAGAATTGAATAGAAAAACAGTAAGAGGTGCAAATTTTATTCACCAACATTTTCCAACGGAGAATTTCAATTTTGATTTTATTTTATGTACTCTAACAATCCTCATTTGTTGTATTTGTATTCTTGATAACCAAGCATAAGGAAAGGCGCATTTATTTATATAGCACATTACAGTGGTAAGAGCATTCAAGTGCTGTGAGGATAAAAAGTACTTTGCAGAGGCACAGAGGCAGTACAAATAGTTAAAGAGAATAAAAGCAACAGATTAAAATAATAGAATTATGTTTAAAACAAAGGGAGATGATAAAAAAAAAAAAAATGTTTTTTTCAAAAAGATTAACTGATTTAGAAAATTGAACGAAAGTTAAACTGGAGGTTTAACTACCGATAATGTCTAGATAGCTTAGTCAAAGGCTGAATTTAAAGCAACTGAGGGTTTCAGTGATTTTTATAATTTTCTGGAATTCTATTGGCCATCCAGACCTTTATGAGCTATGTATAGAACTCAATTGTTATTTCGTTGTTTTTTTTCCCCCTCATATTGAATGATCAGGCAACATCAGGCCTTACCTCGTGACGATGCCATGGAGAATCTGATGTCCAGGAACCAACTTTTGGAAGAGAGGCTCCACTCCTTAGAGGGACAGATGTCCAAGGAATCCCCATCAAGGCCTTCTGTATGTATTAATACAATAAACAAAAGAAAAACTGCTGTGGTGTATATTAAAAGTGTGTATGTATGTATATACACACTTTATTATTGTTTTTGAGTTTTTGAACCCCAGTCGGCCTCGGCAGGTTCTACTGGAGGTTTCTTCCTGTTAAAATGAAGTTTTTTCTCTCCTCTGTCACTATAAGCATGCTTAGTGTGGATTGTCAATGATATATATATATATATATATATATATATATATATCTATGTGTATATATATATATATATATATTAGGGATGGAACGGTTTATGAAAACCGTCCGAACCGTTGGGTTCGACTGTCTCGGTTCGGTTCGCGTGTGTTGCGTTCGGTTCATTCGCTGCTTCTTTTTCTCATAGGCGAAGCGTGTACACTCCAGAGCAGAAGGTGGCGGAACTGCGACCAAAGCCAACCACCAGTAGTAAACAAGAAGAAGAAGCAAAGCAGCGTAGCCGGGGCTAGCAGAAAAAAATCAGTTGTTGTGGAGAATTGTGTGGGTATGGCGAGTGGGAAAGAACAGGAGTTGAAGACGCGCCAGCAGCACTTTATAGGTCTGCTGTATGGGAGCGCTTTTGCATTTAGAGTGACCTACGTTGACGGCGGAAAGAAAGTTGTGGAAAAAAGTGCAACAGTGTGCAAGCATTGTGCAACACGTTTTGTTTATGCTAACAGCAACATGACCAAAATGTCCAACATGTCATGCCACATACAAATCCCACATACTCCGTCAGCGCTCCGCCCCGCTGCGCACCAGACCGCCTGCACAAAGCAAAGCATACAGCCTCCGCTGTGGCTCCCGTCCGCTCCGCTCTGAGTTCCTTGGAGATCGTAGAGAGCATGCGTGAGATGATCAAATTCAAACCAGCAAAACATGTGGAAATGAACCATGGTTTCCGCGAATCATTAAAAATAATTACAATTCATTAATTTTAATGAATTTTTTCATAAAATTTTATAATTTTTATACATTTTTTTATTTTCCAGTGTAACAATAAACATATACCGAACCGAAAACCGTGACCACGAAACCGTGAAGCGAACCGAACCGTGGATTTTGTGAACCGTTCCACCCCTAATAAATATATATATATATATATATATATATATATATATATATATATATATATATATATATATATATATATATATATATATATATATATATATATATATATATAAGCCTCACACATATAGAGAGAATCTCATTTCTCATTTTTAGTCGAAGGAAACAGTCCAGTAGACACATTGCTCTGGTATTTTACCATCAAAGCCATAGTTAATGGAAGGTGGATCATCATTTGAAAAGACATTTCTTTTTCTTTCTTTGGAGGACTGGAATCAGGGAGCAAAATCAACAAAAAAAGAACATATTTATGTCATATCAAGTACTTCTTCTGTTTAAGAGCTCGCCTTTTAGACTTTACGATTAGCCTTATATGTTATGACATGGCAAGACCTGACATTTTTCCCAAGATGTATTACTTGGCCTATGCTCTGTTTAAAGGTATGGAGATGTTTAATAATCTATTTATCAGTCTTCCTTTCTTTCTTCATCTTTCCCCTTCCTCTCTGGGTTTAATTTGATTTACTGCCTTTGAAGAGGAGAGACTTTTCCTCCCAGACTTTTAAAGGGATTTGTTCTGTAACTTTTGATATTGAGGATGGGATGTGCGTCGAGAACACTAAAGCCCCACTTTCCGAGAGCTGCGGCCGTTCAATCCACCCTGAGCCTGCTGGAGACACCCTTGACCAACAGGGGGAGCCGGTGCAAGCCCAAGCTGACGAGTCTCAAAGCTGCTGTTCTGGAGAAGAAAATGCTCGCACTGAGCCAAAGCTATTAAGCGTTGATGGAAAAAATGCAGATGATGAAACAGACTTAGATACTGCTGTAGGTCACATTGGAGATAATGAAAGAATAATGCTGGCAAATACTGAAGAAAATCAACAAAGCATCCAAGATGGCTCTGAAGTTACTTTGCCTGTAGAAAAGGAAGAACCTAACAGGGCTGACGCTGATCCTGATGATCAGTCAGAGAGGACGGCATCTATCACGTCTCTGTCGTCTGTGAGACAGGCGGCAGCTGGTGGTGGGATGAGCGATAGCGAGAAGGCGAGGGGTGTTTGTGACCAACACTGTAAAGATATTGATTATGATCATCTCAGCATCCCTGAAGAGTTGCATCAAAAGACTGAGGGAGAGGAGGAAGTGAAAGATGAGGAAGATGTGGCAACAACAAAGGCAGCATATGAAGATCATAAAGAGCATTTCTTCTCTGCTGATCCTGCTGTTGATTCCCTTATCACACTGAGACAGTGCCCAGAGAGATTGTCCAGTATAAACCGGGGCAAACAAACACAAAAGCAGGAAGCTCTGACTTATAAAAAGGTATTCCAGCTGTGTAGTCACCCCCCAGCTTTGAGGTGATAGTGCTGCATCCCCAGTACCATTAGGCATTCCCACTCAAATGGCTTTTTATCAAATTCCCTCTGTTGAGAAATAATGTGAGAGACCAACACAACTTATAGATGTTAAACTCAGATGTTTATGAATAGAAATTTAAAATGTGATGAAGGCTTTTGTTACCAGCTCTGCATCTTGACTGATCCAGTTTTTTGAATACCAGTTCTTTTGAGATCAGTCAAACTGATCCCTGATATGTGCTGCTGATACTTTAGGGCTTATTTTTTAGTCTATTGCTTCCTCCATTTACATCATAACAACCCAAAAATAGGAGTTGGGAACCGTGAGGGAGTCTTGAGCTTGTTTTCACAAGCGTTGTGATGGTATCTCTACGGCAGGTGGAAAGTCCCATGAAAATAAAAAGTTAATGTAACATTTATTTACCTATCCAAAGAACAATTCAAATGATAATTATATAATTTTTAAAAGAAGTATAATAAAAATGTCAAATTCACAGTTAAATAATTAAAAATGCATTTAAAATGATGATTTCAATAAAAAATATTAAATAAACACTATATTTAGAAATAAATATAGAGTGAAGTACGGTAATTATTTGGGTTTGGCCAGTTATTTTCATTGCAGGTTTACAAAAAAGAAACCTTTATTAAATAAATCAAACAAAACACCAACAATAGATAAGAAATAGAGGAAGTAGCAAATGCACACACACACACACACACACACACACACACACATATATATATATATATATATATATATATATATATATATATATATATATATATATATATATATATATATATATATATATATATATCATCACATGATCTCGAGGCATGGTGAATGTACTAATGAATCAGAGAATGCATATTGGCACACCAGCCAATATGGATACAGGCAAAAATACTGACAAATATAGCCAACAGTATGTTTTAGAAGTTTCTTTTAGCTCCTAGCTGCCACCACCGTGCATCACAGTGGGGGTGATGTGTTTGAGTTGATGTGCAGTTGCATTTTCCTCCCCGTTTAGTGTTTTAAATGGCCACGGGGACTTCCTCCTGATGCTGCTGCATCATCCTCATGGCTTGTGCAGAAATTTTTATGTGTTTTGAATACTGTTCAGGACTATTAGAGGAGAGGTCTGAGATGGTTTTCAGTCATTAAGATGGGATTCCTGAGGTATATATAGGACCAAAACTGATTGTAAAATACATGTATGCTATTGTGCCGAGAAATAATTCATGTATATTTATTTATCTAATACATGATTCTAATATTAAATATTTCATTAAATTGCTAAATTAACCATCTCATAAAATAATGAATTTGAGATTATCAGTTAAGAATTTAAATGTCATTATGCTCCAAAATGAAAATGATTACTTCAGTTTATATTTATGAATACTGTAAAATAATTATAATATAAATGCATACACAAATATGTTTTCTTTATGTATTTTAAGGGATGGCCAGTCTGTTGCCATGTTATTTTAGAGTCAGGCTCAGATGTTTGGGAACACTCCCACATATGAGAACACAACACATCTCTTTTCAAAAATCTGGACAGTTCTCCCTCCATGTTTGTGTTGGTCTGGCACATAAAATCCCATTAAAAAAAAGCTTAAGTTTGTGTTTTTAATTTAAGGAAATGTGGAAAAAGCTCAAAGGATTGTGAATATTTTATGAGTGTTAAAACAATCTCCATTGTACTCCCTGCAGCTTTTTTCCCTTTGCTGCTCTTTGTCCGTACTGAACAGTTTGTCGCATCAGGCTCACTCTAATGTTTTGTGGTTCTTTAGACTTCTGGACGAGGTACCGGAACTCCATCGCAGAGAGACCAGGACCTTTCAAAAGAAAACCTTAAGTTGGCGTCAGAGAACTTGGAGCTGCGCCTTCAGCTGGAACAGGCCAGCAAAGACCTTCCAAGGCTGAAGGTACAACTCAAACTGTAATGTAGCTTATGCCAAGACATACTGATCTTAGAACTGGTTTCAGCATGCTAATCTTGATTATGTGAAGTTGTAGAATCAGAACATATTTAGAGAAGATAACAGTCTAATTCATTGGCAATGACAGTTAGTCTTTGTAAAGAAACACCAAGCTGCATTTCAGAAAGATAGTTCTGCTCCTTTTGGCAAAGGAGTTAAATTGAAGAAGCCCTTTGTGAAAACTGTGTCAGTTCTTTGATCTTCAGCAACCATCTATTAATGTCAATTGGAAAAAGAGTCATGGGAAAAGAACAAACACCTTTTGATTCTGGGGTTTTACATACTGGGATATTGTAGAGTCGTTGTTGGGGGAATCAGACAGGATGTAAATCAGCAGTCATTAAAAGGGTCACATGGTAAGAAAGGTTTCAGCAGCTTTTCAAAGCTCTAAATGTTTTTCTTTTCATTTTCAAAACATTTTTAATAGGGCAGAACCAGTGGTAAAAAAAGCTGCTACTACACCACTTTTTAGTTAGCTACTAACAAACAGGGATAACTTTATAAGCTAACTTTGATCCATTATTCAATGAAAAAACGGAAAAAGAAAAATATATGGAGAAAAAACTAAGTGCACCCTATGATTTGAAAGCTTGTTTAACCATTTTTATTGACTGAATTTTATTCAGTTATTGTTGCCAAGCCGTTTGTCGTTTTGGAAATGAGAAAAAAGACAATCAAGAATAACACTATGATACATTTCTTTTTAGTGAAAGAAAAGCTTTAAGGGTAACTTTGCTGTTTTCTGAGATTACATTTTTCAACTGATTTTTATGACCTTTTTTTGTATATTTTTTATATATCTTATTTTTTCTACACTTATTTTGTTATATTTTATAGTTTTATACTTTTTTGTTAATTAAATTTTACAAGGAACCGATAAGCAGATAAGGAAAAACAATGAGATTAAAGGTAGTAGACAAGGTCAATGCAGGGTCACAAATCTGATCATTTGTAATGACAAAGGACGAGTAACAGAGATGCGTTCAATTATGCATCACGGTCGGTAAGACCCACTGTAACTACAGGAAATTATATCAGTTAAAGAATAAGATATCTGCACAGGACAGAACAAATACTTCCATATAGGACCTCTAGGGATTTCCAGTACTGCTCAAATTTAACACAAGCATATGTCAGGGTGAAGGCCCTATGACCCCTTTCTATTGGAAAATTAAAGTTCATATTTTATGATTTATTTTATTTCCGTAAAAATTCAAAAAATATCCACTGGACTTGGTTTTCAAGATTTGAAGACGTTTCGCCACCTCTCCAGGAAGCTTTCTCAATTCAAATGTCTGGATCCGCAGTGAGTTTGAGTCTTATATAGACAATGCCTTGTGTTGGCTCAATAATCACACTGCTGACGTTAATATCCACACTTTAATGGTCGCCATCAACAGTTTACAACATGCGCTCCCGCGCTCATCATGCAACTCTATGAAGAAGGAAAACCCAGATCTAGCCCCGCCTCCCATTCCTTACATCTCATACATGCACAGTCTGCTACTTACAACTTAACAATCTCCCCTCTTTCTTTAAAGAACACATAACAGGCTAAAGAAATTTTAGCATTCTAACTTTACTTATTTTAACTCCATTTACTTGAACTTAACTTATGTAAGGAACAATAGTCACTTTATTTATTTTAACTACATTTACTTGAACTTAACTTATGTAAGGAACAATAGTCTTTTTGTTTGTTTTAATCTTTAAGTTGCCATTTCCCTTCACTTAGGGCTCTCAGCAGTCCAAGGGCAGACGCCCCCACTTTTGTTAGGCAGTTGGCAAGTTGGTCTTTGGTAGGTGTCCATATAATTTCTTGGATTGTCCCAGAACCCATAAGTTCTTTGATGCTGCTGAACTCAAGCCGGAGTCTCTTTTCAGTTACACATTTTGTGGATTTGACAGCATCAAGGAGGGAATGGTTGTCCGTTACACAGGTAATGGGTAAGATGTTGCGCGTGCCATCACCAACCATGAGCTCTGAATAGAGTGTAGCAAGAAAGACAGCACTATCAATTCCATCTGCTAGTGCTAAAGTCTCTCCAGCTAACGTGCTACGTACCACTCTCCTAATCCGTCTGGATTGCCAGCATATGGGTGAAAATTTTCCATCTTCTCCCATCAGCATGACAAAATGTCCTCCTTGTGTCCCTCCATCTGAGAGATTTCCCATTGAGGAATCGCTGAACACCACTAGCTTGTGGTATTTGCTGTCTCCCAAGCATTGGAATCTAAGGGTAACTTCCTCAGATTTAAGTTTTCTGATCAGTTTGTTTGCAGAGTGTAATGTTTGAATTGTACCATGTTTTGTGTTTGACGCCAAGATAGATATGTCACACATGATGTCAGGTCTGCTCTGTCTTGCTACCCACAGAATCTGTCCAATCTTGGATTTTAACATGTCCATTTCTGTGTCTGTTAATGGAGCCTCCCGCTGTGGTGCTCTGATGGGATCCATATGAATGGGCTGTAGGTTTTTAATGTATGCACGCTGTTGTACTCTGATTTCATTCTGCAGAGAATGAACCTCCATTCCAATGTAGTTGAAGCTGTTATGTTCTTCTCTTCCAACTTGAAAAGCAGTTTTCAGTTGGGGGATAATAGCTGAAGAAAACATGTCTGAACCACCCCATACAAAGTCATCTACATGGCATGCAAGAACTCCTGTCACCTTACAGAAATCATCTTGCCAGTAGAAGACAGCTGGATCAACTTTTGACACAGTTCCTCCCAGCTTCTGCATGGTTTCTTTCACCTTGTTGTACCAGAACAAGGAAGCATCTGCCAGGCCATAGACACATTTATTTAATTTCCATACGATTCCTTCGCTCTCTGCCTCTTGAGGCGGACGGAGATACACATCCCGTGTTAAATCTTTACCTTGCAAAAAGGCTGCTTTGATGTCCATAGAGTTCAGCTTCCATTTATTTTGGCATATAACAGCTATAACCATCTTTAGAGATTCAGAGGAACAAGTGGGTGAATCCTTAGGAAGTTCTTGAATGTTAATTTCTTCAAAGCCTCTTGCAACCAGTCTTGCTTTGGGTACTATGTCTACTTGTGTTTTCTTGAGTGTGCACACCCACCTCGTTGATATGCATTTCTGACCTTCATCTTTTTTCTCCACAAATACATTGTTTCTTTTCCAGTTCTCAAGTTCAGTTTGTTTAGCGTGTGAGAAAATATCCTCGTTCACTACTAATATTTCATCTCTGTTGTAAGTATTGGTCTTGACATTTTCAACCACTTCGAGGTTGCTTACTTGTCCCATATCAATGGATCCTGTAGATCCAGCAATTTCCTCTGGCTCAGTATATTCTAGGTTGTACCAGTTTTTGTGTTTCCCACTGGCTTTCCCTGCACGGCTTGTTATTTTTCCAGCATATTTTTTACCTGTTTCTTTGTCTGTAAATTTAATTCCTTGTCCAGCTTTTAGTTTTATTCCTTCACTTACAGTTGTGTGTGTCAGTGGAAGACCATCCCCTTCAGGTTGTACTGGATCACAGGAGGATTCACTGTTTTCTGCAACACCAAGTGATTCATTGCTTGTTGGTGCCATCTCCTCCTCATGTTCACTTTCAAAGTCATGTTCTTCATCAAGTACCGCTGCTGGTGTCTTTGAAAAGTGGTCATCCGTTTTAAATGGATTTTTGCTTTCGCTTTCCCCTAGTTTCTCTTGTGTCTCATTCATTTTTCTCAGCCTAGACTGGTGTACTCTGACATACGTTCCACCATGCCTGACGAATATTACTACACCATCTTGGCCAATAACCACACCTGGCCCTTTCCACTCCTGACAGTCTGTACGTTTATAATAGACTTTGTCTCCTGTTTCATATTTGTCATCTGTGGGTCGCAGCTGTTTTCGGAGGGCTCTTCGGATCCTCTCAGAACATTCAGCCTCAGCAAAGGCTTTTCTCATGCCATGCAGTGTTGCAGTGTGATGACCCATCCATGTGTTGACATCAGTTTCCAATGCTAGAGGTCTATCAATTAGAACTGAAGGCAGGTTTGGGTTTTGACCAAAAACAAGTTGATATGGACTGTAGCCATGTACATTGTGCATGCTGTTTTTTGCCATCAAAGCCCAGTCCAGAGCCATTTTCCAGTCACATTTGTTGTCTCTCTTTACCTTGAGTAGCATTTCAGTGAGAATCTGATTGTGTCTTTCCAGTAGGCCGTTGCTCCATGGACTGTATCCAGCAGTGGCTTTAACCTCAATGTTAAAATGTTCAGCCATGTCTCTTATTTCTTCGTTATTAAATTCACCTCCATTGTCAGTGAATAATCTGCGTGGTGGGCCATGAACGCTTATCCAGCAGTGAATAAAGTGCTTCACTATCTCTTTGGGTCTTTTTGTGGTGATGATGCTCCCTGCACTGAATCTTGTAAAATGGTCAATGGCATGTAGATACCACAAACCTGGTTCAAGCTCATGTAAGTCCATCGCTACAGTTTCATTATACGTTGAAGCCATGGGTAAACCCACTGCAGGTTTAGGTTTTGCTCTACTGTACCGGATGCATATTTCACAGTTTTTTACAATTTCCTTCAGGATTGTAATGCTTTCATCATCGGTGTTGCCAGAGCAAGATAAGAGCTTTTGTAGTCTGTCAACTGAGGCATGTCCAAATTGTTTATGTAGCTTTAGCAGTACTGTTTTTTTTTCTTTTGTTGCCATGTTTTCTGTCACAATGAGAATTTCATCTTCATCATTTGGTGTCTCACTTTGTTTAAACTGGCTTTCATTATTGATCCTTTCCTTTCTTAAATTTACACAATAATGTCCAGAAGATGTCAGTTCAAGTTTTACAGGTTGGTCAAACATCATTGCTTTGTCTTGAGCAATGTCTAAAACAGCACTCGCTCTCTTCAGTGATGTTTTGCTCAAAAGCATCGGTATATCTGCTGGAACTACTTCTGTCTCAATGTTGCATTTAGTT